TGTTTCTTGGTCTGCAGAGAATCTGGGGCTGACTTTGTTGCTCTAGTCTATATCTCTATCACCCTGTCATCACCAAACGATCCTCCTGTTGGGGTTATTCAATACCCTGTTAACACTTGGGAATTCTTTGGACCTCCATACCTTCCTCTCTCATCTGTCGCTGACGACGACATCTTTCGAATCGGGGATCTAGAAAATCCAGACAGTTATCAAGAACAGGGCAACTTCACTACTGCTCTGCACGTTCTGTTTGGCGAGAACCTTGTCAAAGACCCCTCCCTCTACTACCAAATTGAAGACGTCATTGAATTTCTTCCCATCATATCTGGGATCGAAAAGTTGAACAACAACATCTTGAACATGTTCGATGGCACCAATTGGAACACATGGTTGGACAACTACATGAGCATCTGTATGTATCAGGGAACTTGGGGACTGGTTAAACCCACTCACATTACGGTTTCTAGAACAAGTGCTCCGAATCCTGGGGCTCTAGGACAACCCACCACTGCCAATGAAAGTCAGCAGCGTTGGGACATTGCCAATGAAAAGGCACTGGGTCTTGCGCGGGTTTATATCACCCAGAATCTGCGCAAGGGAATCTTTATGGACGGTCAACGGGAGCGCACTGCGCGCGAGGTTTTTGTGAAAATGGCGACGGATTATGGCCAACCAAATGCCATCGATGCTTTTGTCGAGTACCGCCTCCTGGACACCACCACCTTCCACGGTGGTGACATCATTGAAAAACAAATCATGGAAATGGAGACTTGTCGTCGCCAGTGTTCAGAAGGAGGAATTGAGATTCCCGACTACCTCTTTGCAACTCTCATGCTTGCTGCCTTGCCCGCTTCCAGCAGAGGTTTTGTTACCTCTTACCTGGCCAATCATCCTATCGCTTCTCTGAACCCAGTCGATGTCAAGAACAGCATCATAGGGAATATCAAGATCGAGAACCTCGACACGACGTCGAACTCGAAGATTTCCACCGTTCTGTCCCTCGCCACCCGCTGCACTCATTGCAACAAGTCCGGTCACGTTGCGGCATCTTGCTATAAGAAGTATCCCAACCTCAAGCCGACTGGTCAATCTTCTGACAAAGGCAAGGGGAAGCAGGATGAGGGGAAGAAGGAAAAGAAGAGTGGTGATGGTACCAGCACTGTAAACAAAGAAGTTGTAGCCGCTCCCGTGGTTGCAGCTGCCTCCAATGGAATGCACATTTTGTCCTATCTCATGAGTGACTCCCTCAAACACATCGATGATGGAATTTTTGTTGAAGAAATGGGAGACGATTCAAAAATTCGTTTTCTATGGGATTCAGGTTGTACGCATCACATGACAAACACCCGATCCGATCTTCACAATATCAGATCTATTGACACCTATGTAGTCGTTGGGTCGGGAGCTCGCTGCAAGAATGAAGCCATTGGAGATATTGTGTTGCGGGGTCATACTAGTAGTGGCATGGACTACACCTTCACGCTGAAGGATGTCATCTACAACCCGCACATAAGAGGGCGTTACCTTTCTGGGTATGCGCTCGATCAGGCTGGTTACTACACCGTGGTTGGTGACAACAAGGCAATCCTAGTCACCAAGGATTGGCTCAACAAGGGAAAAGCGCATGGGGATGTCTTGATGACCTTTAAAGCAAGCAATCGCTGCTACTGGTACTACCCCGAGGAGCTCGTGGCACCATCTGTGTCTGCATCTCACGAGTCTACCGCGCTCGCTTCCCTGGAAACTACCGATCGTGAATTGTGGCATAAGCGTTTTGGTCATGTGGCTCGGAGGACCCTTACTCACTTGCCGACACAAGTTGAAGGTGTTCCCCCCTTGCAACGCAATAAAGACCAGTGTGGCATGTGCAATGGATGTATGCTTGGAAAACAACACAAGCATCTGTACCCTGCATCAGAGAAACGTGCTAGCAAACCCCTCGAGCTTATCCACACTGATTTGATGGGCCCCTGGCCTACTCAGTCGTTGGAAGGTTCACGCTACACAATTTTGTTCTATGACGATTTCTCAAGCTTTGGCATGATGGTGTTTATTAAATCAAAGGACCAAGCCTCTACCGCAATTAAAAACTGTGTTGCCCTTACAGAGCATCAGCTCGGCACAAAAGTACTGGCCTTCCGGTCAGATCGTGGAGGCGAATATATGTCCGATGAACTCACAGCCTGGCTCAATGCACGTGGTATTATGCACCCTAAGTCCGCGCCACGCGAACCACAGCAAAATGGGAGGTCTGAACGTTGGAATCGCACAGCCTACGAGAAAGCGGAATGCATGCGCCTTGATGCTGGCCTATCCAAAGGCTTCTGGCAATGTGCTATGGATGCATCTGTCCACGTTCATAATAGACAACCTATGGCACGATTGGGATGGCGAACACCTGCGGAACTGTGGCTTGGAAAGAAGCCAGACGTCTCTTATTTCCGTGTGTTTGGATGCAAGGCATCTCTCTATGTGGATGTTGAAAAACGCCCAAAAGGGTTGGAGCATGGACGCCCCGACCACATCTTTGTTGGATACAAACAAGAGACAAAAGCTTGGAAAGTGTGGGATCCAAATCAATGCAAGATACAAATCTCTTCAAACGTCGAGTTTGATGAGCAAGTATTCCCTGCCAAGTCCAAGCTAGTCACCGGCAATGTGTCCTCTGGACTGGAGCTGTTCACACCATTCGAGGAAACCTTCCCTGACCTTATCAATAATCCTGCGCCTGCAACGCCTTATGCAAGCATACCACCTCCTGCTCTCCCACCGCCACCGGCACCCCTCGCGCAACAAGGTCCTGTCACGGGATCGCGAGAAGTACCCCTAATGCCTGGCCCGATAGACGATCGCCCAATTGCCCATCGCCGCCCTCGTCGGAATAAGCCCCGCATTATGCCAGATGGAACTACGTATCAGAGGCCTAGCAGCATTGAGTCCATGTTATCAGCTGCCCAAGCTGAGCATGACTTGCCTCAAAACGTATGGGACGTAGCAAAGAGCCCGGATGCACTCAAGTGGGAGCGCGCAATGCGCGAAGAACTGGACTCTCTCGAGGAAAACTGTACTTGGGACTTGACCAGCCTTCCACGCGGTCGAAAGACTGTAAAATGCAGATGGGTGTTTAGCAGGAAGCGTGACGGTTGTTTCAAAGTACGACTCGTTGCCAAGGGATTTACTCAGGTTCATGGGTTTGACTATGATGAGACCTTCTTGCCAGTATTGTGCTACAAATCTTTGTGCATACTTATGGCTCTGGCTGCTCTCGAAGATTGGGAGATTCATGCCATGGATGTCAAAACGGCATTCCTAAACAGGGATCTAGAGGAAGAAATCTATATGGAACTTCCGGAATTACCCAAAGGTTTCTCGTCATGGCCAAAAGAAAAGGTGGCACGCCTTTGTAAATCACTCTATGGGTTGAAACAGGCGTCTCATCAGTGGAATATCAAAATCCACAATGCTCTCCTCGAACTTGGTTTTGCTCAGACATACTCCGACGCCGGTGTCTACACATATCGCCAACAAATGGGAGATACAGTCATCATCTTGGTGCTGTATGTTGACAATATGCTCATTATGGGCAACAATCTGCCGGAGATAGCGCGTATCAAATCCTTGCTCGCGAACCGCTTCAAAATGACAGATCTTGGTCCTGCAAAGGATTTCCTTGGTCTGAACATAGTTCGTGATCGCAAAGCGCGTAAAAACTGGATCAATCAGACTTCTTATATCGAAGGAGTTCTAGAACATTTCCGGATGTCTTCGTGTAAAGAAGCTCGTACTCCCCTGCCTTCCGGCATCGTGCTCGAGAAGCATGATGGAGAAGTTGATGAAGACCGTCGTACCCGTTACCAGCAGCTGATTGGCAGTCTTTTATACGCCATGCTTGGTACACGCCCCGACATTGCCTACGCAGTCATCCATCTTTCAAAGTTCAACAGCAACCCATCAGAACATCATTGGAACATGGCAAAATACATACTCCGGTACCTTCAGGGCACCAAACACTACCAACTTTGCTATGATGGTTCCACTGGCACAGGCCTTATCGGTTATTCCAATGCTGATTGGGCGGAGAACAAAGACAACAGGCATTCCACCATGGGATATTTCTTCTTCATTGCTGGTTGTGCAGTGACCTGGGTTTCTAGACGCCAACCCACGGTCGCTTTGTTCTCAACAGAGGCCGAATACATGGCTCTGAGCAATGCTACGCACCAGATTGCCTGGATCTGCACTTTATTGACTGAGCTTGGATATGACTTGCCATCCACGCCTCTTTGTGTTGATAACCAAGGCGCTATCTTTATGGCAGTAAATCCGGTTCATGATAGGAGGACAAAGCACATCGACATCCACTATCACTTCGTACAAGAATCTGTCAAAGCTGGCAATGTCCAACTTTACCATGTGCCGACTGATGCGATGATCTCAGACACGCTCACAAAGTCTTTGGCATGGGTGAAGTTCCAACAACATCAGCTGTCTTTGGGTCTTCGTGATCTGACTGTTTAGTTGAGTGGGAGTGTTGAAGCTTGTTTGTATTGGTGACTATCACAGTATGTAGACATGACATCATATGTAGTATCTTTAGATTACTTTGGCTCGCTCCACATTGACCTTATACCTGACCTCATTATTGCATCATCCATTACTCATCTATGATATCACTACTCCACTATGACATCATGATATCTGCTCCAGACTGGTATATAAACCTAGTACTATACGCTCCATATTCTCAGCTCTGTGTCTTCTACACTCGCTGAGGTATGCATACTCTCTTATGATCTCTTACGACTCATACTCATGACTTGTACCTAGACTCTGTTTCTATAGGTACTGCTAATGTTAGCTCTGTGTCTTCTATACTTGCTGAGACTCTGTCTCTATAGGTGATTGCTACTGGTCATATCTACACTGCGCGATATTGTCTGCAACATGTTGATCATTGCCTGGTGCTCCTTGTGACCCCTCATGTGACACTGCTCTGGGCATCAGCTGAATCTCATTGTCTGCTCCTGCCAATCCACCTCAGGGTTGTGTTCTGTCAGCCAATCAAGACCAATGAAGATCCAGGCTTTTCCTAGACACATCAGGAGAAATGTGCGTGTTTCCACATGAGGACCAATTCTCATCCTCAGGTTGAAGTAATGCGTGATCCGACCGCTGATGTTTTCGGTGTTATTGGCATCATGAGCCACAATAGGTTGTGGAAGCTCTTGGATGTCCAATTTCTCCGCTCGTGCGTAGTTGGTATTGATACAACAGGTGCTATAACCACTATCGAGCAGTGCTTTGACCCCATATGTTTTCCCCGAGTCCAGGCCCATGATCTGGACATACATGTCCATTGAATGTCTCTTCCTCTCTGCCTGGTCGTCATGCAATTCCTGTGCCAATCTGCTGGGTTGGGGGCCCTTCTGTTTCTTAGCCACTAATTTCCTCTGGACGGCATCTGGCACCCTTGTGCGTTTGGGTGCTTCTGGAACCTTGATTTCGGCCAATTCCTCAGGCACTTCCTCCTTTTCCAAGGATTGAGCCTCTGGAGCGATGCTCCCCTTTTCGGTCTTTGTTGACGTGGTTTCTTCTTCACAAGCCATAAATACGTGGAAGTCCAAAAATAATTTGTCCACAGCTGCTATCTTCTGATCCTTTTTATCTTGTAAATATTTTCTATTTAGAGCTATTTTTTCTTTACGTTCTTTTTCCATCTCAGCAACAAGAAACTCGTGAATATTAGTATGTAGTGAGTCGGGGAGCGTGTATGTATAGTGAGGAATATTGTTCGTATCTTTGATCAAAAAAAAGTAAAGAAAATTGTCCATAGTCCAGATGCTCCACCTCCTTGGCTAGAGGAGTGGAGCGCTTCAGAAACCCTTCTCGCACAGCTTCTCGACAATCTCCTTGAGAAACTCATTGTCCTTGTCCCCGTTCTTGATCTCTTCAAGTATTGTAGCCCGATTGAAGAATGTGCGCTTCTTTCTTGGTTGCAGACAGTTCCGCGCGATGTGCCCAGGTTGCTGACAGTTGTAGCAGATGATATTGCTGTTAGTGATAGGTTTTGCAGTTGATCACTCTCTGGTAATTGGGTCACATGATCATCTGATTCCATATGATCTTATCACTGATCTTATCACTGATGATATCTGATTCCATCACTGTTCCCATCATTCCATTATTTTGGTCACATGATTCCTATACAGTCACATGCTCCATCCACATAGATAGTTCCTCCCTACCTGGAGTTCCTCAGCTTCTTACTGTTGACTCCAGGTCTATAGATTCTTTTCTTGTCTTGTCTTGCAATGCAGAGCTTCTTACTGTTGACTCCAGTCCTCTCTGCATTTCCTGCTTCAACAATAACACAATGGCTGAGCAGAAGCAGGTGCAGCTGCCAGGGCAGCAGAAGGAGAAAAGACTGATGGATGAGAGTGGGAATTTGATGCCATGCTGTGCTCAAAAATGCGCCCAGAATGATGGAGGTGATCTATGTATGTAGCTACAGGCTCTCAGGAGTGTGTTGATCTCAGGCACCTAGCTGTCTCAACCTCAGGATCACAGGAATGACTACCTGGTGTTTCCTGATGGACCAAAGAGCACACCCACTTAAGGATAGAGTCCCAACTACTAGTGCCTGAACCACAGACACTATAAGAGCAGAAAAAAACAGAACAGAGAGGAGCAGAGATGTCAACTGCAGTAGCAGGACTGGGGCAAGCAGGCAGCAGCAGGCAACGAAAATCAGAATAGATGACTCCGAGGCACTCTAGAGGCAGGGGCCCCTAACCTGTTAAAGCAGGAAATGCAGAGAGAACTGGAGTCAACAGTAAGAAGCTCTGCATTGCAAGAGAAAACAAGAAAAGAATCTACAGACCTGGATTCAACAGTAAGAAGCTGAAGAACTCCAGGGAGGCAAGAGCTATCTATGTGGATGGAGCATGTGACTGTATAGGAATCATGTGACTTGGAGTCAGGTGACAAAAATGATGGAATGATAGGAACAGTGATGGAATCAGATATCATCAGTGATGTGATCAGATAAAATCAGATCATCATGTGACCCAATTACCAGAGAGTGATCAAGTCCAAAACCCATTCTCAACAATAGCAGCAGTGACAATGGCAGCAATGTTGACGCTGACAGTGACATTAATGTGGAGGTTTTTGTGCTCAGGGAATAATTGACACTGCACCCCCATAGGCTTAAATTCATTTACATTGTATTGTATCTCTTTACATGAATAATTTCACAGGCCTATCTGAGGCCAGGTACTATGTTCCCCTTCACAGGCAGTAGCATTGTAATGGTAGCAACATGCAGTAAGGAAAGGTTCATAAAGACACTTTTTTTTGCATATAGTTCTATATGAGATTAAGGTACTAAAGTAAATCACTAAATGTAATTAGCACAGAGTGACCCTTTGTCACTTTGACAAAGCAGCTCAGCGGTAACGCAGACCACACATCCTAAATGATTATCAAGAGAAATCACAACCCGGCAATCCATCTCCCAATGCGCGCAATACGCAAGAGCCACCAACTGGATGTTGTTACCGCGCAGGCCGCCCTTGCCGCTGTGGTACATGCAGCAAATTTCCCTCCAGACGTGCAGAGCCTTCTGAATCATATGGCACTTGAAGATGGTTCCCAGAGCGGGTGAGAACGTTTGGCCATAGGCGGCATTACTGCACAGCACATCATCCACACCAGACCCTCTCTTACAGATCACTCACTACAGGGTATAGATCCTCTCGCAGATATTGGGCCCTCCCTTAACCATCAGAGCCCAGTAGGTGGTCCGGCAGTTGTCATGATTATCAAATCCTTGGAAATTGTATAACATGAAGACGGGGGCATTGCAAGGGAAGTGGCATTTGATTGCATGTTTGATGCCCGCAATTCGGGGCCAGCGCTCATTTACAGACATTCGGAGGTGGTGAGAATGTGGAAAGCATATGGGATGTGAGTACAAGGATGTAACAGAAGTAATAAAATTGATGGAGGCGGTAATTGGGGAGTCAGAAAGACCATCACTCTGAGTCAGACGTACAACACAATGACCATGGGATATAGATCCTCACATGTTATGGTGATATGGGGCATTGGCAGCTGCATATCTTCACTATCACAACAAAACCGCAGATCAAGCAGTTGGTAAGAGCAACACTTGGGTGCACCTGCATATCTCCACTGTGACAACAAATTTGCAGATCAAGGAATGGATGGGAGTCTGACCTATGCGCACCTGCAAATCTTCATTGTCACAACGCTCAGGAAATCAGGAGGTTGATGATAGCGCAGTCACAATAAAACCAGATCAATTACAAGGAGGGCGCATGACCCCTGCATACCTGCATATATCCACTGTCACAATGGATTAAGACTGGATTAATTAGATAGAGGGCATGCTACCTTTGCACACACACATATCTCCACCGTTACAATGTCTTGTGGCAACAGGCCACACCTTTGAGGTCAGAAAAGGTTTGACCAACCAAATATGAACTGGGACGCAGATAAGATTTTGACTGTGCTGTGCCCGTATAGATCCACCGTTATAACGATCTGCAGGATGATTTGTAAACAACTTGCACCCCATACACATCCTCGGCCTCCCAATATGCCCACAGGACAACCAATGATTGGTTCAGAAATGAAATGATAGGTTAAGCATCAGTGATGCATCACAATGACCTCTTTAACCATGACCACCACCTTCCTTATATGGATTCCCCGCTCCCCCATCTGATCCACCTTTGCTACGGTCTTCATATCATTAAAACAACCAAACGTATTCCAGTCAAATCTGTGTTGAAGTGTGGAAAGGATGTTTTGCTTGGTTCAGACAAAAGAGTGTTACTTAGCTATGTGACCATCAGTACATAGCCCTAGATCAATGTGACAGACTGGGCTTTTCTGTTGGAGTTGGGAATCCCAGTACCAAGGCAGAATAGCTCAGTGGTTAGAGCACTGGACGATCCAAGTCAGAGGTCCCAGGTTCAATTCCTGGTTCAGCCATTTTATCAACATTTTCGCCTCCCATCTGTGCCCCTAGCCTCCTGCGGCTCCCATCTGTGTTTTCTATGTTCAACAGGTTATTGGCCCCGCCCTGACCTTTCTATCTACCCTTTTCCTTGCTCCCTCTGCGCATTTTTCGCTCTTTTTTCGCTCTTTTTGCTTCTCCCCTCTGTTCCGGTTTTCTCCGACGCTCCTACCGCTTCTCCCTACACCACCATGGCGCCTACCATCACCTCAGCCCTCACCATCGTTCTCACCACGGTTCCTATGCTGGGGAAGGACAACTGGGCCAAGTTTGGGAAAGGATTCAAGGTGTTTTTGCTGGGAGTGGACACACTTTGGGTTATGGGGAAAGGGCCAAAAGCAGATGAGTCTGACCAAGTTGCTCTGGACAGAATGCTCCTCCCCTACCTCTACACCAAGATAGAGGAGCAGTACCAGCCCCTCCTAGATGATTTCGAGTCTGCCACTGCTACCTGGGCTGCCCTCAAGGCCCATTTTGAGAAATCGAGCATGAGCACCAGGATGGCTGCCAGGGCAGAGCTGCACTCCATCCCCCTGTTGGTGATGGGTTTTGGACTTGATCACTCTCTAGTGATTGGGTCACATGATCACCTGATTCCATCTGATCTTATCACTGATCACATCACTGATGATATCTGATTCCATCATTGTTCCCACCATTCCATTATTCTGGTCACATAACTTCTGATCACATGATTCCTGTACAGTCACATGCTCCATCCACATAGATAGTTCCTCCCTCCCTGGAGTTCCTCAGCTTCTTACTGTTGACTCCAGGTCTGTAGATTCTTTTCTTGTCTTGTCTTGCAATGCAGAGCTTCTTACTGTTGACTCCAGTCCTCTCTGCATTTCCTGCTTCAACAGGTTCTGGGCCCCTGCCTCTAGAGTGCCTCTGAGTCATCTATTCTGAGATTTTCGAGTTTTTTCCATTCTCTGATTTTCTCTGCCTGCTGCTGCCTGCTTGCCCCAGTCCTGCTACTGCAGTTGACATCTCTGCTCCCCTCTGTTCTTTTTTTTTTCTGCTCTTATAGTGTCTGTGGTTCAGGCACTAGTAGTTGGGACTCTATCCTTAAGTGGGTGTGCTCTTTGGTCCATCAGGAAACACCAGGTAGTCATTCCTGTGATCCTGAGGTTGAGACAGCTAGGTGCCTGAGATCAACACACTCCTGAGAGCCTGTAGCTACATACATACATCTCCTACATCATTCTGGGCGCATTTTTGAGCACAGCATGGCATCAAATTCCCACTCTCATCCATCAGTCTTTTCTCCTTCTGCTGCCCTGGCAGCTGCACCTGCTTCTGCTCAGCAATTGTGTTATGCCTGTTATCAACATGGCCACACACTCTTAAAATGCCCAGAGTTTCTGTCTCTCCTAGAGGACAATGCTTCTGAGCCTGAGCCAGAGCCTGAGCCTGAGCCTGTGCCTAGGCCTAGGCCCAGAAAGGGTGCAGTCAAGTCTGAAGTGGCCACTCATACAAGCCTTCTCTCCCACTCCACTGCAGACCCTGAGTTGAGATGGATTGCAGATTCTGGTGCTACATCACACATGACCCATTGTGTGCACCTGCTGCAGAACACTCGTCCTCACAGGGCACCCATCAGAGTGGCTAATGGACTTGTGGTCTATTCAGAGCTTGTGGGGGAGATAGTGCTTAGGCCACTGATCCATGGACATGCCAGGAGCCGGTCTGTGATCCTCTCCAATGTGCTCTATGTCCCTGCTCTGTCTCACAATCTGATCTCCACTACATACCTGTCAGTTCACCATGACTACACTGTGCTCATGAAGGAGAACTACATCCTGTTCAAGCGCAATGGTGAAGTGTACTTTGTGGCAGATATCTCAGAGCAGGGTCAGGCATTTGTGAGAGAGACTGGTTTCCCTTCTGCTGGTTCAGCACTGGTTTCTACAGCTGGGACTCTTCCCATTGACCTCAGCCTGATGCACAGGCGGCTTGGACACCACAGTGATACCAAGCTAGTCATGGATAAAGAGCTGGTTACTGGTGTGAGGCTTGCCTCTACTAGGAAGCCAGACCCCATCTGTGAGCCATGCCTCTTCGGCAAGCTGAATGCTGGCCTGTTTCCCTCAACTGGTTATTGTTCTGGAGCGCCTCTTGATCTGATTCACTCTGATCTAAAGAGCTACTCTGTGCCCACCCGCGAGGGCTGGAAGCACAGGGTGACTTTTGTTGATGATCACACTGGCTTCAAGGTAGCATACCACATGAAGAACAAGAGTGAGACATTTGCAGCCCTTAAGATGTTTCAAGCGTATGCTGAGACTCACTGGGGGCTGAAGATCAAGGCATTCCAGGACGATAAAGGGGGAGAGTACATGTCTAATGAGTTCAGATCACATCTGGACAAGTGTGGCATTGTGCACCGCCATTCAGTCAGGGCACGGCCTCAGCAGAATGGGACAGCAGAGCGGTCCAACCGCACCGTTGATGAGCACTCCACTGCCATGTTACACGAAGCCAACCTGCCCCCTGCATTCAGGGCCCTGGCGGTGTCTGCATACATCCATGTGTGCAACATGCACCCCCACAGCTCGAGACCCCACCAGGACTCCCCATGAGCTGTGGTTCAAGGCAAAGCCTGATGTGTCTCATCTTCGTGTTTGGGGATGCCTTGCCTATGTGCATGTGCAACGAGACAAGAGAGGTCCTTCTGGGCATCATGTCCAGAAGTGTATCTTTGTAGGCTATCCTGCAGGGTACAAGGGATGGTTGTTCTTCAACCCAGAGACTCAGAAACTCGTGATCGCTGAGAGAGCAGTGTTTGTGTTGAAGTGTGGAAAGGATGTCTTGCTTGGTTCAGACAAAAGAGTGTTACTTAGCTATGTGACCATCAGTACATAGCCCTAGATCAATATGACAGACTGGGCTTTTCGCCTCCCATCTGTGCCCCTAGCCTCCTGCGGCTCCCATCTGTGTTTTCTGAGTTCAACAGTTTGATGAGCGCTACTTCCCAGGCAGTACCCCTCAAGCTATGAGGAGCTGTCCTGCGGCACCCCCTTCCTCCATGCTGGTGGATCCCCCTCATGCTCCAGCACCGGTGTATGTCCCTGATGACGATGGTGATGAGAAGCAGCAACAGCCACCTGCTCCTCCTCTCCCTGCACCACGAGTTCCCTCTCCTGCAGCCAGCAGTGATGATGAAATCGACTTTCTACGTCGAGCTCCACCACCTCCATCTCCCCCACCAGCTGGGGATGCCCCGCTTCACCCTCCACCCACGCCTCCTCCTCCCCAATCTCCTATTGGGGTGGCAGCTCGTCATGCTGCTGCTGGCATCCATCGTGTCCCTGCACCACCCAGGAGGGCTCCAGCTCCAGCTGCTGCTCCTCCCAGGCGCACCATGGCAGAGATCTTTGAAGAGATCCCTGAAGACCTCAGCAATGATAAGTTTCTTCTGAAGTCATCCTCAGCCCTTATTGTGGTGCGTGAGGGTGACCCCTCAGATCCCAAGCTGGCAGCAGCTCATGCTACTGCAGTGCAGTCCGTGTTGTCTGCTGTAGCCTCTGGGAACCCCTGGTCGTTCTTTGAAGCGTCCAAGCGGGAGGATGGTCCATTATGGCGCGCTGCAGCTGCATCTGAGATTGACTCTCTGCTCAGCAACTGCACATGGGATGTGGTCGACTTGCCACAAGGGGTCAAGCCAATTCGCTCTCAATGGGTGTTTGTGATCAAACACAAGTCTGATGGCACTGTGGAACGCTACAAAGCCAGACTCGTGGCAGATGGTCGTGGCCAGCGCTATGGCATTGACTACTATGAGGTGTTTGCACCCACCTTCAGACCTGCTACTCTGCGCGTTATCCTTGCTCTTGCTGCTCAGAACAACCTCAAGTTGCGCTTCATCGACTTCTCTTCTGCCTACCTCAATGGGGACCTGGATGAGGATGTCTACATGACTCAGCCAGAAGGGTTCCCCCAGGGAGAGAAGGGCCAGGTCCTGAAGCTGAACCGGTCCATCTATGGGCTGAAGCAGGCTGGCCGGCAGTGGCGCATCAAGTTGGTTGCCAAGCTGGCTGCCATGGGGTTCAAGTGCATCAAGTCAGACAGCTCCTGCCACATCTACTCTGATGGTGTGGTGCGCGTGATCCTGCCTATCTATGTTGATGATGGCACCATTGCTGCAAAGCATGATGCTGACATTGACAAGGTCATTGCCCAGCTGGGTACAGCCTTCTGTTGAAGCAGGAAATGCAGAGAGGACTGGAGTCAACAGTAAGAAGCTCTGCATTGCAAGAGAAAACAAGAAAAGAATCTACAGACCTGGAGTCAACAGTAAGAAGCTGAAGAACTCCAGGGAGGGAGGAACTATCTATGTGGATGGAGCATGTGACTGTATAGGAATCATGTGACTTGGAGTCATGTGACCAGAATAATGGAATGATGGGAACAGTGATGGAATCAGATATCATCAGTGATAAGATCAGTGATAAGATCAGATGAAATCAGATGATCATGTGACCCAATCACCAGAGAGTGATCAAGTCCAAAACCCATCACCAACACTCCCCCGGGATGAGATCAGTCTCTCAGCCTCTCCCCCGCAATCTCATCAGTGTGCGCAACCTTGCCACCTGAGGCCGAGGCAGCGCCTTGGTCAGGATGTCAGCCAGCTGGTCCTGCGTCGGCACATACTTCACATCAATGAACCCTCTGGCCACTTCATCTCTGAGCCAGTAGTGTGCCAGGTCCAGATGCTTCATACGCCCATGGTGTTCAGGATTCTTGGACACAGATATGGCACACTGGTTGTCCATCATCAAGGGAGATGCCCCATACACACCATGCTCTAGCTCATGCAGCAGATTTCACATCCACTTGATCTCCTTCCCAGCATCTACACCAGCCACATACTCTGCCTCAGTAGTGGACAGAGAGATGGTGGACTGCAGCTTGCTCCTCCAGCTCACTGGTCCACCAGCCATCATAATGACATACCCCCCAGTGCTTTTCATGGAGTCCTTGTCTCCAGCATGATCAGCATCAGTGAAGGTGGTGAAGAGGTCGTCAGGATGGATGTGGGTGGCTGGGTCATAGAGGGTGGGGGAAGATTTGGAGTAGGTGATGCGGAAGTCAAGGGTGCCCTGGATGTATCGAAGCAGGTGCTTGACAGCCTTCCAGTGCTCTTCACCAGGATTGCTATTGAAGCGCGCTAGCACCCCCACAGCATAGGAGATGTCAGGGCGAGTCTGACAGGCCAGGTACATCAGAGAGCCAACAGCAGACAGATAGTTGCCCTTGAACTGCTTGGACTCCTCCTCAGTCTTGGCTCCCATCTCCTTGGTCAGAGACAGGCCAGGCAGCATGGGGGTGTCCACAGGCTTGCAGTCAGCCATGCCATACTGCTCCAGGAGGTTTACTGCATACTGGCGCTGAGAGATGCTGATGTCTCCAGTGTGCTCATCACGCTCTATCTTGATCCCCAGAAGCCACTCTGTAGGACCCAGATCCCGCACCTTGAAGGCCTTGCCAAGCTGGGCAATGACCTTGTCAATGTCAGCATCATGCTTTGCAGCAATGGTGCCATCATCAACATAGATAGGCAGGATCACGCGCACCACAGCATCAGAGTAGATGTGGCAGGAGCTGTCTGACTTGATGCACTTGAACCCCATGGCAGCCAGCTTGGCAACCAACTTGATGCGCCACTGCCGGCCAGCCTGCTTCAGCCCATAGATGGACCGGTTCAGCTTCAGGACCTGGCCCTTCTCTCCCTGGGGGAACCCTTCTGGCTGAGTCATGTAGACATCCTCATCCAGGTCCCCATTGAGGTAGGCAGAAGAGAAGTCGATGAAGCGCAACTTGAGGTTGTTCTGAGCAGCAAGAGCAAGGATAACGCGCAGAGTAGCAGGTCTGAAGGTGGGTGCAAACACCTCATAGTAGTCAATGCCATAGCGCTGGCCACGACCATCTGCCACGAGTCTGGCTTTGTAGCGTTCCACAGTGCCATCAGACTTGTGTTTGATCACAAACACCCATTGAGAGCGAATTGGCTTGACCCCTTGTGGCAAGTCGACCACATCCCATGTGCAGTTGCTGAGCAGAGAGTCAATCTCAGATGCAGCTGCAGCGCGCCATAATGGACCATCCTCCCGCTTGGACGCTTCAAAGAACGACCAGGGGTTCCCAGAGGCTACAGCAGACAACACGGACTGCACTGCAGTAGCATGAGCTGCTGCCAGCTTGGGATCTGAGGGGTCACCCTCACGCACCACAATAAGGGCTGAGGATGACTTCAGAAGAAACTTATCATTGCTGAGGTCTTCAGGGATCTCTTCAAAGATCTCTGCCATGGTGCGCCTGGGAGGAGCAGCAGCTGGAGCTGGAGCCCTCCTGGGTGGTGCAGGGACACGATGGATGCCAGCAGCAGCATGACGAGCTGCCACCCCAATAGGAGATTGGGGAGGAGGAGGCGTGGGTGGAGGGTGAAGCGGGGCATCCCCAGCTGGTGGGGGAGATGGAGGTGGTGGAGCTCGACGTAGAAAGTCGATTTCATCATCACTGCTGGCTGCAGGAGAGGGAACTCGTGGTGCAGGGAGAGGAGGAGCAGGTGGCTGTTGCTGCTTCTCATCACCATCGTCATCAGGGACATACACCGGTGCTGGAGCATGAGGGGGATCCACCAGCATGGAGGAAGGGGGTGCCGCAGGACAGCTCCTCATAGCTTGAGGGGTACTGCCTGGGAAGTAGCGCTCATCAAACTGTTGAACTCAGAAAACACAGATGGGAGCCGCAGGAGGCTAGGGGCACAGATGGGAGGCGAAAAGCCCAGTCTGTCATATTGATCTAGGGCTATGTACTGATGGTCACATAGCTAAGTAACACTCTTTTGTCTGAACCAAGCAAGACATCCTTTCCACACTTCAACACAAACACTGCTCTCTCAGCGATCACGAGTTTCTGAGTCTCTGGGTTGAAGAACAACCATCCCTTGTACCCTGCAGGATAGCCTACAAAGATACACTTCTGGACATGATGCCCAGAAGGACCTCTCTTGTCTCGTTGCACATGCACATAGGCAAGGCATCCCCAAACACGAAGATGAGACACATCAGGCTTTGCCTTGAACCACAGCTCATGGGGAGTCCTGGTGGGGTCTCGAGCTGTGGGGGTGCATGTTGCACACATGGATGTATGCAGACACCGCCAGGGCCCTGAATGCAGGGGGCAGGTTGGCTTCGTGTAACATGGCAGTGGAGTGCTCATCAACGGTGCGGTTAGACCGCTCTGCTGTCCCATTCTGCTGAGGCCGTGCCCTGACTGAATGGCGGTGCACAATGTCACACTTGTCCAGATGTGATCTGAACTCATTAGACATGTACTCTCCCCCTTCATTGTCCTGGAATGCCTTGATCTTCAGCCCCCAGTGAGTCTCAGCATACGCTTGAAACATCTTAAGGGCTGCAAAGGTCTCACTCTTGTTCTTCATGTGGTATGCTACCTTGAAGCCAGTGTGATCATCAACAAAAGTCACCCTGTGCTTCCAGCCCTCGCGGGTGGGCACAGAGTAGCTCTTTAGATCAGAGTGAATCAGATCAAGAGGCGCTCCAGAACAATAACCAGTTGAAGGAAACAGGCCAGCATTCAGCTTGCCAAAGAGGCATAGCTCACAGATGGGGTCTGGCTTCCTAGCAGAGGCAAGCCTCACACCAGTAACCAGCTCTTTATCCATGACTAGCTTGGTATCACTATGGTGTCCAAGCCGCCTGTGCATCAGGCTGAGGTCAATGGGAAGAGTCCTCGCTGTAGAGACCAGTGCTGAACCAGCAGAAGGGAAACCAGTCTCTCTCACAAATGCCTGGCCCTGCTCTGAGATATCTGCTACAAAGTACACTTCACCATTGTGCTTGAACAGGATGTAGTTCTCCTTCATGAGCACAGTGTAGTCATGGTGAACTGACAGGTATGTAGTGGAGATCAGATTGTGTGACAGAGCAGGGACATAGAGCACATTAGAGAGGATCACAGACCGGCTCCTGGCATGTCCATGGATCAGTGGCCTAAGCACTATCTCCCCCACAAGCTCTGAATAGACCACAAGTCCATTAGCCACTCTGATGGGTGCCCTATGAGGACGAGTGATGTGCAGCACGTGCACACAATGGGTCATGTGTGATGTAACACCAGAATCTGCAATCCACCTCAACTCAGGGTCTGCAGTGGAGTGGGAGAGAAGGCTTGTATGAGTGGCCACTTCAGACTTGACTGCACCCTTTCTAGGCCTAGGCCTAGGCCTTGGCTCAGGCTCAGGCTCTGGCTCAGGCTCAGAAGCATTGTCCTCTAGGAGAGACAGAAACTCTGGGCATTTTAGGAGTGTGTGGCCATGTTGATAACAGGCATAACACAATGGCTGAGCAGAAGCAGGTGCAGCTGCCAGGGCAGCAGAAGGAGAAAAGACTGATGGATGAGAGTGGGAATTTGATGCCATGCTGTGCTAAAAAATGCGCCCCGAATGATGTAGGAGATGTATGTATGTAGCTACAGGCTCTCAGGAGTGTGTTGATCTCAGGCACCTAGCTGTCTCAACCTCAGGATCACAGGAATGACTACCTGGTGTTTCCTGATGGACCAAAGAGCACACCCACTTAAGGATAGAGTCCCAACTACTAGTGCCTGAACCACAGACACTATAAGAGCAGAAGAAAAAAAAACAGACAGAGGGGAGCAAAGATGTCAACTGCAGTAGCAGGACTGGGGCAAGCAGGCAGCAGCAGGCAGAGAAAATCAGAGAATGGAAAAAACTCGAAAATCTCAGAATAGATGACTCAGAGGCACTCTAGAGGCAGGGGCCCATAACCTGTTGAAGCAGGAAATGCAGAGAGGACTGGAGTCAACAGTAAGAAGCTCTGCATTGCAAGAGAAAACAAGAAAAGAATCTACAGACCTGGTGTCAACAGTAAGAAGCTGAAGAACTCCAGGGAGAGAGGAACTATCTATGTGGATGGAGCATGTGACTGTACAGAAATCATGTGACTTGGAGTCAGGTGACAAAATGATGGAATGATGGGAACAGTGATGGAATCAGATATCATCAGGGATATGATCAGTGATAAGATCAGATGGAATCAGGTGATCATGTGACCCAATCACCAGAGGGTGATCAAGTCCAAAACCCATCCTCAACATCGATGTCCTCATCAACTAGGCCAATGGGCGTGAAGACGTTCTTGTAAGGGTCGAAGAGTTGTCGTTGGGGGTATGGAAGGCGTTTGTCCCTGGGTTTGTAGCAATGAATAAGGTAGTCCCAATGTCCGGCTTCGAGCGTTGGCAGGAGGTGAATGCGTGTGTCTGGGTTGGATTGTTTCCTCTGCCAATCTCTCAGGACTTTTTTCGCGTGGGTAAGATGACGTGATGGTTCCCAGGTGTTCTTGCTATGCGGCCATCCCTTCCATTTGACCAAGTACTGTTTTCCTCGGCCAACATTTTGCTCTTTCACAATCTCTTCGACTTCCCACTCCTCTGCTCCTCCGATCATCTTGGCTACGGGCCTCTTCTCTTGGCGATGGGGGGGTGGTTCGTGATAGGGTGTCAACAGTGACTCATTGAACACTGGGTGCCTTCGGTCCGTGTCCGGAAAATCCAGCTTCCATGCAGCCGCTCCAACCTTCTCCAGTATCTCGTATGGCCCCAATCTCTTATTGCTCATCTTCTTGGATGGTCTATCCGTATTGATATTTTCCCCTTCTATGTACACCTTCATCCCAACCTTCAACTCCAGAACTTCTTTTCTTTGTTTATTGTAGTATTTTTTCATTTTTTCATTTGCTTTTTCCAATGCTGCTTTTGCTTCGTCTTGTATTTCTTTGATTCTTTTTACAAACTCCTCTGCCAACTCGTTCCTCGATTCCATCCGTTGCTCCACTCCCTTCCATGGGTGATATCCGTGATTGGCGTAGAACGGTGATATTTTGGTAGATGTGTTCATCTTGTTGTTATATGCGAACTTTGCCATTCCCAGCCACTCCGACCAGTCCGTCTCATAGTAATTGACGTAGATGCAGAGATAGTGTTCGATCTCTTGATTCATGCGTTCTGTTTGTCCATCTGTGATCGGGTGATATGCAGTCCCCAGATTCATTTCCACGCCCAACATCCAATTCGTTTCCTTCATGAAGCTCTTGATGTATTGTGAGTCCCTATCGGTGATGATCTTGCAAGGGATCCCGTGATAGCGGAAGACTCGGTCCCTGGTCAACTGTGCTACTTCTTTGCTGCTGATGTCAGTACTAATTGGTTCAACGTGAATCATTTTGGTGAAGGTGTCACACCACACATGAATTGTGTCATACCCATTACTGACCAGCAGGGGTCTGATTTGATCCATGGAGATGATTTCCCATGGCATGTTTGGGACTGCATGCGGGTGTAGAGTCCCCGTCCTTGCTCTCCTGGTCTTGGTCCGTTGGCATGCCTCGCACGTCTGGATGTATTTCAGAATTTGGTTTCCCATCCTTGGCCACCAGTAGTTCCTTTCCACCATCTCCTGCATTCGGTTGATCCCAGTGTGTCCAACCAAAGGTGTGTCATGGTGTAGCCCAATGATCTTGTCTCGCAGCTCCTTGTCCCTTGGTATGTAGAGCTTCCCATGATACGTGATGAGCCCCTCTTCCTTTTTCCATCCGGCGAGTGACTTCTCCAAGGCCGCTTTGACACTTCTATCAATTGATCGAGTGGCCTTGATCTCATCAACTAGCTGCTGATCTTGCCCCTCAAATGTGACTTCTTGCGATCGGAAGAACTCGGGCTTCAGCAGGGTGACGTCCTTGTTGTCATTCTTGCCCTGATCGTGATCCGCTCATCGAGATAAGAGATCCGCCTTGCGGTTGAGTGCGCCGGGCCGGTGTCGTAAGGTGAAATCAAACTCTGCCAACTCCGTGATCCATTGTGCTTGCTGTCGATTGAGCTTCTGCGGCTTCCGGAAGTACTCAAGATTTTGATGATCTGTGAAGATCTCAAACGTTTCCGTGGCTCCCAGTAGTAACTGCCTCCATTCGTCCAATGATAGCATGATTGCAAGCATTTCTTTGTCGTAGATCTCGTAATTTCACTCGGTTTCCGTTAATGCGTGCGAAATAAACGCGATTGGGCGTCAAATGCCATCTTGGTTTTGGCTCAAAACAGATCCTGTTGCCCCTTCCAAAGCATCAGCTTCCAGATGATATTGGCCAGTGTTGTTTGGCAGTGCTAGGACCGCATCCTCCGCAATTCTCTTCTTCAATCCATCAAATGCCGCATGCTCATCCATACCCCATGACCATCCTGCCTTCCCTGTCAGCCGCGTCAATAGCTTGGCGACCTCCACATATCCCCGGACAAAGCGCCGATAGAAGTTGGTGAACCCCAGGAATGCTTGGACTTGCTTGATGCTCTTTGGTTCAGGCCATTCCATCACGCCCTTGATCTTGACTGGGTCCATCCGCATCAAGTTGTGCCCAATAATTACACCCAGATATTTGATTTCCATGCGTTCGAACTCGCACTTTTTAGGTTTCAGGTCCAACTTGTGTTTTTAGAGCAGTTCAAGTACTCGTTTTGTGATCCGCTGATGTTCGTCCAAGTTTTCTGTGAAGATCAATATATCGTCAAGATAAACTACCACGTGACCCTCGTTGATCAGTTCTTGGAGTATGTTGTTCATCATGTTTTAAAAGGTTGCTGGGAATTTGTGAGACCAAAGAACATAACCAAGGGCTCATACAGCCCATGGTTTGTGCAGAATGCAGCCTTCCACTCGTCACCCTCTTTGATCCGTACATTGTTATATCCCCACCGGATGTCGAGCTTTGTGAAGAACTTTGCGCCACATAGATTATGGACCAGTTCGGAGATCAGCGGCAGCGGGTATCGATTTCGGATTGTCATTTCATTCAGCTTCCGATAATCTTGGACGGAACATAGCAAACCATCCTTCTTTTTAACAAAGAAGAATGCTGATGCCATAGGTGATTTTGATGGCCTGATCCGTCCGCTGGCCAGGTTCTCTTGTAAGAACTCGTTGAGTTTGACTTGTTCGTTGCGTGATAACGGGTACACCTTGCAGTCCACTGCTTTGGAACCAGGTTTGAGCTCAATCGCATGATCCCATGCCCATCAGTCCGGTAGCGAGTCGAATGATTCCTTGGCAAATACCTTGACGAATTCCCAATATTGATCCGGAATCTTTCCCTCGGTCATCCTCTCCTTCTCCTTTTCTGCTTCTTCTGCAAACTTCTGTGCCGGTGTTTCCTTCAGCCACAGATCTACTTCCTTCCCAAAGTCAACCAACAGGATCGATTCTCCCTCTTCCAGATCCGGTGCGCCCGTGTCCAGGTCGATTGCATCCATGTCAATCATCGCCTGATGCTCCTCGTGGCCCCTCATGTGACACTGCTCTGGGCATCGGCTGAATCTCATGGTCTGCTCCTGCCAATCCACCTTGGGGTTGTGTTCCGTCAGCCAATCAAGACCAATGAAGATCCGGGCTTTCCCTAAGCATGTCAGAAGGAACGTGCGTGTCTCCACATGAGGACCGGTTCTCATCCTTAGGTTGACGTAGTGCGTGATCCGACCGCTGATGTTCTCGGTGTTGTTGGCATTACGAGCCACAATGGGTTGTGGAAGCTCTTGGATATCCAACTTCTCTGCCCACGCGTAGTTGGTATCGATGCAGCAGGTACTGCAGCCGCTATCGAGCAGCGCCTTGACTCCGCGCATTTTCCCCGAGTCCAGACCCGTGATCTGGACATATACGTCCATCGAATGCCTCTTTCTTTTGGCCTGATAGTTGCGCAATTCCTGCGCCAGTCTGCTAGGCTGGGGGCCCTTCTGTTTCTCGGCCGCCAATTTTCTCTGGAGGGCATCTGGCACCCTTGTGCGTTTGGGTGCTTCTGGAACCTTGATTTTGGCAGATTCCTTAGGCACTTCCTCCTTTTTCAAGGATTGAGCCTCCAGAGCGATGCTCCCCTTTTCGGTCTTTGTTGACGTGGTTCCTTCTCCACGAGCCATAAATACGTAGGAGTCCAAAATTAATTTATCTGCAGTCTTCTGATCCTTTTTACTCTGTAAATACTCTCTATTTAAAGCTATTTTTCTTTGGTGTTCCTTTTCCATATTAGCAATGAGAAATGTTGATAAAATGGCTGAACCAGGAATTGAGCCTGGGACCTCTGACTTGGATCGTCCAGTGCTCTAACCACTGAGCTATTCTGCCTTGGTGCTGGGATTCCCAACTCCAACAAGAAAATCATGGATATTGGTACGTAGTGAGTCCGAGATTGTGTATGTATGTGCAGAATCGTTCATGTCTTTAATCGAAACAAGTACAGAAAATCGTCCATAGTCCAGATGCTCCACCTCCTTGGCTAGAGGAGTGGAGCGCTTCAAAAACCCTTCTCGCGCAGCTTCTCGGTGATCTCCTTGAGGAACTCGTTGTCCTTGTCCCCGTTCTCGATCTCTTCAAGCATCGTGGCCCTGTTGAAGAATGTGCGCTTCTTCCTCGGTTCTGGACAGTTCCGCGCAATGTGTCCGGGTTGCTGACAGTTGTAGCAAATGATATTGCGGCCCCGGGCATGGGTGCGATCAATTTCTATTGGAACTGGTTTGTTAGCGGCGGGTCGGGTTGGAGCGGGTGTGGGCGCGGCTGGTGCCGCCTGGGGACGAAACTGGGGAGGCGGTCGTGGTGCGGAGTGCCCATGCAATGCTTTGCGCAGCTGATCGTGCAGAGCGTTTGCCTCGATGTTGACACACCAGTCCTTGAAGGCGCCATACGCCTTGGGCAAGGGGACACCCGTGTTTTAGAGGTGGCTTGCGATCTCGCTGCTCAACCCACGCTCAAGGAACTCGATGAGGATGTTGTCCTGATCCCCCTTCTTGTACTTGCCCTTTGAATCGGTGGAGGTGACCACGTTGTACCCTGTGTCCGCAGCCAGCATCTCGAAGTCGGAGATATAATCCGCAAAGGATTGTCTATTCTGGCGCAGAGCCATGAGTCGAGCGACGGCAACTTGCTCCGCGTTGGAGTCCCCAAAGGCCCTCACACCGAGGGATTGCAAATATCACGGCCCATAAAGAATCAATTATATTCTATATATTGGGGCATAAAAAATGAATGGACCTGATATGTGACATATCGGGCACCCGATATCTGGGGTATCAGGTTGTTTTTGTGCTGATATGTGACATATCAGGTCAGCTTCTTTTTGGGGTCACAATATATGGAATATAATTTATTCTTTATGGGCCATGTTATGTGTGATCCCCCAGTGTGCCTCCGAAGTTCCTCCAAGAAGGTCGCCAAGGTGACCCCAGCCTTCAGTCCATTAAGGCTCTCGAAGTTGCGCTGCTTCCAGTTCATCGCCCATCTTGAGGCGGCGCAGCTTGTGCCAGTCTCGTTGCAGAGGTACGAGAGGATGAAGAGGATTTTGGTTTCATCCAGCAAGAATTCTGACCGGTATGCACCAATGTAGGTGGTGCACGAGTCCACGAAGCCCATGTATTTGGTCTTGTCCCCATTGAAATAGGGGGGGTTGGTGGCGAGAGTGATGCGGTGGTGTCCTGACATGGTAGGAGCAGGCGTGGTAGGTGGGGGCAAGGGTGGTTGTTTGGAGGGTAACTCGTCAAGGTCGGGGATCTCGTCTTCAGGCGGCGGGAGGGCGAGGTAGAGATTGGAGGGCCCCGGTTGGTTTTGGTACGCCAGATCGGGCGACAATGGTAAGATGGGAGGAGGAGACAGACTCCCAGACGACGATGGGAATCGGAACAAAATGGTGGATTCGTGTGCTGTACAAGCACTCGAGGAAAGGTTCTTTTGCTAGTAAAAAGATCCCGGGCCTAGCTCTTCACGTGCCCGATGATCCCAAGGTGCATTTTCCCAAAGGTCTCCGCAGCACTCCTTGTAGCTACCGTAAGGCTTGGGTCGGGCTCAACGTTACCCGTGGCCTGGTGCTGTTTGCTCGATATGAACCCTTCACTGCGATCGCAGAGAACAACTAGATGATTTGGTAAAAGGGTGAGTGGGGTGATAAGGGTGAAGAGGATATAGCGGGCGTAGCGGTGCGGGATGCAGGGTAGGAGGTAAGAGGTATGAGGGTATGAGGGGAGTCTTCGAATTATGTGACAATCAACAAGGAATAATGTCAAAAAGAGAAGTGAATTTGAAGACTGGAGAATACAACCAAGTAGCTACAGTATTTATACCCAAATCCAGTCTGAGTCATATCTACAACTAATGAGTCATAAGGCTATGTACCGCATGGAGCACTGGTCATGGGTTGTAGTAGAACCTTCCGGAGCATATGTCGCGCAGCCTTGAATCAATAAAGATAATCCCTGGAACCCCTAGCCCGGACCGTCTGATGCCGTGATCTGTGATAAGATAAGTTGTGCCAAGATAAGATGAGATCGTGGATGATAAGATGAAAAAGTGGCTGAACTATGACAAGAAAGGTGGGAGGTCATGAGATTGTCAACAAACTTGCTTACTGGACAAATACACCAATAATTCTGTGAAATAAATCAGGATCCAGAGCCTCCGTGTGCACGTGACAGGGGCTTCCCAAAAAGGTAGCTTAGTCAGAAAAGTCAAGGGCAGAATGTCAAAATCTCTCCCAGGGGTGGTTAAAAAGGCCACAGCAATCTCAGATCTGCAATTCATCCTGTTATTGCAGTTTGCATATGAGTTGGCACAGCCTGTGATTGCATCATTTCTCGCACTTTTGAGCTCAAACCTTGTGTAAATCATAGCACCCGCATTTCTTCATGTATGAGTACGCAAGTAGGCTCTAAAATCACCATTTTTCTTCTAGTTTTTTATGGTGCTATGAAATCTTTAACATCGTATGTTTCAAAAACCCGGATTCTGCGGGAGACATCCCAGTCCTGATTTTCTATCCCAAGAACGCAAGAACAGTCTGTCGAAGTAAAACAGCCAGAATGCATATCCTATCACCGTACACCCGTGGCAAGTGTCCCAGAGGTCGGTGATTTTACCTGCTAGAGCGCGGACGTGTCAAATCTGCCATCTGTCATGCTGTTACTGCGTGCTCGCATTTCCTCCCCCCTCCATTGTTGCTCCCCATACACGGCACAGTTCATGGCTAGAGGAAAAGCCGTCACTCGGGATCTCTGTTGGACAGTCATGCAAATGCAGGGATTAGAATCTGTTGAGACTATCACTGCATATACTGGGATAAGCAAACATCAAGTTCATTGCATCGTTTACAACTACCAAGCTACGGGTCAAATTCTGAGAAGGAAGGAGAAGACGGGGAGGGCATGGCATCTCACACTGCAGGAGGTGAATGTACATCCTTTTGTCTATTCTTTTCTTGGCTTTTCCTCACAGACAATTGATCTGATTGTGTAGTTTCTTCACGGGTGCCTCACACAAACACCCGACATGTTCCTAGATGAGCTCAAAGCTGATCTAGAGGAAGCATGTGGCAGCCAAGCATCAGAATCAACAATATGGCATTCACTCCAGCGCAGTGGTTACACGATGAAGAAGGTCTGTCCGGATTGACTACATTGATGCATATAAGTCCATTTCTCCAGATCACACGGGTCGCTGCTGAGCGAAGCGCTGAAAAACACGCTCAGTATATGAACAATATCGGAATGAACTATAGGCCCAACCAACTTGTCTTTGTTGATGAGAGCTCGTGCAACCAGTGGACCTCATATCATAGACGTGCATGGGCTTTGAAGGGTAAACGGGCAACACGCAAGGCCTTTTTTGTACGTGGCAAACGGTGCGTACTACAGTGTTCGATGTCATCCCAGTTTGATCCTATCTCTGTGCCAGGTATTCAGTGCTGCCAGCGCTTTCACTCAATGGCATTCTCGAGCTGAGCATCATTGAGGGCTCATTCACCACCAAAACCTTTCATGACTTTTTGGATGGCCTCCTTGACCAGATGAGCCCATTTCCGGCCCTGAACTCAGTGATTGTAATAGACAACGGCTGCATTCATAAGCATGACTCAATCCGGTGATAGGCTGGCTACCAGACATGCTCTGCACCAGCTCTGTAAGGGCGTATTTTTGCGCTTTTTACAGAGTTTACTCTCGAACCATTCGGTGTATCGTGTCGCGGATGACAGTGTTACGTTCAGTAGGGCTTAAGGGTCTACTGCCCAGTCGACGACTGTGGATAGTGTCGACAATAGCAAGGCAGTCAGACCACTACTGTGGAACTGGTCTTATGAGTCTATACCAGGCTCAGGGCCATTAGTGACGAATGCTTGGAGCGCGACAATTCCCCAAAAAGGGATCTTTGTTGCGGCGACTTCTCAAAAGGGTCATTCTCTGCAGATGGGAACTTGGGCTGAAGGGCTGAGCAATGTGCGACGTTCTCAATAATACGACTACTACTGGACAGGACTTGGCGTTATGAGATTGAACCAATCTTGTCGCGGCAACTCCCGGTTTTGAGTTGGACGTTTCCTCAGATCGTGCTACGGCAACGACTTGTCACATGTCAGGATCCATTCGATCACGGGACATTGTGGACGCGTCGCGGTGACACTTCCAAGTGTCACGGTGAGTCGCGTCCATACCCAAACACACTAAAATTGACACGGCTAGATCCGTGAACCGAGCCATGTGGGGAACGACTGGCGTGCCTAGGGCCATACGGCTTCTTGGGGCGCCCACGTTGGTCTCACTTGCCAAGACATACCCGTTGGCCAATCCAACACGTCGTATTCCAAAAGTATGACGCGGTGAGTTGGCCCACATCAAAAGTATCATATGGACTATGGGGCGGGGTCCTGATCACTCAGGACCTGTCCGATCGTTCAACTTTTCAATTACCCTAAAAGGCAACCGATCTAGATAGCGTAGCTACTATGCAGTTGTACAGGACTTTACTAAGCATCGTCGTAGACAGTATAAGTAGCATGTCGTTTCTTTGTATTAGGAAGCTTTCCCCCGGACTGTGAATCACTCTCATTTCAGATTGTTTTGTACAATTTGCGTGCCGCGTGATTCCACCCTAAGAAGTTCTGCTACCCCTGCCTGGTCGCGATGAGTTGCTCCCTGAGCACTTGTAGCTACTGTGACTTGAGTTTGAGTTTTGAGACATCAGAAAGTCGGATTCGCCGCATCTGGTTTAGTCGCGGCATTTAGTGTCGTCGCCTTCGGGCTTTGTTGAGATCGTTCCACACCTCTAGCTTGGCAGTGCGTCGACTAGTTGTGCTCGGGTTGTTTTGGTCAGTTGGCAGTGCGTCGACTTGAGAACTTTGGTTCCACACTTCTTGCTTGGCAGTGCGTCGACAAGTTGTGCTCAGATTTTGGACATTGGATATTGGCTGTTAGTTGGCAGTGCGTCGACGCAGCATTTTGGTTTACTAGTTGGCAGTGCGTCGACTCAGTATATTGGTTGTATCAGTTGGCAGTGCGTCGACTTGGTATTTGGGCTTCGCGTCGCCATCTGGACGCTGTCGCTACAAGGGATCTTAATACTCCGTATTAAGTTCTGACTTGTTATATTATTGTTGGTTGTAGTTGGATTGGTGTTGGTTGTGATTCGTATAGAAGATATTGGTTGAGACACCATTGTTTACTATATATAAATTCTTGTCGTCGACTTCGTCTTCCGCGACTATTGATCTGCGTCTATTGAGAGTTGTGATACTGGTGTTCTGTCCACCCCGAAGCCCTCGCATCTTTCACACACTGAGAAGCTGATTACGAGGAGTGTGAACATGTTTATATTTGGGTTTACTTTCACAGTAGATCCACCTGTGAGCATGCCCTCAGCATTTCACCGGGAGATGATCAAGAATCAGTTAGTGTCGCACTCTGCATTTGTCTCTCAGTAACTCACACTGTACAGTGGCATGCGTATACTGTATCTTCCACCCTACTCTCCAGACTATAATCCCATTGAGCTCGCATTTTCTAAGATCAAGAGTATTATCAGACAGAATGGAGTACAGTATCGCATGGCAACAGAATCAGATCAAGAACAGATTGCAGTACTTACTCAACTGTTCTGTGCCGTTTATTCTGTTACTTCTGAAGATGCCTGTGGCTGGTTCCGGAAATCGAACTACTTGTAGAGATACAATTGAATACTTGTTTACAACCAAACGGCTAATTAGCTAATAAGAAGGACAGCGCATTGAAATCCCTCTCAACACGATAGCACTCAAACCCAAACTCTTCAATATAGAACAGATCTTTGATTGCGTACTGCATGATCTTCTCAGCCATTCTATCACAAACACCGTACTGTTCAATCAGACATTGTACCGCATCTTCTCCCAGTCTGCGCAAGTCATTGAGATACTGGAAACCTCCAGCTTTGAGGCGTTCAATATAGGATTGGAAAAAGAAGCCATCATAGTTGCGTCCATTGGTTCGATCCAGAGAGGTCATCCAGCCATCAATAGTGGGATAGTGAGTGCAGTCTTGTGCAGTTGGAAGTGTGGTTTGCAAAGCCAGAGGCTGGTAGTCTTGATAGTGTTGGCAAGTATGCGTGTTGTGATGATCAAAGTGAGCCGATGAGCCAGAAAAGTGCGAGCGTGACAAGTTTTGATAGACAAGAGAATCTTGATAAGTGCGAGCTGAGATTTGATTGTGGAGAGAGTGATTGCAGAGCATTGTGTTTGGTGCCAGGTACAGGTATTGATAGTCAGCACAAGGGAAGTGATTGATATAGGGACTAGGCGGTGGTTGCATTATAGGCGGGAACATTGGCTGATAGTACATTCCTGGACCATACATCATTTGCGGTGGCATCATCATAGAGTGCATCATTTGCATTCCGTGCATCTGCATAAGCGGTTGGATTGGGTGCATCGGCTGGACAGTTGATGGTAGCACATGTAATTGCTGCTGAGGTACCGGTGGGGCATGGTCATTGATATGAGTGGGAAGCTTTGGAGATGCAGGGCAAAAGAATGGTGGCTCTACTCCAGCATCTTGAAGTTGCGCATTAAGTAGAGGCTGTTTGAGAGACATGTGCTTCCTGTGGTACTTGAAGATGAAAATGATGGGTATATGCAGGTTTATGCAGAGAGGCAAGAGCTTACCAGCAGCAAACTCCAGTATGCGAGAATGGGGTTCGACACAATGCCATGTGAGCCATCCTTTGTCATAATGCACAGTTTACCGTGTTTCTCACATGAGAGTGAAGCCTCAAGCTCACGCCAGAAGTCGGCCTGACTCTTATGCCCATCATTGGGCGCTGCCAAGTTATCTTACAAAAGTTTTCCTTTGATTGATGTAGTGTTCTAGATAGTCAATGTTGGTTCTCAAGTACAGGCACTGTGTTTGATATCACTCACTCTCTTACTTTCTCCAGTGTTCGAGGCAAGGCGGGCTGTGCTTCTATTCAGATTGACCAGTTTGATCTGGAACGATGTAGCCAGAGCTGTTTGAGCTTGCACACGCTTTTGAAGAATGGCTTGTGCATTGTAAATGAGTTTGTTGAACTGGTCTTCGTTGGTCAAGATGATTGACTTCTCGCCTTTCTTGGCAGTCAAGAACAAGTAGCCAAGACGGAGGTCAGCACAGAGAACAAGCATCTTGTCGGCCAAAATTTGAATGAATTCATTGAAAGAAGGGATGTCTTGCAGGGTGTAGGTGAAAGTGTCAGCAGAATGCTCATCAATATTGTAGAGAAACTCCATTGTATATGCTAAGCGCACCCAATTAATAAACTGCCGGTGCAGGAAAATGTCATTTGTAACTCATATACTTCCCCATAGGTTCCTTCGTCCTCATCTTCGTCTTTGTCCTCATCATCCTCTTCCTCATCCAAATTTTCTGCAGGTGGCTGAGCGCGTTCGGCTTGGTGCGTACAAGGATATTCGACTATGGTGACCGAGTCTTTGTCCAAAGAATCTTCGAGACCTTCAAAAGCACCTGACAACTCTTTAGAGCCCAGTGCTTGTCCCCGCACTGTATGTTATGTTAATATCATCACTGATCATGAAGATGCAATTGCATGCATACTGTCTAATGAAGCAAGGATAGCAGCAGCATCGAGAAGCTCCGGAGAGGGTGTTGGTGTTGGTGGCAAAGGGAGCCTGAAGTTTGGCCTGGGCTTCGGTCGCGGAACAGTGTGAGCAAGCTCAGGCCACACTTTTGCTGGAGCTGATTCAGATTGTGGTTTGGGCGGGCAACCTCTTGGGCGCTTGGGAGGCTTTTCTGTTTTTTCGGTGGGTGCAGGAGCTTTACATTTCCAATTCGGGGCAGCAGAAGTTGATTTTTTAGCATTCGGAGGCATCAACAATGGAGGGGGGAGGAAATGCAAGCATGCAATAACAGTGTGACAGATGGCAGATTTGACATGTCCGCGCTCTGGCAGGTAAAATCACCGACCTCTGGGACACTTGCCACGGGTGTACAGTGATAGGATATGCATTCTGGCTGTTTTACTTCGACAGACCGTCCTTGCGTTCTCGGGATAGAAAATCAGGACTGGGATGTCTCCCACGGAATCCGGGTTTTTGAAACATACGATGTCAAAGATTTCATAGCACCATAAAAAACTAGAAGAAAAATGGTGATTTTAGAGCCTACTTGCGTCCTCGTACATGAAGAAATGCGGGTGCTACGATTTACACAAGGTTCGAGCTCGAAAGTGCGAGAAACGATGCGATCACAGGCTGTGCCAACTCATATGCAAACTGCAATAATGAATGTCTGCAGGCACAGTGCTTTGCATAAAAACACAGCCGTTTCTTTTCAGCTGCAGAGGAAAGAGTGATTAATACAAAGTAACTATACACTATGCACACCAGACAAAACACTACTAATCCACCTGTTTCTCCTTGCGCTCAAGAACTTGAAGCCATTTTTTCGGCACCCAGCCTTCACGACCGTCCCTGGTTCGACCTTTCCACCATTGAACAGCGTCATCGTCAATTTGCACACGAGGGTCAACCTCAATACCAGTTCGTGGATCCAGCTTACCCACAACCGCGACAATCTCATTCTCTTTCAGGGTCAATTCCGCTGCAGTAGATGGAGTGAATGGGAACCGGGCTCGGGCGAACGTCAGAGAGGCCGGGTCGAGTGGTGGCATCGATTGGCCAGGGAGGATGGCACTCGACTCCCGGGCACGTTCGTTGAGAATGTGCACCAGCTTGGACATGGCGTAAGGAATGCCGAATATGGCAAGGAGGAAAAACACGAGCGGCTTTCGGCTGGCTTTGGCTGCGTTGGACTGCGGTAGGGGTCCTTGTACAGGTCGTCCATTGACGAAATCCCGAAATTCACCCTGCATGCCAGGCCCAGCACCTTGTTGTCCCGTAATGACATTTCGCATCCAGCGCATGAGACCGAAGAGCCCCAATACGCTTCCCAGCGCATCTCGCAGGCGCCCGAATTGATCCACCACTCCAACCATAGCGAAAAAGCTAGAGTGGGTGGCCATGAAAGTGCTTTCGAGCATCTGCGCTACTCCCGAGAATGTCTGCACGATCGAGTGCAACAACGTGAAAGTATGCTGGGTTGTCGCCTCAAGCGTCTGCGTCAATGAGGGAATAGGCATCCCGTTCGCATCCAAGGCTTGCATCCCGTTCATGCCATAGGTGCCCATGCCCATGCCCATGCCCATGCCACCATATCCACCGCCGTACGGTGACATGCCCATACCCATCGACGAATAAGGGCTCATACCGAACCCCCCACCGCTGTATCCTAGACCACCGTACCCGCCGTACGACCCCATACCACCGTACGATCCAAATCTCGAGTATGGAGATGTGCCATATGCGCCGGCCATGCCATAAGGACTAGCTGCAGTTGAAGGCCCTGTTGCACCGACGAAAGAAGCCGGTCGCTCGGGAATCTGAGGCAGTGTAGGGGAAGGAGAGGTGGCGGGATCAGATGACGCGACAGAGGAAACCGAGGGAGCGACCGATGGGGCCACCGACGGTGCTGCACCGTTGCGCTCCCAAGGCTTGGGTGGCGAAACCATTGTGGGAGGGGGGGAATGAGTGAAGATGGTTATGTAATTGTCCCCCAACATGTACATGCAAAAGCACCCATCATGAACATTTTCATGGCGCAGTGATATTTAGTACCTAGTCAGATATATACGCAGATGATGACCATTCTCATGAATCCATCATGCTGGAGTCCTGCACGGCATCAACGACCACGGCGCCGCTCAGAACGGCAGGGTCTTCCGAGTTGACGGCAGTGTCGACAGCAGCTCTTTCTTTGGGCGGTGTAGATATGTCTAGGCCAAAAACTCGCATACTCAGAGCACTATGTATCAATCGAATCAGTTTGCAAGAGTGCAAATCTGATCAGCATCACGTACCTTTTTGCTTTTTTGTCAATCATCAGGGTCAGTGAAACATTCGATTTCCATGTTGGCAGGACAAGATCATGCGCGAAACTGGTGTGTTTCAGTCAGGCGAGGGATGCTCATCGATGAATGTGAAGACACCCACGAAACACCATTGAGATTGTCTCTCGGGAAGCGGATGATCTGACTTCCCATTTCTGAGGCGCGTCAGCCAAAATTTGAAAGGAGTAGCATAACTGACCAGTCTCTCGCATTTGGGACCTAAAAGGATCAGGGAACACATCAACAAGTGGATAGTGTCCTTCGACCAAAATCCTCAGCACTTCGGTGTCGCCCTCCAGAACGGTTGCTGGATCCAGAAACGGAAGGACCAGGGGAAGACCCTCGCCCAGGATACGGAACTGGGCCTCTGCGCCCCGCCCAGCCTCTTGCTTGGTGAACACTTTGGTTCCAGCAAAGGTCAGACGCATGCGTTTGTAGTCGTTGAGTTGGATGATGGTTTTGACAAGAGAGTTCGTGATGTACAATGCTCGAGCAGCCTCGCCCTCTGGATTGCGGACGAGGACATTGTTCGCTGGAAAGCTAGGGGTTAAATGCAGACGGTCGATACAGCTAACAACAGTGGGGTCATCGGGTTCCAGGAAGGTGTACGGGTTCTCCTTGAAAGTGCCGGCGCCTCCATCACCCTTGTCCTTTTTCTTGAGTTCAACGGGGGCAGATTTCACTTGTTCCTCCGTTTCTATCTTGATACTGTCCTCAGCTGTGACATCTTCGGCATAGTCCTCAACTTTGGCGTCGTCCAGTCTCGGTCTCTTGATCTCGGGTGTTTCCACAGGCTCGCTCGCCTCCCGTTTGACTTGTTTGGTTGGCTCCTCCATTGCAGCTCTGGCCCGTCGCTCCAGAACGGCAACAAAGAAACCGCCAGTGTCCTGAAGATGGGGATATACTCGAATACTAGGTTTTTTTCAGCTTGGGATGCACCACTTGAGTTTGCTCACCATCGATGCAAATTCAACGAATCGACATCTGGAGGTGGCCAGTGGCCGCGCGTAAATTTGGATTTGACTGCATCAGGGTCTTTGCAAGTGTTTTGGTAGGTCTCGTACGTCTCGTACGTCGTGTTGAGTGATTTGTCAGTTGGACGCCAAGATGTCATGCCCGGCCGACGCTGCAACTCGGGGAGTTTGGCAGATACATCGACCAGTTCGAAATCTGTACACACTCATAGGAAGCCGCTCGAATCCGTCCAATGAAACTCACCTGGATTGCTCTTTAACGCACAAGCGATTACTGCCTCATTCTCGACTGGGTTCAGAGAACACGTCGAGTACACGATCCGGCCATTGGGGGCAAGCATCTTCATGGCCCGCAGAATAATACGAAGCTGCAGTCTGAGTGGATTCAGCGCGTGGAAACAAGACACGAACATTGGAGATATACCCATGCAAACCGTTTCCGTCCATAGGTTGCCATGTCTTCCAGATCCCCAAATTCTTACGCAAAGTTCCGTCTCCACTACATGGCACATCACAAAGTATGCGGTCGAACGATAATGTCTCCATCTTTTCCTTCTGTGTTGCAGAAGGCACTTTGATACTTGGAAAGATCGAGGCGTCGAGGTTGGTCACCATGAGGGCTGGGCTGGGCAATCTAGACGACTGGTGGATGAGTAGGTGCGTTCGTTTGTGGTCGCTATCGTTGGCCAAGACCAGTCCCGTGGGAATCGAACTCGAGGTCATCGTGTCTTGTGCGTGCAATGCTTCGAGCAATTGCGCAGTCTAAACATGTGAACAGTTCTCCATGGTCACTGAAACAGTGGGCCAAACCTTGGATCCCGGAGCAGCGCACATATCAATGACCTGTGTGTGTGTGTGACCACCTGAGGCTTCCCACATCTCAAACCTTACCTTATGATGCGGCTGGACCTCCAAGAAGAGGGGAGGAAGCATGCTCACGGCTTCTTGGCGAGAGATGTTTCCCTGGATGAGAGGCATGAAAAGCAAATCATGATCTGTGAGATTGCAACGCACGACTTCAGTCTCAAACACCAGGAAGGAATGGAAGCCTTTAAATTCAGGTGATTTTCGGAGGACCTTCTTAGAAACATTGAACTGCCATGCGAGCCCATCCGGGTACCTGTTTCATTGGCTTAGACATTGCAGTCCGGATGCGATGGGACAGGACACACCAAGGAATCTGCACAGGCGGAACTACATGTTGATCTTCGAAGACCACTCCGCTCAGACTCGGCACATGAATATCGCTCAAGATTTTATTCAACGACTGCGCATTTCTGTTTTTGGTTAGTCCATAGAACAAGGAAATATAAGGAGAACGCGCTCTCGACTGCCCGCGACTCGGAACGTTGTAGGTAGCGGCAACCGCAGCGATTCCATAAACGCATCCCATTCATCCCCCGGTATGATATTCTGTGTTTGATAATACGTCTCGAATCGGTGGTTGTTCATAGTTGTCTTGTCAATGAGATCTGAACGGTACACATCGTCCCTGGTCTTGCCACGGCCGCGTTTCTGAGGATGTGTGGAACAGGATGAGCTGGACACATCCTAACATATATTTGGCGGGTTTATTTACATTGTTACGGCCCATCCTTGACGAGAAAGTGAAAACTCTTCGTGGGCCCTCTTGAATTGAGGAAAGACAAAAGTTATCTGATCCGTGACGATCAGTGACCGATTGATCACAAGCGCGTACGCGTCTCATTCATCCTGCATTCATCGCCACACACAACTCTTGAACCATGTCATCATCCACTTCCAACGCTGCATCCACATCCCAGCAATCTGAGGCGAAAACTTCCGAGAAGTCCAAGGATTCACATCCGGCTCAACTTGGTGTCCTGGAGGAAGATGACGAATTCGAAGAGTTTCCCACTGCAGGTGCGCGTCGGATCCACAAACGTCCTAGCGGAATACCCTCTAATAGTTACCTTCATAGACTGGGATGACAGCAAGACAGATTTGGCGCATCTAGGAGGGATAGCTCCTGGATCAGCGAAGAGCGGTGGAGACAAACTGTGGGAGGACAACTGGGACGATGATGACATCGAAGACGAGTTCAGCGTTCAATTGAGGCATGTTCTCTGCTTTGCTTATGTATCACTCGATGACAGAGCGCAAACAGGAATGAGCTATCGAAAAAGAAAAAGGGTGGAAACGCTATGGAGCATTAATCGTTCAAATCCAAGTGTGCGATTACTTCACAATGATTCTCAATATCTATTCCGACGGTTATTCAAGTGTTCCTATAAGCGCGCCATATATAGTATTGGGTCTGAGTTTGACGGACGGAGACAAGTCGAGATAGCATCCAGGTCACCATCAATTGTCAAATAGGATTTTCCACAGTCGATGACCAGGACGTTAATGGATAATCCAGGGAAAAGCAGCACTCACCTGCGATTACTGACGCATATGTATAGACTTACCAACATACTTAGAGAGAGCATTGGTTCACTATAATTATGTTTTCTTCTCAGTCTTCACATCCACGTAGACATAGCGGATTCATTAGAAGTGAGATGCAGCCTCTTCATATCGCATTAAATGATGAAGAGGTGTAGAGACGGTGAGTGAGTATGAATAAATTCTGCGATAGGATTAATCGAAGGTGACCTTCTTTCCCTCGAACGACGCAATGCCGCCAGTGCGGGCGGAGCCACCTCGGAAACCACCACGGCCTCCGCGACCTCCTCTGTCACCGCCGCGGCCGCGGCCGCCGAATCCGCCACGACCACGGTCGCCACCAAATCCACCACGACCTCCACCGCGACCTCCACGGTCACCCCCTCGTCCGCGACCACCAAATCCTCCACCACGGGCGCCACCACCATTGGAATCACGTGGCTGAGAGTAATCGAGGCGGATGGGACGGCCCTCGATGTCAGAGCCATTGGACTCGTATGCCTTCTTGGCACTGTCCAAGTCTTCGAACTCGACATACGCAAATCCCTTGGGACGTCCGGTTTCCCGATCCGTAGGAATCCGAACACTCTTCACGGCGCCACCCGTTTCGTTGAAGAAACTCCATAAAGTATCTTCGTTGACCCCAAAGCTCAAGTTCCCTACAAAGAGTGTTGCACTCGGCTCGCTCGGGGTGTCACCGAAGGCCTTGGCTCGGTTGTTCGTCTTCTCCCCTGCTGCAGCCGCCGGCCGTCCATAATCTATATTGACAGGACGACCATCGATCTCCACGCCGTTCATCTCGATGGCCTTGGCCACAGAGTCCGCAGATGCGAAGTGCACATGCCCAAATCCTCGCGAGCGACCAGTGCTCCGGTCCATAGCAACTGTCGCGGATACGACCTCTCCGCACGATGCGAACTCTTGTGCCAGTCGATCGTTGTCGACATTCCAGGAGAGCCTCCCGACGAAGATAGATTTGATCTCTTCGTCGCCTGAAGTAGCAGCAACTGGCACAGCATCACCGTTGGCAAGCTTCACTTTTTTGGTAGGTGCCGCATCGCTCTCGGGAGCCTTTCTTTTTCCTGAAGCAGTGTAAACAAACGGAAGAGAGAAACAACGAGCGGCACACGCACCATTCACGGCAGGATTGGAAGGCGACTCAGCCATCTCTTCGTCAGAGTCAGAGTCAGAGTCCGAGTCTGAGCTGTCATCCGAGTCCGATCCAGCCTTTGCTGTGCCATTCGTCTTGGGAGCAGCGGGCATTTCCTCATCCGAATCCTCGTCGGAGGAAGTGTCAGGCTTAGATGCAACGGCCTTGGGCTTTTCCTCGTTGGAATCTGAGTCGGAGTCTGAATCCGAATCCGAATCCGACTCGGCCTTCTTCACTGCAGCAGGCTTCGGAGCCGAAATCTTCGTGGTGGCAGGCGCAGGCGCAGATGAGTCCGAGTCGGAATCGGAATCAGAATCCTCAGTCTTTTTGAGCGCAGGCGCAGGTGCTGATGCTTTCTTGGTGGATGCCGCAACAGCTTTTTTGGGAGGAGGAGCGTCGTCGTCGCTATCTTCAGACGAGTCGGAGGAAGAGTCGGCCTTGGTTGGAGTTGCTTTGACCTGGGTCGCCTTGGGCTTTTCCTCCTCCGAATCGGAAGACTCGGATTCGTCCGAAGAAGATTCCGCCTGTCAATCTAGTAGTAAGTCTCAAGTGTATTGCACTGTGCCAAAGTAATGTGAACCTTCTTCGCGGCGACGACCTTCTTCGACTGGTATACGATGAGAATCACTGAGAAGGATAACAAGATCCCACAACGCACCACCTTTTTGGTAGCCTCGACGGGTTTTGGAGGAGCAGGTGCCTTTTTAGATGCCTTTGCGGCAGCCTTTTCAGCCTTTTTGTCGACCTTCTTCTCGGCCTTATCGGCTTTCTTAGACGCCTTGACTGCGGTCTTGTCCTTAGCCATGACGGAGAGGATATGCGGGGAGGAAGGGAGAGGGGGAGTACGCGGGACGGAAGAGAGTCCTGAAAAAAACTCAGCGCTCACGTGCGAGACCACTCGATCTGGGATTGTCGATGTTACGTGAGCTGGATTGGTCATCATTCCACTTAACATGGACTCTGAGGCTTCCTTCGACGTCATCATCTTGGGTACTGGACTCACAGAATCTATTGTTGCTGCGTAAGATCTGTGCGCCACCATTCTCGGTTCATTTCTCACAATCTGTGTTGTCAGTGCTCTCGCCAAGGCTGGACTTCGAATAGCCCACATAGATGAGAATGCGTACTACGGTGGACGAGATGCATGCCTATCTTTTGAAGATCTGGTCAACTGGCAAAACTCTTCGGGCCCGGAGTTCTCAATTTTTACACGATCTTCCGACGCAATCGCTCAGCCTCGTTCATACTCGCTATCTCTCTCCCCATCCGTCATTCCATCGTCGGGTCCACTCATAGACACTCTGGTGGCATCTGGCGTCTCTCGTTATGGGGGTTTTCGACTTATCGAACGGATATGCGTGTATGACGCTGTCTCGACCTCGGTGAAATTGGTCCCCGGCTCCAAAGAGGATATCTTCAAGAGCAAGGAAATAACTCTGGTGGAGAAGCGGCGCATCATGCGTTTCCTTACCTTCGCTGCTGGGGACTTTGAAAACTCGGGGGAGCTCCAGGGACATTTCCAGACACCGTTTCCTCAGTTTCTGCGAGATATCTTCTCATTGAACATGGAAATGGCCGACGCGATCGCATATGCGTTAGCTTATTGTCTCACCTCCACAGGTGTGTGCATATCAAGCAACAGTGAGAATTGATGAGTTAAAACTTTTAAAGATCCAACTCTGCTAGCTTTGCATCGCCTTCGCCGGTATCTACGCTCTGCAGGTCGTTATGGGACCAATCCGTTCCTCGTTGGCCATTATGGAAGCTCGGGCGAGATCGCCCAAGGATTCTGCCGCACTGCAGCTGTTAGTGGTGCAGTCTATGTTTTGGGACGCAGTGCCCAACTTTCCACTGACCCGATCTCCCACCGACACGTGGTCCAGCTCGATGACTTCCCTGAGTCTCTCAGCTGCACATTGTTGATAGCATCGCAATCTAGTAGCCTTTCTGTTCCTCCGCCGACGGTCGCCTCGTCCCCGTTCACATCCTCGACGCCGAATTTCGCGGTTGCCCGGAGCATCCTTATCATAGATCAGCCCCTTGCCCTTGGCTCTGAGGGTCCTGTCGTTGACACTGGGATCGTCGTCTTCCCTCCTGCTTGTTTCGAAGGCGCATCAATGTCTGCGGCTGCGACTGCTCTTGTGACGGGTGAAGGCACGTTGTCGTGTCCCAAGGGGCAATGTCAGTCTTGAACTTCTCTATTTCGCCCCGATCTCACATCTCTTACCAGGGATTGTTTATCTGACACTTCCTTTGCCGGAGAACGCCGAAATCGCTGATCCTGAAAAGTCATTGCGGCCTTATTATGAGGCCATCTTGGCTCTAGGCACTGGAACCCCTCTATTCTCGACGTTCTACCTCCAGAAGCCGGCAGCATCTCGTAGAGACTCTGATCACCACGTCTCTCCGACAAATCTGCCGCCAGTGTTACCACTGCCAGACGCAGGAGACGCTGCCGCTTTGCATGCCGAGGACGTCTTCCGGGCAGTCCTAAGCAGCCTCAGGCCAAATGATACAGACGTACCCTTTTGGCCTCCCTTGGAAGCTTCTGAGGATGGAGAAGATGAATGAGATGGATTGCGCGCGTTCGGCCAGGTGTGACTGTCGTCGACCCGTTCACCAATCAGTTACATCACGACGAGTCCTTACTTCCTCGGCTTGCTTGCGTCCATCGTCTGTAGTTCTCTCACCCATGTCAGTGATGCTTCTTAGTAAGTACGAAGTAGTACGCCGCGGCCGTTGATTGATCCGAGTCTAATAACAGCCTTATCGGGACAGGTGCTCTAATAAAGTCAAGTAAGCACGCAAGCTCCCCGCTTATTCGTCAGACAACTGCCATGACGGACACCCCAACCAAACCAGTCGTTGAGGGACCCATCTCGAGCATTGACGAAATAGAACCTCTTCTTCCGCGTCAGCAGCCGGAGCCAAGCTCGAAGAAACGCAGCAAAATTGAATTGGCTATTTACGCCTTCTTTTGTGTCCTAGGCTTGGTCTTTCTTGGAGTGTTCATCAAGGGCTGGATCGACGCAGACGATGTCGAGGTCAGTGTCTTCCTCGTGCAATCTCTCTCTTCTCTCTCAACACTGCGTGCATCTAGTTCGATTTCAAGAAAGCGCTCAAGAGCGCTCTCGGTGGTGGTTTAAGTGGTGCCCTTGGTATGCAGCCTTATCACTCACAACGACCTCTTTTCATCATCTTCAAGCCATGGTTATTCAGGTTCTGGCCCTGATGGTAAGCGCATGTCTCCATCCCCGCTTGTGGCAGGATTCAACTTGACATACAGCCTTTGCGCACGGTCATGAATTATCAGTACCGTTACGGCTCTTCAATGACGGAGGCCATCCGCACGCTTTACCAAGATGGAGGCTATGTGCGCTACTATCAAGGTCTCTCAGCAGCTCTCATCCAAGGACCCGTCTCCCGTTTCGGCGACACTGCGGCCAACGCTGGGATTCTTGCTCTGCTCGACTCAAACGGCTACCTCAAGCTGATGCCCGCGCTCTTCAAGACTGTCTTTGCCTCGCTCGCGGCGGCAGCATTCCGAATGATCTTGACACCGATTGACACCGTCAAGACGACGTTGCAGACTGAAGTAAGCGGAAGAACCACTTCTCTGAATTAGACTGTCTGATATCTTCCCCAGGGCAAGCCTGGTCTGCAGCTCCTAAGAGCACGGGTTTGTCGACTGCCTGTCAGACAAGGTGATTCTGAATGTTTCGTAGGTTAAGCAGTTCGGAATCGGCTCTCTCTGGTTCGGTGCGTTCGCTACCGCAGCAGCCACATTTGCCGGCCATTACCCTGTAAGTAGGATCGCTTTGCTTGGGCGGCTTCTTCTAATTGGCCCTTGTCTCGCGCAGTGGTTTGGTACAACCAACTATCTGGAAGCAACACTTCCACAGGCAGTCACCATCGTTGGAAAGCTCTTCCGACGAGCTTTCATCGGGTTCTGTGCCTCAATCACCTCTGACACAGTGTCCAATTCACTCCGTGTCGTCAAAACCTACCGTCAAGTTCATCAAACCGAAATCGGCTATGTCGATGCTGCCCGCGCCGTCATCGCCACCGATGGGGTCGTCGGGTTGTTTGGCCGCGGCCTCAAGACCCGCATCCTCGCCAATGGTCTCCAGGGCATCATGTTCACCGTTCTTTGGCGTCTGTTCGAGGACATGCAAGTTCATGTATTGACTGCAAACAACATATACTGATGTGCTATCCAGGTGGAAGTCCAGGACGAACTGATGACGTAGTGAGCAAGCGTAGTGTTGTAGTATCTCCGTAGATGTATGTTCAAGATCTCGGTTCCGAGACCTGGCCTGGCGCATCCCGGGAGACCTGACGGTCTGAATATGCTCGGAGGTCTTGATACGAATGCCTTGACTATAATGAGGCACAATCACAGAGAGAACCTTCAGTGCATACCACATCACGCTCAATCCACATCGTCCGTCAAAGACAACTTCTCCAACGCATCCTCAAATTGCCCATCGTCGCTCTCCTCGCTTGGTGACTCATCTAGCTCGTCCTCCTCCTCAGATTCATCCTCATAGTCAAGCTGAGTGATATTCAGTAAGGACGAAAGAGCGGTACGGGAAAACAAACCGGATCGTATATGATTCGAATGATAAGACTGCAACTTGGGCAAGTTGCGATATCTTCGTAATTCGCCAGTTGCTTGCGACTGATCTCGAAGCGGTCTCCGCAGGGACAAGGATAGTGAAAGACACGCTTTTCGTCATCCCAGGTCATGTCCTCGATCTCGATCTCGTCGTAGTAGCCCATCTCGGTGGATGCAGATGGTGGATGTGACCAAGTTGGGTCCGGAGTCACCAGTCAAAAATCGCGGCGGCTGTCAATCAGAGTGGCGGTGCATTGGTATTTCTCATCAAAAGTTCATGCTTGCGACTGCAAACCGAGTGCTGAGAAGACGAAGCACTGGCCTGTATCGCAGTGCCTATCACTCGACCAGTCATATTCCTCAATACGATGGCAGGCTACTCCGTCGGCTCTCGTTTCTCCCTGCATTTCTAACCGGAACTATCAGTCTGCGTAATTGGCGGTGGACATGCGGGATGTGAAGCCGCGGCAGGCTCTGCGCGCACTGGGGCCCGGACGCTTCTCTTGACCCCGAATCTCAATAATATCGGTGAAATGTCTTGCAATCCATCCATTGGCGGAGTAGGGAAGGGCACCCTTGTGCGGGAGGTTGACGCGCTGGACGGCCTGATGGGCCGTGTCTCTGGTCAGCGGACATCGTCTTTTGATCTTGCTCTCGGGAATGACTGTTGCCAGACAAAGCAGGGATACAATTTACTGTTCTGAACAAGTCGAAGGGTGCGGCAGTTTGGGTATGCTCGCACTCATTGTCTCGCTCTCAGAGTTCAACGTGACACAAGGGTCCCCGCGCTCAAATGGATCGGAAGCTATACAAGAAACATATGCAAGAAGCCATATTGTCCTATCCGAATCTTGACGTCCGCGCAGAGGGCGCATTCGATCTCGTTTTAGATGACAGTAAGATCTCAGGCGTCAAACTAAGTAAGTTCCATAATATTACTTTCTTCTTCTCAAGTGTTGAGAACACTCGAACGAAGATTCGGGGGAAGTCGTTGCCTGTTCGCAAGTAGTGATATGCACTGGAACCTTTCTCTCGGGAGAGATCCACATCGGTATGTTGACGTTCTGCTCCTTTTCGTCTGCTTTGATAGTTTCAAGGCCTGAAAAGGATACCTGCCGGCAGAATTGGCGAGGCAGCATCTGTTGGTCTCTCAGCCTCGCTTGCTTCCGCCGGCTTCAGGTTGGGCAGGCTTCAGACCGGGACCCCAGCCAGATTAGACCGAAACACGATCGACTTCAGTGGGATGGAAAAGCAAATCGGGGATGAACATCCGCAGCCATTCAGTTATCTGAATACTGAGGTCGCCAATGCTGTACGCTCGCAGGCCGCTCTCACCACAGCTTCTGACATGCTTACAGAACAACCAAATCCCCTGTTTCCAAACATTTACGACGCCGGAGACACATCAAAAGGTGAAAGACACCATGCATCTGAGTGTCCATATCCAAGAGACCAAGAAAGGGCCTCGGTATTGTCCTTCGCTCGAAGCTAAAATCACGAGGTTCCACAAAGACAGCCACACGGTCTGGCTGGAGCCAGAGGGGTACGATTCGGATGTGATCTACCCAAACGGAATATCGAACAGCATGCCAGAGGAGCTGCAGGAGGCCATGTTACGGACAATACCGGGGCTGGAGAAAGTGAAGATGGTGTTGCCCGCGTATGGCGTCGAGTATGACTACGTGGATCCCCGGGAACTGACGCGGACGCTCGAAACAAAACGGATTCAGGGCCTGTACCTCGCTGGGCAGATCAACGGTACGACGGGATACGAAGAAGCCGCTGCCCAAGGCGCGGTCGCAGGCATCAATGCTGGACGAGCTGCTCTTCACAGAGCGCCGTTGATCATAACGAGAGCAGAGGGATATGTCGGCGTCATGATTGACGACTTGATTGTGAAGGGAGCAGAGGAACCATGTATGAATGACCACGATCCAGGGATTCGTCTCACTGTCGACAGACCGGATGTTCACGTCCCGTTCGGAGTATCGGATGACCATCAGGAGCGACAATGCGGACCTACGACTGACTGAATTAGGTTTGGCCGTTGGGATGGGTGATGCAAACCCAATGCTGACTGTTTGCAGGAAGACAGGCCGGTGCAGTTTCTGATGAACGGTGGTCTGCCCTGGAACAGACTCGAAAACACCTGGAAGAAGCCGCCCACATCCTCAACTCGGTGTCAATGAGCCCGCAAAAGTGGAACAGCCACGGATTCAAAGTCAAGCTGGATGGAGAATTGCGCAGTGGCGGTCACATGCTTCGTTATCCCGATGTGGATCTGTCGTTGCTTCGAGCAGCCATTCCTGGTTTGAGCCGCCTTCCCGCTCACATCTTGGCCCGGGTCCAGATCGATGGCTAGTCTGTGTTCTTTGAAGTGTATTTTGGATGCTCATCCTATTACAGGAATATACACACCGTTTCTGGCTCGGCAAATAGCGGATGTCGAAGATTTCATGAGGGACGAGTCCCTGATTCTGAATCCCGACTTGGACTATTCTGCCATCGCTGGGATCAGTCTGGAGATCCAAGAACGGTTGAACCGAGTCCGACCCGCGACCGTGGTGAGTTACCAAGTCGGCCACAGCGTCGTGATCTCATTTCCGTTTCAGGGTGCCGCAAAACGCATGGAAGGTATGACCCCGGCGAGTTTGGTGCAGCTGCTCCGATACTCCAGACCGTCAGCCGACAGACTTCCAGTTATTGGAAACTAGTACTCAGTCCGCACTGAATGACTGCGGACACATTTGACCACTCCTAAACAACTGCAAACAGTTTCAAAGCCATTATTGAGGATAGACTATGGTACAGTATGACAAGCGTAAAAATTACATCGCAGAGAGATACGTTATTCCATCCTTAGATTTTCATGGCCGCTTCATGAGACGAAGTTTCGTGCTTTTCATTGTGCTCTCCCGCTTGCAACTCGCGATTGTATTTGGTCGATTGCAGGGCTAGCGCACAGTGAGAAAACAAGCGCATGAGGAAGCATAAGAACGACTGACCATTTGAGTTCTCGTACAACATGTCGATCTGCTCCAGCGAAAGACCCTTTGTTTCGGGGACGAAGAAATAGGTGTAGACTGCACAGCAGGCACAGGTGGCACCCCAGATGAAGAACACCTTGACGTGCAATGCGGCAGTCGCCACCCCGTTGGGCTGGCCTTTGGTGGAGGTGTCGACGAGATACGGGGTGGCGTATCCAATGCCGAAGTTCCACAACCAGTTGGAGGCAACAGAGAGAGACATGGCCTTGGCACGGATGTTCAAGGGCGAGATTTCACCAGTGATGACCCACACAACAGGTCCCCAGGAGATGGCATAGAACGCAATGTAGATGCAGACGAAAGCGATCATGACGCGCTGCGCTGCGAGGTTGACGGCTCCTCCTGTATCAGTGGTTTTGCCAGCAGTAACGCCGACCTGGCGACAATGTCAACAGAAAAACTCATAACTGCGAAAAGCACGACGTACGATCGCAACGATGAACTCACAAAAACTCATACCCACAGCACCCCAGAGCAGAAGGCGGCGTCGCCCAGCACGATCGATCAACTGGATGCCGACGATCGTCATTGCAGCTGCAAGCCCAGTCAGTTTACAAACCACACAAGTGGCTGCACTGAACGCACTGTTCACAACATCAGTGATGATGGTGATGATGAAGGCATTGCTGATCCCCGCGCTCTGGAAGAATGTCGTGCCGTAGTAGAAGATGAAGTTGATGCCGGTCAGTTGCTGCCATCCTTGGAGAAGGATGCCGGTCCAGGTGCGCAGGCTGTACTTGAGCGAGTTGCTGCGGAAGCAGTCGAGGTAAGACCCGCTGCCAGCAGACTTCTCCTCGTGCAGGGCAGCGTTGATCTCGTTGATCTCGTGGTCGACCTCGGTCGAGTCGGCGGGTGTGTTCGTCAGCCGGGACATGGCACGGCGGGCCTCGTCGAGACGACCCTTGTGCACAAGGAACCTAGGAGATTCGGGCAAAAGAGCCATGCCGCCACCGAGAATGAAAGCCCACGCGAATTGGACTGCGATAGGGGTCTGAAGCACTCGATTAGATTGGTGTTTCCATGCAGTCGGTTTGTCCACTGACCCTCCAAGACGAATGATTCGGGCGATTCTTGGTCGAATTCAGAACAATCGCAGCGAACAGCGCACCGATGGTAATCGCAAGCTGGTAGCCGCCAACAATGAGCCCACGAATGCTCTTGGGCGAGCATTCACTCTGGTACATCGGCACTAGACACGATACCAGTCCGACACCGACACCGGCGATAACTGCATGACATGAGCACAACATCCAGTAAATAAACAGAGAAAGCAACACACCCCGACCAACAACGAAAGTAGCCCAGTGGGTATCGAGTTGCAGACCGACTCCAAGAGAAAAGATGATGCAGCTGTATACGATGCCCCATTTACGTCCGATTTTGTCGCCCATAGGGAAGGCCAAAAGGGCACCAAAAAACGTTCCCGCGGAAAGGATGGACACCTGGCAGGGTCGTCAGATGCCTCGGCGAACGGAAAGCAAATGGAACAGGGGCCTACCACCAAACTCTTGTTGGACGTAGTGATGAACCGGCCGTGCGTAGAGGTGCCCAAAACACCCGTCGGGTCATAGTCACCAAAGACATTGAGCCAATCTTGCATGGCAATGACTCCGTTGATCGTCCCCGTGTCATATCTTTGGAAACAACCATTCAAGCGTGTGCTGGACGCGCAGATAGACGGACGCACCCAAAGAGAATACCGCCAAAGGCTGAACGCGGGGCAAAGTCAACCCGATGCCGCCAACGTAATAAGAAGACAGAACTCACCGGCGAAGGCACTCATGATGATCGCCCACCCGAGCGACGCATTCGCGACACCGGCACCATCTCCTCCAGAAGGACCACCAGCCATATTCAGTAGGTGTTGGAAGCGAGTTGGATGGAAGTTGAGCGGGAAGTCGAGGGAAACTCTGGGAAAAGACGTGGAGCATCGTCCCTTAAATAGGGTTCAGGCTCCGGGGTATCGGGGTAAGTGCCGTGGGGAGAGTTACAGATTGACGGGGGGCCGAAGGGTAGCCGGTAAACTCTCGTAAACTATGAGCACCATCGCAAGGAGATGGCTCGTCATTACTTACGCGTCATAGATGGTCCGCGCGGTGTGATGGCGCATCACCGACAATATCCAAGCCCAGAGTCATCGAGAGGAATCCTGCCAGCTCTTCAGAGACCCAGAGAGTGCAGTTTCCTCATTCTTCAGCCTCTCGCAAGCCTTTCGACCCGGATAAAAATAGAACCTGAGGTGAATATCGGGAATTCATACATGTTTTGATACCATCTTTCCGGGTTATCGAACAAACGGAACCCAGATTTCAGATTCCAGGGTACACACAGAAGACTTGATGTCAGAGAAGTCGGTGTCCAGTAAACAAGACTGACGCATCCCAAGCCAGGTTGGTACGGAGAAACGGAGTATCAGCGGTCGGAACTTGCCCAATCGTGGCACCGTCTGCGAGTGGTCGGTGTTGACCAAGAGTTTGCAGATCCTCGGATCTTGGGATTGGCCTAAATCGCAGTGTAGTTTCCTAAACAAGAATAAAGCTGACGAGGGGTTGATGACAGCACAGCACTCATGATGGCTGTTCGATTCAGTTCAATCGGCACAGACGTGCTGTGGCAGTACATGGGCCGTGCTCTCGACACAATGCAGCTGACGCGCGGCTGACGCAAAGCTGATGACAGGCTCGTGGAAAAAGAGCAGAGCTGTGAGGTCGCACCGTGTCAGGCTTGGTTCCTGCTAACAAAGAGAATCCTTTTACCCAGCAATTTGCTTTTGCGATTTCCCATCCTCTCGATCATCTCTCGGTTAAGTCTAAGTACCGATTCTTGCGTGGGTGACCAAGGATCTGACGGCCCGAACATCCGTAGGGCCTCAGGCACATTTGGCTGTTGGCCTGGGACGAGAAATTCCGGAGCACTGGCTCTCATGGTCGTCGACTGGAGCGTCACCTAGCATGGCAATCCCATAGGCTGTGCGAAGGTAGATCTTGTCTCTACGCCTTATCGAGGGTTGAGCCCTCGGGAAATTGTTCAATGATTACCCTTCGCTCTGCCCTGGTTGATCTCGGAGTTGTAGGCTCCTGCCTCAATTACTGATCAGATCTGCCCGTAAGCCGATGAACCGTGCGAAAGCGCACAAGTAAGCAGCCTCGACTGGCCTCGACCAACTAAAAGAACGGTGTAAATTCAGGGACGTGGTCTAAACACGACACTGGAGATCGGCAGCACCGACAAGCTTGAATCCCGCTCCGAGAGCCCATCCCAGTTCTGTTCCAGCAATCTTCTTGTCTAAGAGTACTGCTCGGTCGGTGGTAAATTCGTACCTGCATGACGTCAATGGGTGTACGGAAGGAGAAAGGGACAACAACTGACCCGACATGCAATAGCGCGTGCATCCAAGTGAGATCGAGACACCATTCAGGACGCATCTCTAGTTCCTTGATGACCGCAGGCTTGGTGCCCCATCGGCGCATCCATTCGCCGTGGCCCATGCATACCGACTTGGCCAGCTCTGCGAAGACACCGACCGTGGTCTGGAGAGGAGCATCTGCATCGCCGAGGGGCGCATCTGCCAAAGGAGCGTATCGGTCGTAGAAGTACGAGAGCAGAAACACCCTGCCCTGGCTGGCGGGGAAAGCCTCCCCCAACGTGGGCTGATAAACACCGCCAAAGGAACAGGGTGTGACTCCGCAGGGCGCATCCTTCTCGAGCACGAGTTCGACGATGCGAGAGCAGCCGCTGAACGACCCAACCTTGCCCCCAGTCATCGTCACGTTGCGTGACGCCAGTTCGATGCGGCGCTCGGTACCCTGGGCAAGACAAGGATTCGCAACCAAGGGTGTTTGATCAGATGCGACACTGGTCTTCTTGCCCGGGGTAAAGTCAGCCATAAAGTCCACGACCCGATGTACGCTGGCCCGCGCTCGCATCAGTCCATAGCCCAGATAAGAGTGTTGATACAGTGTCCGCTTGCTTCCTCCGAACTCTAGCTCATATTTGTGTTCTCCCTCGGTCAGCGGAACGGAAGACGAGGGCGAGAACACAATCTGCGTAGAAGCGCCGCCCAAATCCAACACAGCAGCTGTTCCCGCAGAAGAGCCTGGAAAACGATCACGAGAGGAAGTGAGGCAAGCAACACTAACTTGCCAGAGGGACCAGACAAAGTGCCCATCAGATAATTGGTCGTGACCCACGCGAACACAGCCTCATCCTCGCCACTCATCACTGTAACAGCGTCCTTCTTGGGAACCGAAAACGGATAGGCCGTTTTAAACCTCTTTTCGATTGCTTGTAGAATGTCTTCCGCCTGCTTCCCGGGTAACAATCGAAGACCTGCCGTCGCTCGCACTGCCACAGGAGTGCACTTGTGCATGCTGATAGGAACAACGCGAACGGCTTCGTTCATCAACATGTCTAAAGACCGGGCCGCCTCTTCCGGTCGGCCTGCAAAAGACGATAGACCACGCCCAGGTGGACTGGTTTGCATGAAGACTTCGTATTCGAGGGCTGCGATAGGTCCACAGTTGTTGAACTTGTAGATGTGTATGCGTGAGCCAGTAGACCCAGCATCCAACATCAGACCATATTGGACAAGCGGCTTCTTTGAGGAGGATGAGCGAGTGCAGTATGTGGTGGTGGTTGGGTCGGGATCAGATTCGAAGGAATGCGGGTGAGACTTGGGGCGGTCTAGGTCTTCGTCTTGATGATCTTGACCTAGGTCAGCCTGTGTAACAAAGCCACGTAGTTAGCACGAACTGGGTGGAATATCTGAACACCAGTCAGTTCACAACACGCAGGAACCAGAAATAAGACGCACAAGGTTTCTTGCCAGAAGAATCGGGACCTAATTGAGTATCAGTCCGTATACCATAGATTCATTCGGCGGACACGCCACCTGCGCAATGCGTCAGTACAATTCATTTGCGTGGCTCGAATCGGAGCACACACCTCCTGCTGTTGTTGTCGGCCATTCGTATGACGAAGTACCTAGGGTCAAGCAGCTAAGATCAGACACGCTGCTAACAAAACATCTTGAAAACGCACTCTTTCCACTCGTTCCCCACTTCGGTAAACTGTTCGGCAGTTTCTCTCTAGGAACGAACAACCAGACGAATATTAAGAGCGCAGCGGCGCCCATGGAGAATTTCTTCCAACCAAAACGAAACATGGGATTTTGTTTCGAGGGCGGGTGACCGGCTTCAAGGCGATCGTAGGTGGGCGAAAGGGGCGCCATTGCCGTGGGCGTTCTGGGTCTGATAGATTCGGAAGGAGAGGGGAGCGCTGTACTTGAGGCGGCGGGAAATTTGTCGTCCTCAGGCTTCAAGTTGTTTTGGCGCGGATGTTGGTGGTCCCTAGCTCCCCTTTCAGTCGCGGGAACGTTTGCCAGACTTGAAGACAAGACGTAACAGGTTACGTGAGAAATGTTCTGACAGCGAAGTGAGCGCACCGCCACCATCGTCGTGTCACAGTCACACGACGCGTAAGTGAGCACCTTACCCGTCTGCATCCTCGAACCATGCCCGTCGCCGTCCCGAGACTCCCAGCTGCCCCAGGAGGCATCAAATCCTATTACCAAGCGAAGATAGAGGCAGCTGAGATCCTCATCAACGAGAAGACTCAGAACCTTCGTCGATTAGAAGCCCAACGAAATGCTTTGAATGCGCGTGGTGTGTAGCGCGTTTACAGATCTACTGTTCCCCGTTATTATGATCTAATTCTTCAATAGTCAGACTATTGCGTGAGGAGCTCCAATTATTACACGAGCCCGGCAGCTTCGTCGGTGAAGTGGTCAAAGTCATGGGGAAGACTAAAGTGTTGGTCAAGGTGCAACCGGAAGGCAAATACAGTGCGTTAGGCGGCCTTCACATCGGGTCTCTCGCTCAATTTACTTTCTCAGTTGTCGACTTTGACTCCGAAATCGACATGAGCTCGCTGACGCCCACTCTGCGTGTCGCACTCCGTTCCGATACATATACCATTCACAAAATCCTACCCAACAAAGTCGACCCGCTCGTGTCGCTGATGATGGTGGAGAAGGTTCCCGACTCGACGTACGAGATGGTCGGTGGCTTGGACAAGCAAATCAAGGAGATAAAAGAAGTGATCGAGCTACCAGTCAAGCACCCGGAACTGTTCGAAGCGTTGGGCATTGCACAGCCAAAGGGAGTTCTTCTCTACGGACCGCCAGGAACTGGAAAAACGCTTCTCGCACGGGCAGTGGCTCATCACACGGATTGCAAGTTCATCCGCGTCAGCGGCAGCGAACTTGTGCAGAAATACATCGGCGAGGGAAGCCGAATGGTGCGAGAGCTCTTTGTGATGGCTCGAGAGCATGCGCCGAGTATCATCTTCATGGATGAGATTGATTCGATCGGAAGTTCCCGCGGAGAGAGTGGAAGCGGAGGCGGTGACTCTGAAGTTCAGCGGACAATGCTCGAGTTGCTCAATCAGCTCGATGGATTTGAGCCGACGAAGAACATCAAAGTCATCATGGCTACAAATCGGATAGGTTTGTCTGCAATGCCGTTTGTCGATCTGGTCTTGGCTGAAGTCGTCTGCAGATATCCTCGATTCGGCTCTGCTTAGGCCAGGGCGGATAGACAGAAAGATCGAGTTCCCTCCTCCTGGCCCCGAAGCACGAGTTTCCATCCTTCGCATCCATTCCCGCAAGGTGAGCTTACGACTGTGACGACTTTTCCTTGCTTATGATCTGATAGATGTCACTTCAACGTGGAATAAATCTGCGGGCACTAGCAGAGAAGATGGGACAATGCTCTGGAGCCGAAGTACGAGGTATCTGTACTGAAGCAGGCAAGTCGAACCACCTGCGATGCATTCTGTGCTGATTTGGTGCCAGGAATGTATGCTTTACGGGAGCGACGCCAGCATGTTACTCAAGAGGATTTCGAGTTTGCAGTGGCCAAGGTTCTCAAGAAGAACCAAGATGGAAACACGTCGGTCAACAAGCTTTTTTCATAGATACTTTGTTCTGTGTACCATTTCGAACCTTGTCAAAGTTCCGAGTGGCTGTGCAACCGGAAGATGATGAAAGTTCCGGCTACGTCTGTGAGCAGATTCCAGCCTCGGATGATTCGTGAGACAGCCCGTTGCCAACACATCGTACCTCCGCGCGAGTCGAATTTTCGACTTCGGCGGATCTTCCGCTTCCGCTCTGCACGTTGCCCTCCCTCGTCAGTCCTAGCATAAAACTCTGCGCCATATTCTCCTTCTTCCCTCCTTGAACAAATCATCCCACAGTTCTGGCGAAAAAACATGAACTCTGATGTTGAGATGGCGGACCTCCCTCCCTCTTCTTCCACCCACCAGCCTCTTGCCTCCGCTCCCTCTAACGCAGCCTCTCTCCACGACACTTCTCAGTGGGATGTAGATGAACCTATCATCTCAGCGGAGCACGAGGACTCTGTACTCCTCCTCAACGAAGTCGCTGGAGACGACGAGGCCGACGATGTCCCCAACGACGAAGACGACATCCACGCCTCTGGCAGCCATGACGAAGAAGAACAAGAAGCTGACGTGGCGGATGGTGGCATAGAGGAGCCTGAAGCCGGGGATGACGATGAGCACGACGAAGATGGTACCGAGTCTGAGAATTCGTCGGACGACGCATCCGAGGATGATGTCGACAAGGATCTCAAGCGTGAAGAAGCCACCGACGAGCAGCTGCTATCCCATGGGCCCGCCGACGCTGCCTTGGCAGTCCCTCAGAGCGACGCCGGTGATGCGGACTCTAAGGGGCCGACCAATGTTGCCGCGGTTCCACCCACATCCCCGCTCAGCGCCCCACCCACATCACCTACCAAAGCTAAGAAGCCTAAGCCCCAAGCCGTGCCTCGCGTCCCGCCTCCACCTCCACCGCCCATGCAAACTATTCGTTTGAATATCACGCTAGGTGGGCCGGACAATTACGAAATCAGCCTGAAGGATAAGGCACGTGAAGATGGTGTCCTTTGGGGCGATTTGGGACCAAAGAGATATGCCGATGAGGACACCAGCGACGAGGACGGCAGCGACGGAGAGGACGCCAAGAAGGATGCTGATGGCGATGTGAAGATGGATGCCGAGCCGGTACATAACAATTTCTTTGACCGTCACCTCACGTCTTAAATCGAATTCAGGCGAAGAAGAAACCTCGAAAGAAGGGCAAGGCTGCAACTGAGTACTACGACGTCAACGACCCCTTCATCGATGACTCCGAACTGGCCATTGACGAACGGACATACTTTGCGCAGACAAAACAGAAAGGCTTCTATGTAAGCAGCGGACAAGTCGCCCTTGTCAGGGACAAGCCCAGTCCCAAGAAGAAGACCAAGAAGAAGCTCGGTCCAGCGCTCTCTCTCAATGTACCGACCAGTACCGCTTCCACCTCCACTCTGAAACCGAGTTCCTCGATGCCCGCCAAGAAACCAATGTCGAAGGCTGCTGTCGCTGTCGCTAACAAGGCCAAATCGGCCATTGCTGCTGCGTTGGGAACGAAAGACTCGCCGATTGCTTTGGACGAAGAAGACGAAGTGGATGGTGCCAATGGATCACGTATCGATGCTGAAGCAGAAAGTGGAGATGAGGCTGGGAAAAAGCGCAAACGTTCATCGACTGCCGCTGGATCCATAGCGGACAGCGATGGTGGACCTGTAAAAAAGCGCAAACCAGTCGATATTGTATGTTTTTTGCTTTCCAAGTCGTTCTCTTCAACGCCTGATGTATCATCTACAGTCGAGTTTCTCCGCCGAATTGCAAACAAGCATCGAGAAGCTGAAGATTGCAATCGCACAAGGTTCCTTTTCCTTGGATCCAGCCTCGGTAATAGCTCGCTGACTCGGATATATCTAGAATCATGGGAGACAAAATCTAAATTTCCACCAAATCTGAAGCCTTTGCTGGCAGCAGTCGCACTTCAAGCAGTGGCTCTGGATGAGTACGACGACACCTTTTTTAGTCTCATGCCACATATCTTTCCGTACAACAAATTCACCATGAGCGTATGTCTTCAATTTACACAGTTTGTGGCTGCTATGACTTACCGAATAGTAGAAACTAATCAAACGGACAATATTCGCCGACCATACCAAACTTTTGGCATCGCGTCAAGACGAGATACTGGAGCAACTCCGTGGGATGGCTGCTGAGGGGTTTCCCCGCGCTCAAGAAGAGTGGGAGCGTAGCATGTCCAATTATGGTTTGTCCTTACGCTTCATTCTGGGCAAGTCCCTCAAGGTGTCCGCAGAGGAAAAGCAGAAGGAAAAGGCCGCCGCCTTGGTCAATGGCAGTCCTGAGGGTGACGGGTCCGGTTTGTCACGTCAGGCAACAGAGGATCCTGATCCTGAGAAGGGTAACATCATCCTTACTTACTGCGTGCCACCCCTGATATACCGAACAGAAAAACCAGAACGCGAGCCGGGGACCGGACCCGGCAAGGGTGGAGCGCATCATGGCCCTCCGCTCAAGAAATATCGCATGACGGAAGCTATGAAGTCTCAAGTCTGGCAGCTAGTCTTGCTGAGTAACGAAACTTGTCGCTTGGAGAATGAAAAGAAGTGAGCGCTCCCCTTTCCATTCCCATTGCATGCAGTGACGCGATCAGTCAACTCGAGGGCTCTGTACTCCAAGTCAGCGAACAGGGTCTGCGAAAGACACTTTATCAACGAGTAGGAATTTCCCCTCCCTCGTTTCTCACTCTGACGCTTTCCAGATTGTAAATGCATTCCCAGAGGGTTGGATGTCTTCAGGACAAATCTCACGTGACGGTAAGTTTATTTCCTGCCTGGCTCCGCCCCCTTTCATGTTTGCCCGCAGTGAGTGCCATGAAGAAGAAGCTCGAAAAGGAGGCAGCGGAAGAGCAATGATGCGGACAGCCTTACTTAGTATAATATATACCGTATTCGTATCCTGTACACATTCTTTTTTGCCCATGATGGGGCGAAAGTGTATCCTCAGCCATCACCAATTAAAACTACCGGGATTGAGCATGCGAATCGCAGACGATATCTTATCTGGATCTTATCGATACCATGCTCTTATCGCATTTGTGTACGTAAGACTCGGAGGTAGGTCGTCTCTCCTCCTTGAATCTGACCATTCGCAGGCGTCAAGGTATTCGGAATGAGCGTCATCCAAACGACTATCAGCCCTCATGACCAGAAACCCGTTGTCGAGCGCACGTATCCATCTTCGGCCGCACTCGACGCTATAATTCAGCGCGCATCCGCTGCTCAACAGCAATGGGTCACCGTCCCTGTCGCACAACGGATCGCCATCGCCCAGAAGTTCATTGACAACTTCAGTCAGACGAGCGAGGGTGTGGCGGCGGAGCTGGCTCAGCAAATGGGACGGTACGTGACTGCGCCTGAAGCAATGACTCTCCCGCTTATCTTTTTTTACGCAGCCCGATCTCGCAGGGTGCAGGAGAAGTTCGCGGATTTCTGGATCGTGCCAGATATATGTTGTCGATTGCGGAGTCGTCCCTGGCAGACGTTTCTATGGATTCTACAGACAAACCTGGATTTAAACGATTTATCCGTCGCCTGCCACTTGGTGTGGTCCTTGTAATTGCTCCTTGGAAGTTCGTACCTTCCGTTGACACTCCCTTTCCTCCTCTCAGTCTTCTGCAGCTTTCCGTATCTCACATCGGTCAATTCGGTCCTCCCCGCCCTCCTTGCCGGCAACGCGGTACTGCTGAAGCCTTCGCCCCAAACTCCTTCGAGCGCAGAACGCTTCGCTACGGTAATCCTATGTATTCAGCGTCCGATAATTGTTAATCTGACCTCAAACCAATCCAGAGTTTGATCAGTGCAGGTTTCCCTCAAGATCTTGTTGCCGCGGTGCATCTTTCACCGGAGTTGACAATACATGCTATACAGCATCCCCTAATCGATTTCGTGTCCTTCACAGGGAGTGTCGTTGGGGGTCGTGCGGTTGAGAAAGCGGCTGTCGAGGCACCCGGATTCAAAGGTGTTGCTCTAGAGGTGAGTCTAATACTCACGTTCCACCCGTCTCCGACTCATCGCTCGGTAGCTCGGTGGGAAAGACCCTGCTTACGTCCGCGCGGACGCGGATCTCGATTATACTGTCGGAGAGGTCGTTGACGGAGCTATGTTCAACTCCGGACAAAGTTGCTGTGCCGTGGAGGTGTGTGCTTCTGTTTTTCCTCGTTTGCGATCTGGAGCTCGAGCCTTTTGCCAGCGTGTATATGTCCACGAGTCCATTTATGATGAATTCGTGTCTCGATTCGTTGAGATGGTGAAAGGGTATAAGCTTGGTGATCCTAGCAAGCCCGAGACGAACCTTGGTCCAGTGGTCAGCGTCGCCAGCGCAACGAGGATTCGCAAGCAGGTTTCGGATGCGGTCGCCGCTGGTGCGAAGGCCCTCGTTCCCGAGGAACTATTCCCCATCGCGAAACCGTCAGTCTGTCGAGTCGGTGCGAACTCAGTACCTGATCCCAGACAGTGGTACAGCCTACGTCGCACCGCAGGTCCTGGTGGATGTCAACCACAGTGAGTTGTCTTGGAATATTTGGGTTATATCGTCCTGTAACTTCACGGTTTTAGCTATGGATGTCATGATGGTGCGAATTACGCCGAGAACAACGGGTCCATGCAATTGCTGATCGATTTCACAGGAGGAGACCTTTGGACCCATTGTCGGCATCCAGAAGGTTTGCCATCCTTCGAAGCTTTGAGAGTCGTATTGATTTTGAGTAGGTTTCATCAGATGAAGAGGCGGTCAAATTGATGAACGATTCGCCTTACGGATTGACCGCCTCGATCTGGACCAACGCTGCCGCTGATCCAGCCTCAGAAGAAGCGTTCTTGGCGCTGGAAGAGAAAGTGCAGGCTGGCACGGTCTTCTTGAATCGCTGCGACTTTTTAGATCCAGCACTGAGCTGGACTGGGGTCAAGGACAGCGGTCGTGGCATCAGTTTAAGTAAATTTGGTGGGTGTTTCGGCTAGTTGCGAGTCGCGATTGGCACTGATGGCAATTCAGGCTATGATCAACTGACCCGTGCGAAGAGCGTTCATATGAAGATCAAGACCGCTTGAGGCCTAAAATGCTTTAATAACATTAGTGTGCTCGTCAGCGACTCAGCTGAAACATCCGGGCTTCAATTCAAGGCGTAAGCCATTTTATATAATTTGTTTTCGGAGAAGATGAACCAGAGGAACCATTGCAATCTGAGGCGGGCTTCCGAGCTCGATGCTTACTCGACCGGCGCCAACAAACGGGCGACCGAACAGCGTATGCAAAATGACCCGGCAGTATCGATCGCATTAGAAGAAGAAGATGGGCAGTAGCCATAGGTCCAATCGTCTCACTGCATAATCGTGGACAACTTCCAAACCATCGGCAACCCGTCAGCAAGATGACCTTGATGACATGATCCGGTGCCGGACCGGCTTCACGGGTCCTCGTCCTTTCACTGATACCGCCCGAACCAGATTGCCAGTCATCCGAAGTCAAGTTGGCGAAACCAATCGCATATCGCGTGCTTTCGCGTTTTTCTAGCACAATGCTGATCAGAGCTACATTCTCCATACTTATAGCCAAAGCTGCTGGGTCCCAAACTCCTATCCAAGCAGCATGGGACTCGGGATGATACATCTCAGACCGTTCTACCTGCTAGCTATCCTTGCTGTGGCAGCCAGCCAGCAGCAAGCCGCTTTCTCTCTTGAATCACCAAACGAGAAGACCGTCTTCCATCATCCCATCAAACGCGTTGCAGTCGTCGGTGCAGGACCGGCCGGACTACAGGCGGCAGCCAAGTTGCGCGAACACAAATTCGAAGTGCGACTCTTCGACCGCGCTCCTGGCCCAGGCGGGAATTGGTTCTACACTGAAGAAACGCCTGTGAGAGAGTCGTACCCGTGGGTGACATGCAGACTCCACGCGCCGGCGCAACCGACTGAACTATTAATAGGGACAGATCGACCAACGTGACCGCTGACATTCCAGATGTGCTTCCCGCCGTCGAGTACTATGCCGAAGGTCAAGATGATCTCAGTTTGGAACATCGGTGGACTGAGCACTGGCAACCGCGACCTGTTTGGGAAAGCTTGCACACCAATTCTCCTGCAGTGAGATTCTGATTCACTGTAAACACATTCCAGTCTAATCATGCGCTGGACAGGTAATCACAGAACTGCCCGAAGTTCCGTATCGCTCTGATACCGTGCGCACACCTACCCGGCTGCTCTGCGCTTTACTGATTGGATGTTTTAGCCTTGGATTCTATCCAATCACGATATTCAGCGCCATGTCCGCGCATATGCTTCGCTGCACTCACTCAACGTGAACGACAATTCGGAAGGCACTACCGCATACTCGACAAAGGTTGAGAAACTGGAAAAGAATCAAACTGCACACAATTGGCGGCTCATCCTCCGGAAGCTGACACGTTTGGATGAAACTAAGCGCATCAAAGTGGAATGGTGGGCTGAAGAGTTCGATGCTGTGGTGATTGCCACTGGGCCGTATGTGGCGCCCCACGTGCCGAATATCCGGGGCATCGTTGACTGGAGCAACGCCAAATTGGACGGACAGCATAGCATCTACCATTCTCAGTCATATCGGCGTCCCCAGCGCTACCAGGACAAGGTACGCGCTCAGTGTGGACAGAACATAAGGTCGTCTGACTTTCGTCATGTAGCATGTTCTTGTCATCGGAGCTTCTGTTTCTGCCTCCGAGATATCGCGCGACATTGCGCCATATGTGAAGAGTATCACAGCCAGCGTTCGGGTATGGATCAACCGAAAATCCGTTCCAGATCTCTCACACCAGCAACATCTAGCCCCACGAGAATTTGCATCCATTTCAACTGCGCAGTCGTCTGCGATTCCCACCGTCCACCGAGTTTGTCCCCGAGATCGCTGCATTCGAGCCGTTGGGATCATACAATGACGGAATCAAAAACGGACGCATAACTCTGGTCAATGGAACTGTTCTCACTGGTTTCGACGAGGTAACGACTCGGAGGCCCCCTACCAGAAGATACGTCGCCTGCTTACAAGGTCACATTTCCAGATCATTATTGCCACCGGATTCCTCCACTCGAATGTTTTCTTCCCCGAGTAGTACGTGCCAAATCCTGCCCATCTGGGATCTACTAGATGAAGTACAATAGCGAGCCGGACGGACAGCCGAAGAACCTGCACTGGACTGGCCACTACATCCCTGATCCGACACTGGCCTACACCAATGTGCGTCCTTGGACTATCGGAAGGTATCAGTCCTACGCCTTCGCCAAAGTGTGGGAAGGCACCGCCCATCTGCCGACCCGGCGGGAGATGGCCGAGGACTACGAAAGTGGAAAATATCACTTTAGAGGGCTGTTCGCCACGCAGCCAGCGGAAGCCCTGTTCCGCCAGTACGTAACATGGCTGAACAACGAGTCGCTGGAGAACGGTGGACGTTTGGTCGAGCCGTGGCCACTCGAGTGAGTCTCCAGTGACCGACCGCACAGTGTGCTGAACATTTGCAGGAACCGAGAGGTCTTTGTCTATTATTCGAACCTCGAATGGCTGAATGTCGGTCCTCTTGTTTTCGAGACACAAATCGATCAGCACTAATTAATCGTTCATCAGGGCTATTCTTCGTTGGAAAATTTCACGGAGTTCGAGAACCTCGCGCAGCGAGAATGGGGCTCGCATAATGTTGCCTGGGATGCCATCCTACACGATGCGCCAGAGTGGTGATTATCTACGGGTACCACGTGTGCTTAGTCGTTATGTCGTTATGTATCCGATTCCATTGCCTAGGCCATGCAGCTTTGGCTCGCCCAGGTCTGATGTCTGATGTTTGGCTCTTATTTACCAACACCTCTTGACCGTGACCCACGGTGACCTTCTGGTGACCTCGTCTTGTCGCGCATTCGTCACATCACGACGCGCCTATGGACCGTGACGCGCCGTACACAGACATATCCAGTCCATCGGCTAGCCGCAAACGCCTCCGCGAGAACGAAAGCCCCAACGAGCGTGCCAAACGAGAGAAGGCTGCTGAACGTCAGCGGCGCAAAAGGGAGCGAGATAGAGCCGCAAACACAAACGGAATACCATCCCTTCCCTCCGCGCCACACATGGCTTTCCCGTCTCAACACCCGCAGGATCCCCACTTTCATCATCTCTCTGCCCCTCCCCAGGTCCCTGGTCAAACGGGTCCGGATGACAACCTCAGTCCAGAAGAAATGGCGCGCCGAGAACGCGTAAGGGCCTCCGCTAGGGAGCGCCAGAGAAAACATCGTCAGCTGGTCAAACAACGCAAAATGCGTGAGCTGGGGTTGGATATGGGGAACGAGGTTCTCCCTCCCATCGACGACCCCTCTGTTCCACCATCTCTCATCGCACAAGGCGCTGCTGTCCACTATCGGGTGGATGCCGAGGGAAACTATACACCCATGCTCATGGCTCCGCCTGACCTGCAAGCTCTCGGTGTCCAGCCAGGTGGCCCAGAACCGCCCTTCCCATCCGGAATCCCACATGGCGGCCAAACCTTCGCAACGACCCTCCTCTTGTCATTCTCCTGTGCTCCGCTATTGCGGCAGCATCTGCTGAGAACGCTCAATATGACCAACGAAGAATTGGTCAGTCTGGAGCCCATGCTAGCTGAAGCTTGGGACCGCTGGGATCAGGCCGTACGTGGATCTGTTCCATTTCATTTACTTGATATCGAAGATATCACAGCGCAGGGGCATGCACTACGATGGACCCAATGCTGGATTCCCCCCCAATGGGTCGCCATATCCATATCCTCCCCCGCCAGGTGAGAGTGTCGGAGGGGTATTACTTTCTCATATCTCAAGTTTCATGCTAGGAAACCCGACCTCAAGCGACGCTACAGCAAATGGTCCAGGCAGATTGGATGCGCATATGGACCAGGGTCCACGTGAAGGGGTCGATGCTTAATGGCTCGCACAGCTGTACTTTGAGAATCCATCATTATAATACATGAAGCACTCCGTGTTAGGAATTAGATGTTAAAGAACGGCTGCTCGCTTTGTTGAGCCTGTTGTCGTTGGAATGGGTTGTGCCCCGAAGACGACGAATTCTGCAAAGCCCGTAATCCAGCAGCAGTGGTTCCGTACCTGCAACGAGTGGTAAGGGAAAGACTGCGTGCTCGGAGACCTGGTACACACCTGAGTGCGCCTGTGTTACCAAACGTATCCTGTCCATCTTCCCGGTTGGCAAACAGTGACGCGAGATGCTGGTTGTCACCATCATTGACTTTGACTTTGAAACGAGATCCTGACGTTGGCTCGGGTGACTGCTGCTGGGGCTGAGGGCTTGGGCTTTGGAACGAAGGCACCGGAGTAGACGCATTGTCGTATGTTCCACCCAGGTTGAACTGCGGCGGTTGCTGCTGGCTCGGAGAGAAGGAAGGCACGGGTGGTGGGGGAGATTGCATGGCAAATGGGTTGTTAGCTCCAAATCCAGTTGGCTGCGCAATAAGCTGCTGCTGCTGCTGCTGCTGAGCCATCATTTGCTGCCGCATCCATTCGTCCTGCTGGGCTTGCTGCTGCTGCTGCAACATCATTTGTTGCCGAGCCCACTCTTCCTGTTGCTGCTGTTGTTGCTGGAGAAGCAGCTGTTGTTGTTGTTGTCGCAGATATTCAGCCTGAGCGATATGGTCAACGAGCGTCAGGATAGAAAGCGAGCAACGAACCTCCATCTCAGCTTGCTGTTGGTATGGGTTAAAAGCGGTGAATTGCGGCTGGATAAATTGAGGCTGAAGCTGCTGCTGCTGCTGCTGCTGCTGTTGTTGTGCATTGAACATAGGAAATGGGTTATTCGAAGCGGCTGGTCTATATGCTGATCAGAGACTGTTCATGGATAGGTAAGAAACGCACAATTGAGTCTGGTCATCAAAGAGTGACTTCGCATTGCTGTCTTCGATTCCTCTAAGTCGCTTTGCCTCTTCTTCCTCACTTAACCGGATCGCCTCCGCCAACTCATTTTCCTCTTTCTTCATTTGATCCTGACGCAAAGACTTCTTGCTCTCTTCGATGGCTCTGCGCATTTCGTCATCGTCGCCGCGATTCCCGGCCCTCCGTGAGCCGTTCTCATCAGCATGGCGATGAGCATCGAAATCTGTGTTGCCATCCTCTTCCCCAGATCCCTTGACCATCCGTTCGCGCATATTGGCTCGCGCGCGACGCTCGGTACGTAGTCGGCTTTCATCTTGTAGTAGATTGGTTATATCCTTAGCCTTGGCGCGCACATTCCCGCCCTGGTCCTTCCCTTCCTCGTCCACAAATTGAAACTCTTTCAAAGTTTTGATGACGTAGAGGTTGTCCTTGAAGTAGATTATGACGTTCTCAGAGCCCTGGTGCAGCAGATAATCGAGCAGCGTAAGACTCTGGAGTGGATGACGGTCAACGCCCATCATCTTCTCGGTAAACTTGCGCACCTTGAACACATGCCGCCAGTTCTTGCCCTTGTCGTTCAAACGCTTGTCCAGCATCTCCATAATCTCCACAAAGTCGCCTTGGTTGTACGTCAACTGCGCAATCTCATTCATCTGCGTCCCACTCGGGCCCCACGGATCGTTCGACGTCGCATCTCGCACTTTAGACTGTGTCTCCGAGTATCCCTTGGTGTAGTTCTTTACCACACGGACAGCGCCTTTACCGAAATGCTGCATTTCGTGACCGGTGCCAGTGGGAAGACTAGGGGGAGCAGCAGTGCACTGTTTGGTCAGATCAGACAAAGTTAGACACGGCCACAGATGTGATAAGCTAACACATTGATCCTCGTGCATCCATGCGTGGAGCGGTCCATAAAGCCAACCACGGCTCCTACCACCAGAAGAAGCACCATTCTGAGCCTTCGTCCCAGTCAGGTCCTCATCGTGAAGACCACCAGCCTAACGAGGCTATCAATAAACGCCAAGCCGGTCCTGCTATCATTGTGTCGAGTAAGCAGCATCAGGCCCATGTGACTTTCGATACTTGGAGAGGATTTCGCGGACGGGGTCGCGGTCGAGGCGGAAGAGGGAAACTCACATCAATCTCTTCAACATTTCTTTCTCATAATACACAACCTCATGCTCGAGCTTCCACATCTAAACGAGGCGCCGAGAAGAACTTTCAGTCCTCGCAAGCATCGACAGACACCCTCCGTTCTATGCTGTTCACTGGTGGACCCACACCGCCACGTCCAGACCCACGATTGAAGTCTACGCGTCCATCTCCTCCCTTCATTCCACATACTGTGGCTGCCGGTCGCGAAAACAGAGTACATGTGCCACCTCTGAAGCCGGTACGACGCGACTCGCATCTGGACCGACCGTTTGTCCCGGAACCTGAATCTGTTTCCTCAAATATCTCCTCACTGTTTTCTTTACCTCTTGCTTCGGGTCCTCAGCTTCCTAGTCCGCATGGTGCATCTTTTGCTCCCCGAACTCCTCCACCCGCGAAGCGCCGACGTGTACAAGAACGTGAAGTCGAGGAAGCACCCACGTCTTTGAATTCTCCTCGCAGATCGGTCCAATTCAAGAGTGAACCCGGTTCTTTGTCTCCACTGAGAACGCCGTCCCCCACTAACCAGGTGAAATCTGAACCACGGTCACCATCGCCTCCTCCTTCATCCTCACTTCCTCATCGAGCTGTCCGTTCTGGACTGAAGCGATACTTTCCCATTCCACCAGATTGCGAACGACAGGATGTGAACTACCTTGAGAATCGACGGAGATGGGCGCGTCGAGAGGGAAGCATTCTGAAAGACTTGAGATTAAAAGTTGAAAGAGTGCTGTTCCGGTGCGTCCGCTTCTATAAACCTATCCGGCTGGATCAAATGTTTCAACAGAGATGATGGCCTGGTCATCGAATGGTGCGTCGGATTTGCGTATGTGGTCTCGGATTCTTTGTAAATATGCCCTAGGTCCAGCGAGGAAGATGTTTGGCTGGACACGTTGCGTCCTGTGAATGAAAGGGCAATGGAGGTCATCGATTTGGTGGATGACAACGAGGATTCCGATGTAGTAGCGGACGTCGAACCGCTGGCGACGAATTCCGATTCACATCCAGAACCGCCTGCCGACCTCATCGCACTCACTCTCGAGTTCGTCAAACGCTACATCTCGATTTTTGACCATGACCGGAGTGCTGTGGGAAAGCTATATGCTCGAGATGCTGTCTTTTCGTTCCGAAACAATAACTTCGCACACCCCGTGCATTTTACTTTCCGGAGAAAGGGTTTGTCTCAATCACGTGAGTCTCCGGCTCTCAATCTGGACTACTGGTATTGAAGATGATTTAGGAATGCCGAAGCTGCCCGTATTGGAGCGGTACCGATACTCGAGCACTGCGGATGGCGAGGTTGACGTAGATTACGACATAGTGCTCGAAGGGTCGAATGTTGTTCTAACACTCTACGGCGAACTCGTCGACCCTGATGGACGTCGCCTCGCCAGTGAGCAGGCGTTTGTGCTCATGCGGACTGATTCGGATTCTTCTGAATGGCCGTTGGTCGTGGTCTCGCACATAATGGTGATCCGGGACACGCCGTGGGTCAGATGGCAGGGAACGATCGAGAGCTTGCAACATACATATTAGAAATCCAAACAATGAGTTCCTATGTGACGGAATGTATTTAAAAGCAGGTACTGTATGATATCACCATGTGGGCCGAATCAGGAAATGGGCCATTTGCCCCCTACGCTCTAACAGTACTATATTTCGAGTTTTTCATATTTGTTCAAGGGACTAATACCCTCAGAGCGTCTGAGTACCAATTTGAAGTTGACTGATCCATTGACTCGTTCGGGATTGCGGTCCGAATCTGTGTTCCCACCAATGTCGTGTGAATTCTTGTGTTCTGAGGCCCGAACACTTGTATTTGTTGGACCTGACGTCAAGCATGGACACTTACAGAATCTATTCGAGCTATCCTTTGAATAAGAGCACATCTAGCCTCCCGAAAGACCATCACTCCTGCATAACAGCAGGAAACACATTAAAACAGTCATTGAGGATGGGAATGGCAGCTAGAGGAGTGGGCTCATATGTAAGAATGGCTCAAGGGGTCGCGCTAGGACTTGGTAGGACGATTGGGTGGGGTTCCATCGTTCATCTGCCAGGTGTGTATTCGTCACCCTATGCTCATTGCACTGAGGGCGAGGTGGCCCGGATGACAATACTTTCCTGATTTGGATCAACCTGACCATATGACCTCCAGAGCTCGGTACAAGCAGCAACCAGCTATTGTACAATCTAGAGGTCTTAGATAGGATCCTTGCCCATAGATTAGAATACATAGGCCACCCAATTTTATGTATCAGTATCGAGCACCAGGCCAAAAACGTTAAGGTGGCCCGGTACCCGATGTTATACAGTACTTATGGATTGTATTTGTAGATAAATAGTGTACAAGATGTCCGCGTCACATCTAGCGAGCTGTGAGCATATCCACGATGAGATCCTTCGCTTCCTCAACAGTCCTGCTTTCCTCGAAGACATTGCTGCTGCCCAAAGCGGCTCGCAGGGCAAGCTTTACAGATGCAGTCGGAGTCTCCAAAAATTGCCGATAAAGACTCGTCGCATGCAGCAACTTGACAGTGTCCGCTTCGGCCTGTCCGCTGCAGGTGCCGCCGACTTGAGCATTCAGATTGTACCCTTGCTGAACGCGTCGCACTCGACTGGCGAGATTACCCACCCTACCGCCAAGCTCACTGGCAACTCGCAGTGCTTTTGCGTCATCACCCGGCATCGAATCTCCGAGAACAGTCTGAACAAAACATCTGGCAGCAACATCTCGAAGACCTTCAGTCGCAAGAGTGCCTTCCAGAGCTCGAAGGACCTGGTTGATAGTCAGCTGATCGATCTAACAACACGAGTTGCGTTTGACTTGCATTGTCTTTTTCAGGGCAACAAGACACGCGAGCAAGAGCGTCCTCGACGGTGAGACCCATTCCTTCGTCCCAAAGCGCTCTAGCCACAGGTCCACCAATCAGCGGCACAGGCCGCATCAATAGTGCAAGAAGTCGGCTTTCAGATTTACGATTGAGGCGAAGTGCAGCAGAAAGTCGCGATGACAGTCGGGAATTATCTGATCAGGATATCAGTAATGAAGATAAGTCGGCAGGGAGAATTAGCACCATTCAGGATGCAGCGCTCCGCGTCTTTGACAACAGAAGAGATAGCATCGACTTCGTCGCTGGAGACAGAAACGGACTCGTCCGAATCGGTGTCTTCGCTTTCTACCACCAACCGTACAGAAGGCTTGGTTCGCGGTGCTCGTAATGTGCTCCAGCCCCATCGGACAAGGGGCCAAGTCACACTCGTCAGCACCAGCACGCTAACAAGCAGGTGGAAGGACTGGATAATCCCGACGTTCTGTGGAGTCGAAGTCGAAAGGCGCGCCAGTACATGACCCTCGTGAGTGTGATGGACAGGCGGAGACTGCTTGACATTGGCGAAGAACGAGAATAAGGCAAATGCACCGAGAAGATATTGTCTAGCAGGAGCGGTAGCCGACGTTTCTGAGGAGATGGACTGGAGAGGAGTTGTTGTGTGCGGTGGAACGGAGGATGTAGCTGGGTTAGACGTCGGGACGACTTTCCTGGGCCGGCCACGCTTCTTTTTCTCGGTCGGCTGTCCATCTTGAGCTGTGACGGCCGCGGGCTTGGGCGCCGGCTTAGTCGCCTTTGGCTTGGGATCCATCTTGGGCTTCTTTCTCTTTCTTCCTTCCTCGTCACTATCGTCATCCCCGTCTTCATCATCATCCTCTTCCAATCCAGTGAGACCGTGTGTAACACCCGGTCCTTCCAAGGCACCCCATTCGCTTTCCCACGTTCTAATCACCCTCTCACCAGCGTCACCACCACCAACGAGCGATCTGATCAGCGATTTCAGCCCCGTGACTTCTTTTTTGAGCCGGCGCTCCCGGTTCTTGAGGACGTGAATGTACTCGGTTGCTTTCAACAGCACTGTTGCCTTGGAGTTCTTGCGCGCCAACTTGACACCATCGACCAATCCTTGCGCGTCGATCACATCTTCTTCGTCGGAGTCCGCAGGGATGAACGGATTCGGGATCACGTTAGAAGACGAACCCGGAATAGGATTGGAATGGGACGATTCCGTCGACGCCTTTAGTGCGGCGGCACGATCTACCACACGCAGGGCAGGAACAGCTGCACGCAAGGCAAGGATGCGTGCATTGAGGTTTGTTCGATAACGCCGTTCGATCGTAGTGTGACTGGTCTTAGGCCGGGACGAGCTTGCAACTGGAGTTGATGCGTCCATGAGAGACCCCGAGGAGACTACGGGTGTAGTAGTAAACGCCGAATTGCTGTGAGCTGAGATAGTAGGTTCCGTCGTGTATGGAAGTTGCGAAGTCGCTGAGGAGGGGACCACTCCTCGGGCGTGGTCCCGGATAAGATTCATGCTCAACCCCAGATCAAAGACTCCTTGCCCGGGAAGCGCTCCCAACTGAACTCCGGCTGACTTGAGAACCTTCGAAGCCAGAGCAAGTTCAGTGGAGTCCTCTACGCCAGATGGGGGTGAAAGCATGAAAGTAGACGGTGGAGAGGATGCGGACGGGAGCGGAGGGGTGGGAAGCAACAGCGGGGAAGGAGACCCTGAGCTCAATGACGGAGCTCGCTCCGCTTCACTCGGGGAAGAGAGAGAGAACGACGGTGGGGACAGGGAGTTGAATGAAATGCCGCTCGCGGTGTCCGACAATGGGGAAGCCAACGCCAGATTGGCCTTGGAGTCGTTGTTTTGCTGATCCAAAAAGAATAGTTGGAATGGATTGGGTGCAGTGTACGACTCCGGGGCCGTATAATGGTAAAGGGAGTGCGGCTCGATCCCGACAGCGTCGAATGACATGTCCATATTGTCCATGTCCAGCCCGAAATCCATGCCCATATCCATTCCAACACCAAAATCCTTTCCGCCGGGTACATGTTCATCCAAAGAAGGCCACATAGCTGACAGTGAATTCCAATCTGGCGGAGTGGGTGCGTCCACTGAGTCTGTGTCTGTGCTCGTGTCCGACTGTTGATTATGCTGGTCGCTGTTGTGAAGAAGCAGATTCAGCGGGTCGCTGGGGTCAAGTCCGAGGTCTCCAGACATGAGAGTAGGAGCAGAAGGCGTCTCGTGCTTGCCCGACATTTTACCATCTGAGCCCATTTGAGAGAAGCGTCGAAATCAGACCACTTCACAGCCACAGCACATCGACCCACTGTGGCCGTGCACTATCACACTGGACAAATCGCGCTTAGGTAAGGACTACATATCTATCATCTTCCGCTGAAACCTCGTTCGCCATAATTTCACATTCAGTTTCAATTTACATCTCGTTCGTATACAACCTGCATCCGCGTTTCTTTGCACTCCAAGCCATTGGGTTATTTGATTTGCTTTCGATATTCTGAATGACGTATTGGACTGGGTGGATTACAAGATCCTGCGCATACGATCAGTACCCCCGAACATATCATCAGGTATTCATGCACTTGCTAAGCCCGAAAACTTAAAGCTTGGAGGACTCAATGAAGCGCTTCTCAGCCTCTTCGTAGTTGATGACATTCCAGATTGCCTTGAGGTACTTTGCAACAAAGCATTCAGAGCAAGGCACATGAAATTAGACTTGAACCTACATCAGGCTTGACGTTGAGGTACTGGAGGTAGAAAGCGTGCTCCCAGATGTCAACACCAATCAGGGGGACAAGAGTGAGCAGAGGGTCCTGGTTTGCGGTGGTGGCGATCTCGAGGCGTTTGGTAGCAGGGTTGAGACCCTGATATCATTGAGCACGCCATTTCGTGCAGAGATAACAAACCACGTACGAGCCAGCCCCAGCCAGAGCCCTGGATACCGAGAGTCGCGGCGTTGAACTCCTTTTGCAGGTTGTCGAGGCTGCCAAATTGAGCAATGATGGCCTCCTTGAGGGGACCGTCTTTAAGAGCGCCTCCGGGGCCGCCCTTCTCCGCCGATGGGGCGAGGTTCTTCCAGAAGAGCGAGTGGTTGATGTGGCCTGATGAACGCGATAAGAATCCGTCTGCATGACTCGTTGAGAGAGATGCACGCACCTCCGCCGTTGAACTTGAGGGCTGCCTGGAGAGCGATGCGTTCCTTCGGGCTTGCCGCCTTGGCGTAGGCAGTCTCAGCAGCGTTCAAAGCATTGACATAAGTCTGATGGTGCTTGGTGTGATGGAGAGTCATGATCTGCGTCGAGATGTAGGGCTCGAGGGCATCGTAAGCGTACGGGAGCTCAGGGAGAGTGTTCGACATGGCGGTAGATGAGAGGCGATAATGTTGTGACGTCACGGAACTTCGAATTATAAATCCGAAAATCCATGATCTAATCGTGAGCGCGTTAGCATATCGCTGCAATCACGGTTGTAATCCGTAATCCGTAACCCCCGCTTCCATTTAGGAGATTGCAGGAGATTGAGGCGGAACAACGGCATCTGATCTCGCTATCCAGTCAGCATCATTACCTACTCATCGACGGAGCATGTTTTGGCTCGCAGTAAAAGATGTCCTCCAAGTGTCCACGAAAGCAATTTCCATGGATCTGGTCGGAGATCGTTCGAAGAACCATCGCAAGGAAAGATAAGTGCGGTCTGCATCGCCCTTCCTAATCGGGTTGCGTAGGACGAGCACGATCTCACGTGATCGTCCCATCCTCTTCACACTACGCTTGACGTGTCCGGGGGTCATCATGTCCGGAATGAATTTGTCTCTCTACAGCATCCAGTCGTTCATCATCCTGGATAGCGAGGGTTCTCGTGTCCTGGCCAAATATTACAATCCCAAAAGCTATCCGCAGGGCGAGTCTAAAGAGTTTACCACTTTGAAGGAGCAGAAGGCATTCGAGAAGGGTTTGTGGCAGAAGACCAAGAAGCAAGGAGGCGAGTTTTATTTTCTGACGCTCCTCATCCTCGCTCCGTGCGCTCTCGAGATCTCACCCCTGGTCTTGTAGGCGATATCATCTTGTACGATGGGCACCTTGCAGTATACAAGCATTCTTTGGACCTCATCATGTACTTGATTGCTGGTCCCACCGAAAACGAGCTCATGCTTTCGACGGCGCTGAACAACTTCTTCGAGGCCCTTTCCCTTTTGTTACGCAATCAGGTCGAAAAGAGGAACGTATTGGAGAATCTGGATCTGGTGTTGTTGTGTCTGGACGAAACTATCGACGATGGGTGCGTATCCGTAACGGTTCTGGAATGCAAACTTCACGCGTTTTATAGTATCATCGTCGACACCGACTCGACCGCCATCGCTTCGCGCGTCAGTAGACCCCGAGCTGACACGACAGAAATCGTCATCAACGAGCAGACCATTATGAGCGCATACCAGACTGTAAAAGAAAGGATGGCGCAGAGAATAGGACAATTGTAGATTATGATTCGTGTTCCCTCCCTATCGTTTGTGCGTATCATCTGGAATGAAAGCGACGGAGGCTGCTAAATATGGCTTACTCCCAACCACATTCACGCATATCTGTGCTTTCAACTTCATCTCAATCGTCCTCTGTTGAACACCTCTCTCCTGCTGCCTCTTCCACGCGGTTTTCCCTCCCATCAGGTCCAGGAACCCCAGCCCCCAAACCTGCTGGTGTACGACCAAACATATATGACCGGAATCTGAACAAAACACGAATAACCGAAGTCTCTGGCGCGGCTTACACCTTTCTCTTCTCTGAGATCGTGCAATATACCCAGAAGAGGGTCAGCGGGATAAACGACTTGGAGAGGAGGCTGAACACGCTGGGATATCGTATCGGAACGCGGGTGCTCGAGTTGATGGTATGGCGAGCTGAAGCTGCCTCCAAAGCCCCTAAGCGCGAGATACGCTTCCTGCCGGCTCTAATGTCCATCCATACACAAGTATGGCGTGCGGTGTTTGGAAAACCGGCTGACGCGATTGAGAAGAGTGTCGAGAATGCGGACGAGTACATGATCGTCGACAACGACCCACTCGTCGAGCGATATATATCCGTTCCGAAAGACATGAGTCAACTCAGCTGCTCCTCGTTTACTGCTGGTATCGTTGAGGCCGTGTTGGATGGTCTGGGATTTGTGCGTGTGCGGTTTCTGTCTGCTATGCGATGAGCCCTGACCGGCAACCTAGCCCGCTCGCGTTACTGCTCACAATACCCCCACGGCCCAGCATCCCTCACGCACAACCATTCTCATCAAGCTCGAAAAGTCGGTGTTAGAGCGGGAGGAGGTTCTCAAGTGATTGGATCGTTTCTGTGCTCCAACTGTACTTGGCTTGTAGGATACAATACACATCGATCGGGTGCGTAAATCAATAACCTAGAAAAGGCCAAGCAAGTCCTCCTGGGGCTGCGATTGCTGAGGTGCTGGTATTGGAGGCGCCAGAGCAGACGACGAAGCCGGTGGAGCGGACACTGATGCTGGAGATCCAAACACACTTCCCCCAAACGCGTTGCCACCGAATGCACTCATAGGGCCCGGTCCTCCCATTCCCATGTTCGCAGAACCAAAAATGGAGACGAGATCATCAAGAGGGTTCTCCGAGAGCCCAGTGACGATGCCTTGAGCCGCTGGCTGTGCCAACATCTGAGTTGCGGCAAGCCCAGAGGGAGCCTCGTTAGTGATGGTATCGTCACCGAAATCGCTGCTGAGTGCTCAGTGGAAACGATTAACAAAGCAAAAGTGAAAGTCGCACAGGAGATTCTCTGCTTGCTGTCCTTGGGCAACAGTTTCCAGCGCTTTTCGTGCAGAAAAGACATCCCTGCTTCCGATGTCAAGAGAGATAAATGGAAGTGATCAGGACGCACTCTTCGCCTTTCTGCAGAGAATCTGCTCCAACACGTCCACGCCCAACAAACGTCTCTTCTGGTTTGTGGTAGACACTGGCAAGACTTGAAATTTCACCCAAGAGCTGTTCCAGCAGAGCAGGTGCTACTGTCGTCTGGGGTATAGATATCGGCGGTCGCTGGGATAAAACTACAGCCTGAAACAGCATCAGACAGAAACATAAAAAACGCTTGATTTACCTTGGCTGCAGCTGTGTCTGTAGACAACAGTCTCCAATAAATGTACGCTCGGTCTCGCACATCTGGAGAGTCACTTTCTTTGGTTGCCGTGTCTAAGATCTTTTGGACGATGCCCTGAGATGATTCGGGCTTCTTCAGGAACAGTTTGACAACGGCCGTAAGCGTTTGTAGCTGTACGACATTGGTTTCCTCCATGAACGAGTCAACGAATATCGCCAGTAGATCCGCCGCGTTGTCGATTTTATTACCGTACTCTCCGATTATCCAAATCAGCGACGCCTTGGCTTCTGGCTCGTCCAATTCTTCGAGATTGGCACAAAGTGTTGGGATGACACCCTCGTACGTCGAAGGGTATTTCCGGAAGATATCCTGTCAAATGGTCAGTCGCTTTCTGATGGGTCCAACGGTATTTACCTTCATGACAACAACAGCCTCTTGCACAACGTAGCTGACCCGAGTTCCGATAAGTTCCAGTAACACGCTCACGCAGCGTTCTGCCGCGGCATCGATTTTAACCGCGGTTTGCCCAATAGCCTTGATGCTTTTGCGAACGAAATCTACATCAACCTCAGAAGCATACCTGCAGATTTTCAGATTGAAGACAACATGGTGGCAAAGAAAAATACTCACTCCTTGAGCTCACTGAGTAACGCATCCAAGTTGTTGTCCGAGGCCAGGCGGACCATGATATCCAACTTCTCGACCTTGACATATAGCGGGTCATTGTATTTGCAAAAGAACACCCTCATCTCGTTTGCCAGGATTTCAGGTCGTTTCTGTAAGAGCAGATTGATGTTTCTCAGCGCAACCCACTGGACCTCCGGCGGCGAAGACAACAATGTGACAAGAGGAGGGGCCATTTTCCGAAGAAATTGTTTGACCAGATCCTCACGGGAAACACCGCGAATGTGAATCATCACAACTTTGACCGCGGCAAGTACCACACTGCCATTGACGTGCTGAAATTGAGGCAAGACCCGTTCGCAGATATGTTCGCTCTCTTTTTCATCCTGAGGACCATAGCGAGCCAACGCGTTTAGAAGGGTGATACGCCCCCATTCGGAACATTCAGGCAAAGCAATGAGCAGTCGATTCAAAACTTGAGAGGACAGCGTCCAGATACCCGGATCGTTGGGGCCAGAAGGATTCAAGGAAGCGGCCTCGTGTATGTCAGTGAGTGCGGAGACCGTATTTGCGACCACCTGGACATATCCTGATTGTGGCATGCGCAGTTACACTGCGGAATTGACGCACCGTAGGATTGCTGTCCGAGATCATGTCATGCAATTGATCTAAGAACCCATTCTCCAGAACCAGTTCTGGCTTCAGATCGTAAAGCTTGGCGACGCAGAGTGCTGCTGTCTTCCGCACGTATGGATTCTCGTCGCGTAGGCATCGTTGCAGAGGATCACAGAGATAGTCGATGATCTTTTGGGCCCGTAACACGCCCATCGTCCGTATCGCCAGTGCTCGTACAAGGGGATTGGGGTCCTCAGAGTCCTTAACGAAAGTGTTCACCGCCAGAATGACCAGTTCTGGTTGCGTCTTCGCATAGTTCATGAGATACCTAGATGCTTTACGATGAGGATGAGGGACGACGAGCAGAGATCGGACAAACAGATACACCAGCTTCTTCTGCTCGAGATCATCCGTTTGCATGTTCTTGAGTACATCTGGGAACAAACCGCTGACGTCTAGGAACTGTGTCGGTTATTTGGTGCAAGGAACGATGTCGGCCAGTTAAACGCACCTTTTCCCACAGTCATGGATGCAATAACACGCTTGATAGCGTCCTTTCGCTTGTCCGGCCATCCACTGTTCAGTCGATGCTCAATTCGTAGTTCTCTCCTTTGCGTGGGCCGCGCGCGCTCATTACGGTGTGGAACTTGAGAAGGGACGGAGGTCGGTGATGATATCGGTGATGAATTGTTGCGGATGTCAGTATGAGCCGTGGGCCCTCACGTGAGTGCGACGCGTCCTCTGAATCTCAATCACCTCAGTGCACCGGACATTGGAACGAATACCATGACCTCTGTGTACTCTTCGCCCGGTTTCGATTTCTCTAACCAATTACGGTCAGCCAAACCCACATTCTTTTGCTGTCTTCAAACCTCCTCAGAAACAACTTCATCGCTGAGAAGGGTCTGCCGCTGCCCAGGGCCACGAGCACTGGGACTACGATCGTCGGATGTCTCTTCAAAGATGGGATTGTGCTCGGCGCCGATACGAGAGCAACTGCTGGAGCCATCGTAGCGGATAAGAACTGCGAAAAGGTGTGCATTTATCAGGCGAGATGGACGCGCGTCGCTCAACACTCTCGACGCAGATCCACTACATCACAGATTCCATACGCTGCTGCGGTGCTGGAACTGCTGCCGACACGGAATTCACTACTGCTCTTATATCTTCGAACATGGAGCTACACGGACTATCAACTGGACGTAAACCGCGCGTTGTGACGGCCATGACTATGCTCAAGCAGATGCTATTCCGGTATGTTTCTGCATTCTTTATCAATTGAGAAGGCTATGAATTAATCCATTTATAAGATACCAAGGTCATGTCGGTGCTGCTCTAGTCTTGGGAGGCGTCGACGTGACAGGCCCGCATCTCTTCACCATCCACCCTCACGGTTCAACAGACAAGCTTCCCTACGTGACCATGGGATCGGGTAGTCTTGCAGCCATGGCTGTGTTTGAAAGCGGCTGGAAAGCTGACATGGAGGTATGCATGTCTGCGTCTCCGCACACCGCGCTCACTCCACGTACGCGCAGCGCGAGGATGCACTCCAACTTGTCAAAGATGCCATCTCCGCTGGTATCTTCAACGATCTCGGATCGGGTTCCAACGTAGACGCGTGCATCATCACTGCATCGCATACCGAGATGCTCCGCAACGTCGAGATGCCGAATGAGCGGGTTCAGAAGGAACGGCAATATGGTTTCCGCCGGGGTACTACCGCTTGGAAAACGGAGAACATCAGGAGCCTTGTTGTTAACGAAGAAGTGACTCTCATTCCTGCTGGTGATGAGATGGACACTTCGTAATTGGTCATGTACAATATTGCAAAACGAGATCGAGATGTCCAACGCCGGCGATCGCAATGAGAGGTTCGGACGGTGTTATCGAAAGTCGTCTAGGCCGAAAAGACTGCACAACTGACAAAAAAGCTACTCTGACAAAGGGTGGAGAAAGCACGTGAGCCCAATAAGGCAGCTGCCAAAGGCGGTCCCGGTCATTTTTTTGACTCTCGACCACGATGGCTCCCTCAGCATCCAAGCAAAAGCGACTCGCAGAGAAGGCAGCCAAGAAAGCTGCGACCGGAGGCGATGGCTCTACGACTGGCACACCCACCTTCGGCTCTCGCGATGGTAGCTCCGCGAACACTCCATTGACGAGCGTCACTGCTGCGAACAGCACAGAGGACTTGACGAGCATGGCCAAGCTCGCCCTCGCTACCGATCGGTGAGTCTCGCAACTTTGCATTGCGCACAAATCTAGACTCATCGCCGTGTAGGAGCGCTACTGGTGTCCTGGTATCCGATGTCAAGGGACGGGATATCAAAATCGACTCTTACACTCTATCATTTCATGGACGGCTCCTGATAGAGGGTGCCGAGATCGCTCTCAACTACGGACAGCGATATGGTCTACTGGGTGCTAACGGATCGGGAAAGGTGAGTGAGTGAGCCTTTGCTTGAACAGGATGCAGGATTGATCACGATCGTGCCAGTCGACATTCCTGCAATCCATCGGCGCTCGAGACATCGAGATCCCGGACCACATGGATATCTACCTCGTGTCCGGTGAGGCCGAACCGTCTGACGTGAACGCGGTGGATTTCATTGTGGCCTCTGCAAAGGCCAAAGTCGCAAAACTCGAGGCCCACATTGAGGAGCTCTCTGTTGCTGATGACGTCGATGAGCTGGCTCTCGAGTCCGCATACGAGATGCTAGAAGAAATGGACCCCGCGACCTTCGAGACCAAGGCCGGAAGTATTCTTCACGGTCTCGGGTTCTCGCAGACCATGATGAAGAAGCCCACCAAGGATATGAGTGGTGGATGGCGTATGCGTGTGGCCCTAGCACGTGCCCTCTTCATCAAGCCTCACGTTCTACTGCTCGATGAACCTACCAACCATCTCGATCTCGGAGCCGTCGTATGGTTAGAGGCGTACCTCAGCACCTACAACCACATCTTGGTCATCACCAGTCACTCGCAGGACTTCATGGACAGTGTTTGCACAAACATCATGGACTTGACGCACAAAAAGAAACTGGTCTATTACACGGGTAACTACACCACCTACGTGCGGACCAAGACGGAGAATGAGGTCAACCAAATGAAAGCGTACCACAAGCAACAGGAAGAAATTGCGCACATCAAGAAGTCAGTATCATCGTCCTCACTCTGCCCGTATCATCTTTACTGATGAGATCAGGTTCATTGCATCTGCTGGAACATATGCGAACTTGGTGCGACAGGCCAAGTCCAAGCAGAAGATTATCGACAAGATGGAGGCTGCTGGCTTGATCGAGAAAGTTGAGGAGAGACGGGCGCTGCGGTTCAATTTCGAGGATATCCGCAAGCTGCCTCCGCCCATCATCGCATTCGACTCTGTGGCCTTTTCTTATTCGGGCAAGAAGGAGGACTACCTATATGAAAAGCTGAGCTTCGGTATCGAGTGAGTCGACATGCTTTGTATCGGACCTTCGACTGATTCCTTCAAGCATGGACTCACGGGTAGCCATTCTCGGTGCCAATGGTACCGGAAAGTCAACGCTCCTTCATCTGATCACTGGAGCGCTGCAGCCATGCGAAGGCACAGTTTCCAAGCATGTCAGTGTGCTTTTTTTGCGATGAGGAAATCCGGCTCATCTCGTTACCCAGGCTGCCCTGAAGCTGGCAAAATACTCTCAGCACAGTGCCGATCAACTGCCCTACGAGCAGGCCCCCATCGAATACTTCCAGTCGCTTTATCATGAAAAGTTTCCGGAGATCGACACCCAAGGCTGGCGGTCGCAGCTGGGTCGTTTCGGTCTATCCGGTGCCCACCAGACTTCGCCCATCAAGCAGCTCTCGGATGGACTGCGTAATCGAGTGGTGTTCTCGCAGCTGGCCATGGAACATCCGCACATCCTTCTCCTCGACGAGCCCACCAATCATTTGGACATGGAGTCGATCGACGCTTTGGCGCAGGCAATCAAGGAGTTCGAGGGCGGAGTCGTCATCGTATCGCACGACTTCCGACTGATCTCTCAAGTTGCTGAAGAGTTGTGGGAGGTCGCGGACCACACGATCAAGAATTTGACCAAGGCGGACATCAGCATTACGGATTACAAGAAGAACCTCGTCAAGCAGAGTCAGGCTGCAATCGAGAAAGCCAAACTGTTCAGTAAGACCACAACGAAGAGCAAGGCATAGAGCCTGGCTGGCTGGATATGTAGACCAGATGTGCCCTCCTAGTAGACTTTGTATCTGTATCATCGTGTTACTACAACATGTACCCCACGAAATTCCAAGATGACGATGCATGATAATATCTCACTGCCTGGCCGTTTTTGCATACAAGAACATTTGCATTGCAACACAACACCCCAGTGCTCCTACGCTCTATGAATGACGAATGTGTATTATTTTGCCACGCCCGAATCAGTTCAACAATCCCTCCTCGTTGTCAGAGACAGCGCTGCTGCAATTTGGTGAACTGAGCTCAGAATACCGCGCGATCTTCAGCCGCTGTGAGGGAGGGATAGCGTGCTCGTCCACGCCCTGAGGTAGTCCACCGTGCAAAACACCGACACGCTTCATTGCCAGCAACTGCGCTTGGGTTAGCCTCGGAATCAAGACACAGAAGAAAGACACATACGTTGTGAGCAGCATTCGAGTGGTCATATACACCCCCGAAGAACGCTGTGGTGGCATCCTTGCCAATGTACTTGACAATGTAATGCGCGCCACCGGGATGCTCGTCGATGAACGAGGCTACGTCATGGATGAAGCCAGCGATGAGAATGAGCGGTCGCTTAGCCGCCTGTTCTCGGAAGGACTCCCATGAGATAACAGGCAGATCGTTGCTATCTGTTGGCCACGCCAGCTTCTCTTGTGTCTCGCGAAGACGTTTCAACTGCATCGTAAGCTGGCCCTTGCGAACTTCGTTGTCGGGGAAAACTTTGAGGTGGGTCGCGAAGCCAAGCTGCTGGCAGACCCAGATGAACCATTTTGTCGGATCGTACTGGTACCACTTGATCGCGTTTCGGTAGTCCATCGGGAACTGGTGGTGGAAGTTGTGGTAACCCTCGCCAATCGTAGCAAACGCAGTCAACATGTGGTCACGAGGACTGTGCTTGTCGTCGAACGGAGAATCGCCAAGCCAATGCGCGAGAGAGTTCACGCAGAAGGTGGAGTGGTGAACGAAACAGAGCCGGGCGAAGCCAGCGTAGAAATAGCCACCGCGCGCATCGTTCCACAAAAGCCAAGGAATGATCGTGGGGACGACGAAACTGAAGACAGCAACGAGAGTGAGATAGTGACGGTGTTGCCAGCGCACGACTTCGTTCTTGGAGAGGTCGCTGACGTCAGCGACACCGGGTTTGCGGCGGGGCTTGAGCAGCATCCAGCCGATGTGAGAGTACCAGAAGCCCTCTCCGGCGTTGTAAGGATCGAGTTCGGTGTCGGTGTAGCGATGGTGAGCACGATGGCCCCGGGACCACCACTTGATCGACCCTTCGACGGCACCCGCACCAGCAATAGCCAAGAAGTACTGTAATGGCTTTCCGGCATTGTACGAGCGATGGGCCCAGAGACGGTGATAACCCGCCGTAATTCCTGCATGAATGTAAATCTTGCTTTCGCAAGGCGTTGAAGCGAGAGAACACACCAAGCCCCGTGAAATAGTAGTAAAACACAGAGAAAAGCGCCGTCTCCCATCGCAATCTAGTCGTACAGACACCAATGATGCTCATGACGGGCGTAACAGTGAGAATGGCCACATTGAGCCAGTTGAGTTCGTTCAGCAGGTTGCTCCAAGTGATGGGAGGCAACGGCTTCGTCGTCTTGAGAGTGTGGGAGACGTAATTCTCGATTTCCGGAATGTCCACGGGATCGGCCATGGGTGGCGAGGCCTTGCGAGGATATACGGACGACATGGGGGTTGTGGAGAAAGAGTCGATCTAGACCCCACTGTTAAATAATGACAAGCCCAAAACTTTGGGGTTTCGGCGAATGCCGACACACGCTCGTCCCAGCACGTGATCCCTTGAATAGACGGAATCCTACGTGAAATCACTGGCAGTAACGGTGCACTCGCCCGCGGGCACGCTCCGTAACTTTGCCGTTTACATTGGCCGAAAAGCTTTAAATTCAAAAGCCTGCAGACCGTATTATGGTCGATGTCATGTAATGGGGTCGGGTTCCGACTCGGAGTTAGGGCGGATCAAATCCAGAACTCGAAACCACCCGGCCTTACACATGTGAATAGAGCCGGTGAGTTCAAGACTGCTACATGTCGATTTCGAGTCCACAATTTGAATACAGTCCGGAATCAAGTGAGCTATATCTTTTTAAGTTCATCTACTTATGCGGCCGCCCTGCCTTGTCTATACATTTCCACTCTCATATTAGTTCAGTCGACACCAGTTTCCTTGCACCCGGTCTGCTCCGAGCTCCGATATTCCCCCGCGTTGACCCTAGAGGGTCGCATGTTCAAATCTCAGCCTTGGTGAAGAGTGAATCTTATTTTATATCCCCCATAGGCCTCGGTACATAATGCGTATATTTCCTTCACTTCTCGCCTACTCGATCCGTATACTAGCTTATTAGAAGCCGCTGGCCAGGCCAGAGTATGATCAACTCCCCATCTTTATCAGATAAACATGATTGCTGGGTTCTGTATTAGGTGATCTGTCGCCCACACGAAGTCATGCCAAAGTTCACGCAGCAGGATTATTCTTGGCCCATATCACATGCATGGTTAACATGCTTTCCGGCGAGGCCTGTGTGCCGACGCAAGTCTCCGTGGTCCAGTCGGAATTTACACATGGATTCTCATATACCGAAAATACAACTTGTATTGGGTTACAAAGACGCGATGATCTCTGTTCAAAGTGAGCCACCCAGCTCCTTGGCGATGATGACCGCAGCCTTCTCGCCGATTGCAACAGTTGCCGAGTAGGTGTTCTAGACAGGCAATCAGCCTGATTTTCTGGTGTGACTGAGCATGCTGGCAGACTTACGGCGCTGACGTTCGAGGGAGCGATGGACAAGTCGTCAACTTTAAGGTTGCTCACGCCGTACACATTGAGTTTGCTGTCAACGACACCTCCTTCGGCCTTGGGCTTCATGGCACAGGTTCCCAGCTAGACGAGAAAGATCAGGCCAAGAATAGACCAAACAGGAAAACTGGGCTGACCGAATGCCAGGTCGTTTGGACCCACTGGCGGAGATAGGCGTCAATGGCCTTGTCGTCCTCAGCCGAGTAGACGATTTTCGGTGCATCGATGGGCACAGGTCCCTTTTCAGTGTATGCAGCATTGCTGCCCTCGCCGAACTGGGGCCCAGCAGGAGGCAGGGCACTCGCGAACGAGGGGAGGCGGCGGATGATTTCACGTCCCTTCTTGTAGCCCCAGCGCATCGCAGCTACATCAGCAGGGCTGGCAAAGGTTATCTTCGTCAGTGCGGCTCAAGGGACCTTGGTTCGGTACTCACTCTGACAAAAAGCCGGCCTGGAAGTCAGGGTGGGCGTAAGGATCAGCGGACGATATGTGCAGATAGCCTCGGGAGGATGGATAGCCCTGGAGGAGTCAGACAAACACCGGCAAGTCCGTGATCATGAACTGACCAAGAAGCAGGCCGAACACAAGAACCGCAGAGGCGGGAGGGCAGATTGATCTCCAGGCAATCTGTGCTGATGTATCAGCGATGATGGAAGCACCAGACATGTGCTGATACCAACCCAGGCACATTGGAAAGCCAGAACAGAGGCCTGTCAGGATAATCTCTGAGCTGCTTGTTCCAAGTCTCGGTGAACTCAGGTCCGATTTCAGCCAGTTCCTCGGGGAACGGCCGAATCTTGATGGCGGCGTCGACACCACTGAAGGAGATTAGATAAGGCAGAATCCGATGAGATAAGATGCGCACTTGGTGGCGAAGATACCACTGGAGTTCTGCTCCCAGTCCGCCAGACCGGGTCCCCATGTTTCGGGCTCGCCGCGGTAGACCGGGTCCATTGTTGGAGCATCGGGCATCGCGATGTAGGGTGTCACCGCGAAGGTGTGATCTGGCATTGTTCAGTTGGCATTTGCCGATCAGAAGGACCGAAATACCTTGGTAGTTATCGCCCACCCCGGAGAGCTCGGACACGATGGGAATGCCGGCTTTCTCCAAGATATCCTTGCGCCCAATGCCAGAGCGCTCGAGAATCAGCGGCGAACCCATGGCACCAGCCGACACAACGACCAATTTGGTCGCTTTGACAGTTCGAATGTCCTGGGATGCATCTTCGTGGATGTTCTTGTTGAAGAGATATTCGACCCCGGTGGCAACGCCGTTTCTACGCAATCGTTCAGTCGAGTTCTGGAGACCTTCCCAGAAGAAAAGACGGACTCGACCACGATCTTGTTGACAATGCAACCGTCAGCAACGGTCAGATTCGGGTAGTCTGGCTTGAAGACATAGTAGTGCTAGACAGGTCAGATCGATGAGCAAAGATGCCTTGTGGCCCAACTCACTGCCGCATCGGAGCGACGGCCGTCGCTGGAAATCCATTTAGGCATGGGCTAGAACAATGAGTCAGGTCAAGCGAATGATCATCACTACCTAGAAGCAACTTCGACTCACGAAGAAGACGTTTAGTGATTCGGGGCCAAACGAGTTCCCTTCTTTCCCCAAAGGGCGCTTCTTCTCGACCTGTGGGCCAATCTCGAGGAACTCTTTGGCGATCGGGAACAGCGTGTGGCCTCCGAGCGACGACACTCTCAGCGGGCCAGTGGATCCATGCGTGGGACGGGCAGGATCAACTTCGTAGGTTTCGGCCTGAGAAGGAAATAGGGATGAGTGCACGATCGGACGCGGGGATGGGAACTTCCTCCTACCTTGGCCAGCAGTGGAATAAGGTCGTCGCCAGACCACCCGGCGTTGCCAAAATCGTTTTCCCACGCGTCAAAGTCGGACTTTGCGGGCCGGTTGTACAGCATGAAGTTGATCGAAGATCCACCGCCGACACAGCGTCCAGATGGGACGATCACAGAGCGTCCGTTGACGCTCTCGGACGGCTGCGACTGGGTGAACTGGGTGACCTTGGACGTCGGCATCAAGTGCTTGAGGTACTGTCCCGCCATGACATGGTCTTTGACATCCTTGGTCGATGGTCCACTCTCAAGAAGAAGGATCTTGAGATCAGGGAAAGCCTTTGCGAGACGACCCGCAGTGACACATGCGGCAGTACCTCCGCCAGCGAAGACGAGGTCGTATGAAGGTTCGAGAGAATGGGGGGCGGTCATTGGAGGTGTGGAGTGGGTGGGTTGTGTCGACGAACGGGTGTGATTCTTATAGGCAGTGCGAAGGCATATACAGAAGGAATTCTCGATCAGTCACTGTTGGCCACGTCCAAAAACCTGTGCAGCACCTCGGGGATCTCAGGGACCTACCCGAACCCTCGTTGTCTTCTCCGCGTTAGAGAGAGCGGAAGTAGCAACTCCCCATCTATCAGATATCCTTGCTACTTGCCAGAACACATACGATCATCATCAGCGTCTAGTAACGTCCATCATCAGTGTCGAACATCACAGACACCCATCTCTGACTGATATCGTTCATGTGGATCGACCCATCGATGTCCTCCCCATGAGCATGTGTTGGACAATCCCTGGGCTGCAATCGTTACAGTCTTCCAATGATTTTGGGTATCAGAGATTGAACTGAGGAGAGGAAGAGCGATATCGGAGAGTTAAAGAAGGCGTTGGGATTGCTGATCGTATTCCGGATTGGGAGCACAACGAGGGCGGTATTGATCTGAGGCCAAGCAAAGCAAGGTGCTTATTTCGACATGCACCACGGAGGCTGTGAAGTCATCAGCTTGTCGCCGTCAGACGCCGTTCGGTTGTCAGCGGCGGGAACATGATGGGACGCCTCTCGAAGTCAGGTGTCCGAGGGCGTCCGTCAATCGCTCGGGTTCTGTGAAATCGAGCGAGGAGTCGCGTTGAGCGGAGAACATTCCGAATCATGGCCCGTCGATCATCACGTTTACGGAGCTCATCGAAGACCGGACATGTCATGCTGAGATATCATGCGCCAGATGCGCCAGCTGATGATCATTTGTGTTGCATTTAGAACGCGCCATGGAGCTCGGACTTGCATTTCTGCTGACCCAGGCTGTGGGCCATTTGCTGATCATCACCAGATCGTGGCCATGGTCCCAACTGTCTCCGCCGACGTCGGATTCATCGGGTGCTCCATCCCAAGGTTGGAACAGAACCATGAAACGCGGCTGGACCGGAACTTTCCAGGTCGCAGTTTCGGCGGCTGAGACATGGTGCACTGCTCTGAGTCAAATGCCAGTCTGCCACCAGAAACACAAGGACCAGTCTGCAGGGATAGATTAACAGCAGATATCAGCAACAGTGGAGCATAGACATTTTCAGAGGAAAAGAACCATTCCTCACTGCAATGATTGATATACCCTGACATAGATGTGATGAGGCTTGTGGTCAGGAACGAAGCAGATATAGAACAGTCGATGGCTGGCTTCACTTGTGGCTGCGATTATTTCGCGGGAGCCTTGAGGAGAGAAGGATCGGAAGTCGAGATCTTATGTAACCCATGCTTCCTTCTTTGGGACTGTGGTCATCTTGCTCTTGGCTGGTGAGATCTCCCCCGAGTCATCAGTGGTAGGCATCTTGTAACTGTGTCTCTCGACGTGATGGAAGGCCATGCGGGTGCGAATGTACGGAAGTATCCCCTCATGGACAAGCGGACATCTGCGTATGTCTGCTGGACTTTAAAGCTTCTGGGGTTGCATGGAAATGTCTTACTCCCGGTCACCCCTTTCTCTTTCTACCAACGATGGCTCCCCCGCACATTCCTGGAATCAACATCCCGTTCTTGTACGTCTGTTTCTTGTCCAACTCGTCCTTTATGCTTATTCTCCACGAAGAACCGGCCCGATGGTGAGCCGATCGACCTCGACGGAGGAGAGTCAGTAATGGCTAATACGCGTCGGCAGGTCCTCGGTTACATGTGGACCTACTTCCTCTACGGGGTCCTCGTTGTTCAAGTTTGTTCGTGGACTGCTCACTCCGGCGTGCTCGCGCCTAAATTCATCGTCTCGCAGATATTTACTCTGAGAGTTTTCCCAACGACCGGAAGCTCATGAAAGTTGTGGTCTATTCCATGTTCTTCTTGGAGACCATCTTCACTATCTTTTCTACCATCGCCGCCTGGCAAATGTTCGGCGACGGCTGGGGCGACCCAAACACCCTTCTTTTCCTTCCCTGGTCTTTCATCCCGCTTCCGGAACTGAATGGCATCCGTACGTCTCGGCCTTTTCTCCTGCTCGCCCACTGTTAATCCCCGAACAGTCGCTTCGATGGCGCAGGGCTTCTACGTCTGGCGCATTTGGACTCTGACGAAGAGCATCTGGGTGCCCATTGTCATCAGCATGGTGAGTTGTCTCACCTTCGCCGACGGAGGCCGTGTAGCTGACAGTTATCCAGGTCTCACTGATGCAGATGGCGGCCTCCTTCTATTTCGGTATTGCGGTAATTCTGGTCGCTTCGATCCGTCCCGATTTGATCTAAACAGGTTGTAGGTGACCTTGGGCAACCTGAGCACCCTAAAACTCCTCCAGTCGACAAGCGAAGTGACGGTCGGCATCTTTGGGTTTCACTTGATTCACTCTCTCTCAACGCGCATTTCGACAGATCTGGCTCGTCGGCAGTGGGGTCTGCGATATTCTTATCACCATCGCCTTGGTCACCATTGTATGAGCTGCCCTTTGCCAGCCGATTATTGTGCTGACGGACCGGTCTAGCTCGCCCGTCGCAAGGGAGGCTCGCAGTTCGCGCGGACCTCCGGTGCGCTGAATAAGCTCATCCGGTTCAGTGTCGAGACCGGTCTGATCACCACGACCGGAGCCGTCGTCGACCTCATCCTATGGCTGAGCATGCCCCACTTCAACTGGCATTTCATCTTGTGAGTCGCACGAACGGGCTGTTGTGCCGCGATGGACTGACCAATGGTTGTCCTCAGCTTCTTGACGATCGGTCGCCTATACTCCAATGTGCTCGTGGCAACGCTCAATGCGCGCCCCGTTCTCCAGGGTGGCAGTGTCGTGTCCGCTATGCAAGCACACGCCAACACGTCCATGTTCAACGACGCGACCTCCGACCCAAAGCACAACATCAGCGGTATGAATCCCCGCGTGGGCATGCCCGGTGTTCGGATCACGCACGCGAGCCGCATGGAAGATGATCGGGGAGAAAACATCGTCATGGCTGTAGGTGGATCAGATTCCGCCACTTTCACGTCCTCATCTCCGAGCAGGACTTCCGCAACGGCAACAAGGGTGGCCTGGACAACCGCATGAAACTATCGGACGACGATTACAACAAGGTCCCGGAGTTTTAATCCTGCGCTCTTTCTCGGTCCCTCTGATGGAAAGACCATATGGACTATTTATTCAGTTTGGGTCGTTTACTTATTGTTGTAATTTACTTTAAAATACTGTACATTTAACGTGCACGTTCAAACAACGAATCGGGGACACCCGCTGATTATCTACTCCAACACGAATGCCAGCACATTCAATCAGGCGGACTGTCTTGTCTATTGCACCCTTATTGTTACGATTTCCGGTCTCAAAACAACTGCTCCTCCTGTTCCTCCACCTGATGCCGATTAAGATTATATTGAACTTTTCATAATTCTCCCAAAGAACGCCTTGTCATTAGAGCTGTAATGTCTGTCTATCTCCAGCTTCGATCACCACCGAAGCCTTGGTCTGTGATGCAGGCGAAGTCTCATGGACCAGTTTCCCCTCGGCTCCACCCAATCGCGAGCAAGCCCGGAGCGCATCCGAATGGAACGTAGCCGGGAGACCACCCACGGGCTCCAGCAGAAGAGGCAGCATGCGCGTATGGAACACCCGGTGTGCAACCGACGCACCCTGGTCCACTATCAGTCAGAGGACCTGCATCACAACGGATAGACGCACGAATTGCTGGAAGATCCCACCGACTACAGCGGTCACAGCGTCGCCCTGTACCTTGTACAACCCGACGTCTTTCAAAATCTTCTCTTTGTTCAGAGGCGATCCCTCCTCGAGCATGGAGGCGGCTACTGTTGGTGTCCATCGCATGACACGTCCGAGACCCCATTGGGAGCCGATGTGCTGTCCGAGAAAATACGTGTTCAATACTCGCGATACGATATCTTGCAAGTCATGGCTGGGCTTCAGCTTGGGTGAAGATGCCAAGAGAATGAGCAGGTATGATTCGAGCACGCGCCGACCTGTGTGAGAAACGCAGTGAGCAGACAGTCCAATCCCACGAACAGAGGAGAGAGTATATTTGTGCAGACACATACCCATGAAAGAAAACTGCCCATTATGCCCGTGGAACGCTGCCGGATGACTCGCGTGCGTGAGTATCCTCGCCGACAACTCAGGCGGAAATTTTAGCGGCTCAAACAGCCCATTCAAATGCTCCGAGAACAGCGCGTCTGGTTTCGAGGCCCGGCCGGGCGTCGACGAGCCGCCGGACACCTGCCGCGTCTCTGACCTCGAGCGTGTCGCGGTGATGGTTGACCCCGTCCGACGCGCCGCGGCGCCAGACCCTTCCGCAATGTGCAGGACTCGGTCGCGCGTGGTGGAGGAGCCGACCTCGCGTGGCCGCCGCCTGAGCTCCGCGGCCGCGGGCTTGTACGTAGCAACCCCAACCTGGTCGTCTCGCGGCCGCACATCCGACTTCTCCATCCATCGCACGTCCGGCTCGAGCGCGGCAGGACGGGCATATGACAATACGGGCTCGGTTCGCCTCGTGTGCGGGGGAGCGGGACGTGTTTTGAGTGCGGCTACGCTGTAATGTCTAGCAGCTGGCGGGGAAATGCATATAGCAGGTGTAACGGCGGAAACCGGGACGACGTTACCTGGCACTTGAGAGGAAACGGACTGGACAGATGACTGGGGTTGGCCGACGATTGTACGCCGAATGCAGCGGGCGGACAGTGAGCAAGACATGGCCTCGTCTGCGCGACGGAGAACGGAGGAAAAAAAGAAATGTTCACGTGAGTCAGGTGACGTAAGCGACACTGGTTACGCCTGGGTCTCGACATTAACGTAAATTCTCAGCTTTATACGTTCAACTGTGCTTCGGCCTGAAAACGGGCTTGTAAATAGAGTCATTTGTTGGTTTTCAGTCAATCCAGGGCGATCGCAAGCCATTCGAAAGCAGGGTAGATATGTCATGCTACACAAATATAGAAAGATTATCGTTTGCCGTACTTCGACTTGAGATCCTGGGTCAGTTGCCTCAGCATTGACACAGTGACGACAGCCGGATCGAGCGACACGGTGCTCAAAGTGGGAGATGGTGTTCCCGGTATCGGTGTTCCGTGGGCAGTTCCGTTTCCGTTGATTTGGGGCGGGCTGGCCTGGGATGTCGAGACAGACATCCGTCGTCGTTTGGAGACCGATGAGCTGTTTCCTGATCAGCTCACAGCACTGCAGCGGCAGCCAGAAGACAAACCTGGCATCTTCACTGACACTGACACTCCGCGTTCTCCGTCGCCGGGAGGAAGAGAAGGCGCGAGAAGCCAACTGGAAATGCAGCTCCCGAGCGGCATTTTTGAGGCGTTCGAGGGTGGCCAGACTGTCTTTGGTGCAGACAAAATATGTTGCAGTCGAGTCCAGTACCACCAACTCTCTCAGATGCTCCAGAAATGGGAAGAGGGGAAAATCTGGTTGGCTCAGAACTCAGGGAGACCCCACCGGCGAACAAATACTCACCGCGACCAATATCCCGGTAGGCCCTCACATCAACCCACACAGCATCTGCGCCGTCAGCATCGAGAAGCGGGTTACGGAGCCAGGCGCCAATAGCCGCGAAGGCGGATTCGGTATCCCAGATCTCTGCTGACGGCAACGGAGGCAAAACACGTTGTCCGTGAGACAGGCCAACGAGATCCAAGGCCAGATTCGCCGTTTCGTTGAGGATCTCGACAGCCGAGGAGATCAGTCCCCACTCCGAGGACTCGGCCCACTCCGCGAGGAAGGCGGTGTATACAGAATCACAGAGGTTCTTGAAAACACCTGTCCACCGTTAGTAATGTGATCTGACGAAGAAAAAAAGGAAGGAACCTTGCGCGGTTAGCTCCTGCCCGAGGCGCCCGGTCACATCCACATCCATGTGGGTCAACGCATCACTAAACATGAGATCCAGATCGTCCGACACTGCTGCAACGGGAACGACGCGAAATCCAGTGATGGTGCCCGCGTCGACGAGTTTTTTAGCCTCCAGGAGAGTCAAATATCAGATATCGTCGATAGGAACCTCGACCCACCATCTCCAACATATCATCTTCCAATCCGGATTGCCAAACGAAGAACACCAGACTGGGCACAAAATGCCGGTCCTCGGGCAAAGCGCTGACGAGATCCCGCAACCGAGAGCAGTCGTCGAGGACGAGATACTTGCGATCAAGTTCGTCATTCACCCCGCCCAGGGGAGTGCACTCGAAAACGACCAATCCGGGATATCCCTTGCCTGGCGCGATCACTGGGATGGCCAGAACAGTCTCATTCACCCAGCTCGAATCGGCTTTCTCGACATCGAATTTTGTCTGAGCCCAGATCGCTGTCGCATCAACCTCGGGGTTAAGTGACAACCATATGTGCCATTGACTTTTGAGCTTGAGCGCCTTGCGTATGATCTGGAGAAAAGAGCCCGGTGCCCAGCGACGGTCGTGCTCTGCCTTGTTCTAGACCGAGTTGAGACATGGCCGTATCTGCACCACACACACACACCTCCTCAAACCGCGAAAGAAGTTCATCGTCCGTTTTCCGGGGCTGATACGTCCTCTGCCGGCGCCGTTTCGTTGGCGTGACTGACATGGACGCGGAGCTCTCCTCGTCGTCATCCCTGAGAGAGCGCCCGTATCTCCGGCTGCGAATCGTAGCGGAGTAACGCTCGCCTCTCTGGCAGGCCGCGATCCACTCCGCATGGTCCGTCGCTAGTTTCTGCCACCGTTTAAACGACTCGCGCACCAGAAGACCACGCGACTCGAATTCCCGAGCCTGCGTCTCAAGATCAATGTCAGTAGCTTTGCCTTTCCCCTTCCGATCAGGCGGTGAGATCTGCTTCGTTGGAGAGAAGCTAGTTCTCAGCGGTGTCGATGATGGAGTCATCACCAACGGACTGAGCATTCCGGCACTGGGCGCCAGATCCGTCCTGAGCGAAGCAAGCAGACGGTTGCCGGTTTTCATTGGCTGGATGAGTGGCTCGCCCAAGCCTGCAGTCAGATTGAAGAAGCCGGACTGCAAGGGCGGCGCAGTGGGCGTCGACGGCAACGACACGGGCTGCACTTTTTCCAGAGCGGGGGGATTGATTGGGGTAATCGGCCCATTGATTTTGATGGTCAAGGAGGTATCGATTTGGGGTAAGACGGGACCAGAACTATAACTCGCCAGCCCAGTGGATGACACACCAAATATAGGTTTGGCTGGCTGGGGTTGATGGATAGGTTGAGATGGTGCGGCGGGGGCGACGGGGGCGATGGCCTGCGGCTGCATTGGAACAGGGAGTGCTGGCGGCGGCATGTTCGTTAAGTGGCCAAATGACGGTACGAATTCAGGTGCCTTGGGGTTGAGAGGATCAGATGTTGTATTTGTTCCTCCACCTCCGAATGAATTTGTCACTGGAGCAGCACTTGCGGGGGTCGGTAATGTCGAAGTTCCATTTGCCGACGAGAAGGGCGAAGAATTCATCCGTGTCGAGGGAGAACCAAACAGGGATCCGTTCGGACGACTGCTAGAAGCAGCGATCGCAGTGAATGCGTTTCCAGCGCCGATGTTCCCAAAAGCACTCGACCGATTGCCGAAAACATTGCTCGTAGAGGTGATCTTTGTGAAAGCATTCGCAGTCAGAGGCGAGATGCTGGAATTTGGGAAGGCGGATGCAGATGGTGGAAAGCCAGAAGATGAGCTTGCAGTTGGAAATGCGGAAGCTGTCACTGGGGGCAAGAACGTAGAAGTTGAAACCGTTTCAGGAGCCACGGTCAAAGCTTCATCATCCAAGTCTGATTCCATGTCATCCACGTCTTGCTCAGTGACTCCTTCCTCCTCTCCTTCCATAGCCTCCTCCGTTTCATCTTCCACTTCCACTTCCTCTTCCTCTTCTTCCGCCTCATCCACTTGTTCGTCTGCTTCTGATGGCTCTGCTCGAACGATCAAATCCAAGTCTGTATAGCCTTCGCGGAGGTCATCAATTTCCTTCACCGTCCCCGTCCCGAAGATACTGTCCAACAGGCATGCAACCATGAACACCATCGGACGCCCGTCTTCTGTTTCCAGCAGTTTCTCCACTAATTGCTGGAACGTGGCCATGCCCTGGCCCCCGACTTTGAGTTCGCTGCTTCTCGTGATTGTCCCGCTCGCGCTTTGCACGTGCGACCGAAACTGGACGGCCAGTTTATACAGTGGGTGTGCCTGGATTTGCGGTGGGATTTGTTCGGGGCCCTGGTTCCGGATGAATATGAGGCATCTGTAGATCCACATCTCCACTTCACAGGGGAAAGCGTACGCAGGCCCAAATTCGGATTCGTCGCGCAAGTCATTGTACAGCTCTTTCAACGATTGCGTGCAATTCGACAACAGCCCAGTCTCCGTCGGCTTGTCAAAACTCTTGTCATCGCGCATCTTTCGGAAGGCGAGGATATGGAATCGCATGCACCGCTCGATGCATTCCAGCACAACTGGTGAGGCAAGCCGTTGTATCGTCAAATCGGCCCGTATTTGACGCGTTCTGTCCCTGATGAAACTGTGCGTAGCTTCAAAGCCACCACGTGACATCAAATCCTGTAGCATGTAGTCCATTGTTGCCTGGACATCGGTCAGAGCTGTAGGGTGATGAGCGCGGTTGGCACCTTGAGGATCGGAAGCGGTCGCAAGTCAGATGGGGTCACTTTGTCTCCTCGGGCGCGTTCGTACTTTGTCACGGCGTGTGGGTGATCTACGTATCGAGTGCCGGGTAGCTGGATCACAATGAGATTCAGGCCATCACATATGTTTTAGAGAAACACTGACCTGTTCCCAAACCTCGAGATTGAACTCTCGTTCCCTCCGATACCGCTCTCTACGGGAACACATGTGCATACATGTACCAGCCATTGTTATAGGGTTATGGATGTCCCCCTTCTCAGAAGACATTTTGCCCGTACGAACGGCCACTTTGGCCTCCAGTTCCCACAGATGTACAAGCTGCACTCAGGTCAATTACAGGCAGCAAGCGAAACAGGATTAGAAAAGAAAGAATGGGGCGATGTTAAAAGAGCGATATCATCGAGGAAAAGGGGGTGAGGAAGTCTAGGCAGATATACTCACGTCCTTGTAAACTGCTTCCTTTTCCTCCATCGTTTGATTCGCGGGCTCGTCCTCGGGCGCGACGAAAAGCGGCGCAAAAACGGGATCGTCAAGTTCTACGGTATTCTCCAGGTGCTCGTATGGGGAGGCAGGCTTGCTCGAGGTGGGCTTGACTTCATCCGGCTCTGAGTGGTATCCGTTGTTCTTCAGTCCACCTCCGCCCCGACCTTTCCCGTGCCCATGGGATCCTCTTGGCCGACCACCACTACCACTAGACAAGGGCTGATCCATGGCAGACGCGACCCACTGCTTGTTCTTCCCCCCGCGACGCGCTCCGCCGCCGAAGTCGTGAGTGTTGTGCATCGCCCTCGGCCGTGAGTGAGCGTTCACGCAGGAGCGAAGGTAGCACGGACGCGAAAATGAGGGGTTAAAACAGACGCTCTAGTGTCAGAGACCACGACCCGGGCGAAGAAACGGAGAATGAGACGGAGTTGCGGGCGAGACAGGTTCGAGGTGACAACAATAAGATCAAGTGGCGATGCAATTGATGAGATCATTGATCCTCATGCCCCGCGATCGCCAACTTACGAACTGAACATCTCTTGTTGCCCATGGCTATCCCACCGGGGCTCGCTAGCAACTCAGCGGAATACTCCTCCGGAAATATAGGCGATCACGACTGGCTGCCTGCGTATCCAAATGCAGAATTGGATGCAGGCACGCAAAGTAATCTATTCAAGCACTGCACCAATGCATTTGTGTTCCGAGAGGAAAACGTGCTGCTCGGCTACAAGAAGCGCGGGCTAGGTGTGAATAAGTAATCAATCTCCCCAATGACTGAAAAGAAAGGATCAATTCGACTTGACTAGATATAACGGATTCGGTGAGTAGTGTGGCTTCTTTACTTTGGTTCCCACATCTCTGCCCTCGTCCCTGTGCGAAGGTGGGAAGGTAGAGCCGGGGGAAACAGTCGCAGGAGCTGCTGTACGGGAGCTTCAGGTGCCGTCATAAAGGTCACTCTCTTGGTGTTTCACAACTCCAACACAACTAGGAGGAAGCCGGCATCGCAGCCCCGCTTGTCCGGGTTGGCACTCTCATCTTCGTCGTCCCAGACCAGAAATGGATGCAAATTGATGTTTTCCGGGCGGATGAGTACAGTGGAGATATCACGGAGTATGGAGTCTACTTGCACGTTCGCAACCCGATCCACTCATTGGGATGTAGGTCAGAGGAAATGCGGCCACAATGGTTCTCTCAAAGCAATCTGCCATTCGACGACATGTGGGCTGCCGACCGATATTGGTTTCCGTTACTTGTTTCAGGGCAACATTTCATCGGACGTCTCGACTTTGACAATGGAGGAGAGGATAATGGGTATATTCTCAGAAGGTGGTGGATTGGGAAGGTGGAGTGAAAGTCTCGTGCGATTTCTACAGATCTAGGCCACGTCAAACGCTACGATTTCTATTTTCCTTCGGCGAGTGCCTTCTTTAGCAAGGCCAAGGCCAAATCCGCGGATCCCCACGAACTCTGGTATCCATATCCGCCGTGGCTAGTTTTGCGTTTGGTTCGATGGAACAGTTTTGAGAGAGTGAGCACTCACCCGTAATTGAAGACAACCGGCACCTTTCCTCGGCCCGCAGTTTCGACCCAGTCCGTCTCGAGTCGGATGCCGCCCTTTCGAGCGGGCCGGAGACCACATCCTTCTTCAATGATGATCGGCTTGAGGTCGTCCAAGACTGGTTCTCGTTCAGCTCTGATTTCTGGAGGCGCCAGTTCGGGGCAGAGAGCGAAGGCGCGTTCGAGAATGTTTTGGGTTGTTTCAGGTCGAGGGATTGGATACCAGTCGTTTTCCACTTTGATTCCTCCGACGATGATCTGCAGGCTTGGCTCAGCTTATTGTCCCCGCGAAAAGCAGGGCACAGACGTCACCGCTGCGGCGTGGAATAATATACGTCCACAATCCGTTCTTGCTGCTGATTGCGCGACCAAATGTGATCCATGGCGCGCGCAGCAGCACAGTTTGGCCGCGGATCGGATAAACGTCTTTGTCCTCGACACCACCCATCGCACGCGCGCCGAGACCAGCACAGACCACCACGGCGTCAGGTGCGGAAACGATCTTGCGTGCGCTGAAGATCCCTCCGCCCCCTTCGATGACCTCCGCGATGTGCTGCACCGTTCCGCGCACAATTGCCCCGCCGGCAGCGAGGAATCGTGATAAGAGATAGTTGAGGTAGACTGGGCTGTCGATTGTAAGCGTGTTGAACGATATTCCTTGGGCGCAGTTCGGCGGAAGTTCCTCGGGTGCAATCATGGTGAACTGTCCGACGATATTAAAACTGGAATTCGAGAATTCCGGCTAAGATCCTACCCACCTCCGGCATCACCGACAGGACCTCAGGGTGAGCGATAGGCTCCGAGAAGTATTCTTGCTCTCTTATCCTCAGGAAACAGCCCTCCGCAGGCCCTCCTGGAGCGGAGAGCTCCCACATCACTTTGAACGTGTCTTGATCCATTTCTGTCAGATCGATAGCACTGATTATCAGTGGAACTTGTCGAGTGTGGGACAAGCAAACTGCGCACTGCGTTGTCGAAGATCGGGACCCGCAAGACTGACATGATGAGCACCCTGATTATTTTTATGGTCCATGCCGGGGATCGGACAAGCAAGCGACTCACGGCCCAGTGGCTAGTGTATTTGATGTTCTTGGTATCACTGACATCGTCCAGAAGAACTGCTGAATGGGAGTTGCGATGACGTACCTGGGGAATATTTCAGCCAGGATAGTGACACTATATCCTCCTTGCTCCTGGATGCGCAATGCTGTTGTCAATCCGACCACACCTAGAAAAAATCGCCCCTATCTATTTAGAGATCCCAAGAACCCATACAAGGAAGGTCAAAACCCGCACCAGCGCCGATGACGACTATTGATTTCGTTTGAGTCATGGTTCGAGTGAGGGACAAAGTGCCGGCGTCGGTTAGTGGGGTGTTATAAAGGACTTTTGCCGCCGGGGAAGCGGAAGATCGTTCGTCAGACTCAGGGACTCTGGCCCCGATCGCTGTAGGCCAACGCTCTCTAGTGAAGGTTGGAAGCCGCGGCCATGAGAACGAAAAGAAAAATCCATCACATCCCATGCCAATGTCAATTGTTGCCAATGCGCTCAATTGGCTCCGTGTACATTGGTCGAATACGCGTCTTCAGGATACACTCTGCATGCATTAGACTAGTGCAGACTAGAAACCCATCGCCTTTAAAGTAGTGGATAGACCAAGCCCTTGGATTTGTTTCTCCGCGTCGTCCGTTGACAACCCTCGTTCTCGCTTCCAAGGCGCCCTTCCTTTCATTATAAGGCGCTATCGCATCGCAAACGGATGCTTTATAGCGCCTTCTCGAGATTCCATCGATAACAAGGAGGGAAACCAACACCCTACTGCTCTCACGAAGCCAATTCTTATCAGGTTGCTTATCGCTTCAAATGGTATCAAATTGAGCTAGAGAGTGAAGCAGCAGTGGATTGACGGGCCTAGAACGATACATAGCTGACTGCAAGTCGACAAACAGGCATTGAGCGACGCCGAAGCACCATCAGCGACTGACGAGCGCATTGGATGATGGCGATAATGAGTTGCTCATCCATGAGGACGAGACAAATGTGCGGGAGAGACTGAAGCAGGATTTCAGCATGTGTCGTAACGAATCATCCGTCTGAACAGCTCTGCACTGAGAAAGAAGACGGCCACCCTTTTGTTCTGTTATAGCATGTCTCATCGCCATTCCACCGTCTAAAGCTTGTTGAGAGACCCATACAGAGCGAGATGAAAGGAGCGAGGAAAGTCCAGGTGGTTGCAGGACTTGTGGAGTACAGTCAATGTCAATGTCAGCGGCGATGAACAGGTGCGAAATTTCTGTCGGCGGAGGCGGCCGAAGAATGGCCAGAAGTTTCATATATAGTTGTCTGAGCGGTGTAGATCCAGCGACGGGGATTCGGTATCACTGTGACTCCTGGGAGTCGATTCACAGACCGTGTCTGAACTTTGAGGCGAGAACTGATTCATGGCTAGACTAACTTTGATGTGAGAGACGAACAGGAGCAGAAACTGATCCAAAAGCCCTGGAATAGTAGACCACAGTGAAGGTACGCTGCGAGTAGATCCAAATAAAGATTGTGCGAGGAAGAGAGGAGAAATCTGATCAAGGAGTTGCAGGTGGCGGTGCGATTTTCGAGACGCGTTTCCTCCCCCTCCATCACTCATGTCTCTCAAAGTGCCCAAAGCGAGCAACGTCCCCATCTTCAAAGATGGTTACAAGCACCTTCAAGGGCTCGATGAAGCCGTTCTCCGAAACATCGAGGCCGTTGTCGAACTTTCTGACCTTGTCCGCACAAGTTTTGGTCCCAACGGTAAAAATTCGATATCTGCTTACCGCACGCGTCCTGACGTCTGTGATTAGGCCGAAACAAGCTCATTGTCAACCACCTGGGGAAACTGTTTGTGACTTCGGATGCGGCTACGATCATCCGCGAGATCGAGGTCGTGCACCCTGCAGCCAAGTTGTTGGTCATGGCCTCGCAAGCTCAGGAATCGGAGATGGGAGACTCGACGAATCTGGTCATCATCCTTGGAGGAGAACTTCTGAAGAAGGCTGAAAATCTCCTGGTGTCTGGGCTCAAACCGGCGGATATCATCCAGGGCTACGAGCTTGCATGTGCAAAGGCTTTGACGGAGCTAGACAGTGCGTAATCGGCGCTTAATTCCAGTCTCAATGCCGATGTGTATTCTTCAAGATCTGTCCACATTCAACCTGCCGACACCCTTGACACCCTCAACTTTGGCTGCTGCACTGAAGCCAGCAATCGCCTCGAAACAATATGGTTACGAAGATCAGTTAGCCAACCTCATAACTGAGGCTGCGCTTGCGATCATGCCGACAAATCCTAAAAACTTCAACGTTGACAACGTCCGAGTGGTCAAAATCATGGGTGGCAGCCTTGGAGCCAGTCGTGTGGTTCAGGGCATGGTATTTCCCAGAGAACCTGAAGGTGTGTTACTGGACGCTTTTTCCCCGAATGATTTTTCAATCAAGATACGTTCAGGCACCGTCAAATCCGCCAAAAGAGCCAAAGTCGCTGTGTTCACTTCGGCTCTTGACAACGCCCAAACAGAGACAAAAGGAACTGTGCTCATAAAAAATGCAGAGGAGATGCTGAACTTTACGACTGGAGAAGAAAAACATCTGGAAATGGTAACTCTTCCTCCCAATTGCGATTTCGCGTTGAGGATTTTATCAGATTATCTCCCAAATCGCGGATTCCGGAGTGTCTGTGATCATTGGCGGGTCATCCATGTCAGATCTTACGCTGCACTACCTGAACCGATATAATATCGCCGTGCTCAAAGTTCTGTCCAAATTCGATCTTCGCCGGCTGTGCCGAGTAGTTGGTGCGACGCCATTAGCACGCATGGGTCCCCCTACGCCCGAAGAAATGGGCTACGTCGATATCTTCGAGACGATCGAAATAGGTGGCGATCGTGTCACCGTTCTCCGCCAGCTGATCGATGGCGACGAGGGCTACAACCCAACCAGCAAAGCTGATCCGACCCGGACAGCAACTATTGTGCTACGCGGAGCCACGACGAACCGATTGGATGACCTCGAGCGAGCCATTGACGACGGCGCCAACGTCCTGAAAGGGTTGATCAAGGACGGACGGATGGTCCCTGGAGCTGGCGCCGTCGAGATTGAGCTGGCGAAGCGTATCGAGAACTATGGAGCTGGGCTCAAAGGCCTGCCGCAGCATGGTGTGCGCAAGTTCGCCAATGCACTGGAGTGTGTGCCGCGGACGCTGGCGGAGAATGCTCTTGGTGGTGCTGAGGGTAACGAGGTTGTGAGCAGACTCTGGGCCAAGCACGAGGCCGGCAGCGCCGCCTGGGGTGTCGACGTTGAAGTGCGTCCAATCGCTTACTTGTTTCACTCCAAACTGATAAACATTGAAGAACGAGACCGATGGCACACTTGACACCGCTGCTCACAAGATCTTCGACTCGCTTGCGTCCAAAGCATGGGCTATACGGCTTGCCACGGAAGCCGCAGTCTCAGTGCTCAATGTCGATAGCATCATCATGAGCAAGCCTGCAGGTGGCCCGAAGATCCCTCAGCAAGCGGGCAATTGGGACAACGATGACTAAGACAAATGTATTACAGCTACCGTATAGAAAGAATTGCTAATATCCTTGTAAGACGCGTCTGCGAATACGCACTGATGATGAATATCACGAGGTCGTCTCACAAATCAGAATCGGGGATTATATCCGATCGTCAGTTTGACATCAACCAAACGCGTCTTCTCTCTCTTCCACCATCTAACATCATGCCTACCACTGCCATTGCCGACTTTGCTGCGTTCCAGGAGGCGGTATGCCGCTCCAGTTGCGGGGATGTCCTTGACCTGCTCACATTGTTACCTTGATCGCCTAGATTAACAGCGAGACCCCCGTTATCATCGATTTCTGGGCAACTTGGTGTGGACCGTGCAAAATGATCAGCCCCATATTCGAGAAGCTTTCCAACTCTCCGGAAAATGCCGCTCTCAAGTTCTACAAGGTCGACACGGATGCGAATGAGCGCGCCGCGACGGAGGCTGGTGTCCGCGTGGTACGCGCTGCACCGGGTTAAGCCATCCCCTACTCAGTCTGATCGATTCCTGGTAGATGCCGACCTTCATGGTTTTCCATAAGGGAAACAAGATCGCCGAGTCTCCTGGTGCCGTTCCTCAGAAACTCGCTGTGTGTATGCCGACTCTAGCAAGGGGTGCGATCTGACCGTTTCTCAAGGCTTTGATCAAAGAGGGTGTCGCCGCTGCCACAGAATCCGCTACTGCCAAAGAATCCGCTGCTGCCGTTGAGGCGCCTGCCGCCGAATCGTCTGCATGAAAGTGGCTCTAGGTAGTCGCATAGAGCGTCCTCTAAGTAGATAACCGTCGACTGTAACAAATCAATGTATGGAGGTTGTTGTCCGTGAGTGTGACAACTTCGCACCTTGGCGATTGAAGAATCGTCGTAAGTCGGTGTGCAGAATCCATGACCGGGCATGCTGCCAAGTACAATCTTTCGGCTTTTCGGTGAGCAGTCACCAGTGAGTTAGACTAGACCAGGCTTGAACCGGTTGTCAGTTCGCCGGTCGACGGCTGTGCAAACCATTCACGTCACGTGGAAGAAAATTTCTGCTTTCTGAGTCCTGACCATCGCAAGTTCTCAACCGTGCCGCAATGCATCTCATGTATACTCTGGATGAGGCTGGGAACCGTATTTACACACTCAAGGTTTGTTTCAGTCCCTCATTTCGTCTGCAAAAGTTGATCGGTCTTGTAGAAATTGACTGATTCGGGCCGTATCACAAAGTCTGCACATCCCGGTCCGTTCACCTCCTTGTGCACGCTAGCCCGTCCCCTTATCTGTTCTCCCGTGCACTACAGCCCGTTTCTCTCCCGATGACAAATTCTCTCGGCATCGAGTGACCATCAAGAAACGCCATGGTGTGCTGCTCACTCAACAGCCGGCGAGACCTCTGTGATCATGGCTGTCCTCGCAATCTCTATATCTCTGGCGAAGAAGAGCAAATGATGCGCGAGGGATCAGTCATGCGTATGTGCTTCCGACCAGCAAGCATACCGTGTCCCTCTTCGGTGTCAGGCCGCTCGTCCGACGGACCTCTTCGGTCCCCGACCTTATCTATATTTCTAAACGTTGACAATCTATCGACTTATCATGCCTCCCCATCTCGGTCACCCTCTCCAATGATAACCGTTTCTTGTCCCCGCTCTCAAAAGTTTTCGGCAGCCAGCCATTACAATCTTTTGCTATCATGCGGGCTGATGATGGGTACCATCATGGCTCACAGCTCCCGCTGTCCACATCGACGATGATGTGGGTTCCAGTGTTCCCAGCACTTGACAAGGACCCATATCGATATAAAGTTGAAGATCAGGCAATCGGATCCAGCAAGCCAGAGAAATCGATCAAGAATGGGTTTGTGCTGGGCGATCTTCATTGGGAATATCCCTGGTCTGCAGCTGTTTGACTTTTCAGTCCGTTAGCATGTACCAGTGCATTCAATCTTGCTGCTCAGCCCATGTGTCGGCGAGGGTCTATTTAACAAGCCGACACGGTCATAAGTTGTTTGTGCAGAGCAATGGCCAGAGAGCGAGTCAAAGGAAACTTAGCGTGTGTACCAGTATGGCTACGAGTCAACGCCAGTTGTGTCTACAGTCATTTACCACCTAATGATACAGCAAAAACTTACACGCCCTAATGCGGTCCGTTCCAGACCAATTTCTCAGATCGGACTTGATGACCTCATAGATTATATCCTAGAGAGTAGAATTCAACCGATAGTTGCTACATAAGGAGTAGTATCGTACAATATCGAGCCTTATCTATTCCAGGATTGCTTATTTGGGTCAAGTCAGCTAATGAGCCAGTCACATCTTCCTTTCGGCTTCCTTTACATAACGGTTCCGAGGCTACTCCGAGCTGTCGGAATCGTCATTCGGGCCATTCATCTCATCATCCGATGCATCCGAAGAGCCTCCTGTGGACAACGAGGCGCTGCCCCCATCTTCCTGAGCATCCTGGGCTGCCTTCTTCTTTGCTGGAGGCCGCAGGAGCAACTTCTCCTTGAAGTCCGTGCGTTGATCCAATTAGGACGGTGTGATGTGACACAACGTGATGTTCCCACGAGAGCCACTTTTGGTCTCTCTTTGCAGTTTTTGTTCTTCATGATTCAGTTTGCATGCAACCCATCTCGGATGTTCTGGTAAATGTTCACTATGAGTTCGACCACCAAAGGGTTCAATAGCACCATCATACAATTGAAATTGGGTATGCCTGTGCTTGATTACTCCGCATTTATGTTTTGAAACCCAAGCCTGAATGATTTGATTGCAAGGGCCAAAGATATCCGCTGAGCTATGCCTCTATCCCTTTTAGTAGTCTAAAGAACACATCCTAATGATGTCCCATGCAAAGTCCGAAGGTAAGCAGGCCACGGGAACAGGTGCTATTGCCATTTGTATCATTAGGTCATGGTGTATCATTAGATGGTAAATGACTGTAAGCAAGTGGTGGTGATTCGATGAGCGACATGATGATGTGTATGTAAGCAAAAAATCTTGTCCACTCTCTCCCAATGCCTGTCGCGTCTGTCTTCCCTCTGCGTCCGACTTTCTGTCAATAACATTTTGAATTAGTGTACCTACCACCGATCAAGCTCCCGCGAAGACCTCATGGGCGGACGACGTGGACGAGGCTGGCAAGTCTCAGTCTACCACGGGATCTCATCCACTCATGTTCTTGATATCTAGAGCAACCCAAGAACGAGGATTCTATCGATGAGAACGGGATCCGAACTACAATTGAGTATACCGTGAACGAGGATGGTAAGAGAGTAAAGGTGAGTGTGTGTGTTGCGAGAGATCGGTGCACAAGCTGATCTCTGTCTGTAGATCATCAGACGCAGCAAGCGCACACTGCAAAAGTCTGTTGTCGACCATGCTGTCGCAGAGCGCTTGAAATGGGCCAAATTCGGACGAGACAAGGGCTCAGCCAAGGGCCCCGATCGAGCTACGACTACTGTTGGAGAGGAAGTCTTCCTAAAAATCAGTGCCGGCAACAAGGTGACGGTCACCTACTCGTATTTTGGCACACACTTGACAATCTTCAGAGTGCCAGCGACGATAAAGTGGAAGAGGAGAGTGCGAAGACAAAACTTACCAAGGCTGGTGCTGGCAAGGTCGTGTGTCGGCTGTGTAAGGGAGAGCACTTTACTGCCAAATGCCCTCACAAGGAGGCTCTGGCTGGTTTGGAGATGGGTAGGGTACAATTATCAGCTCCTGCCTCTCAAAGCTGACGCTCGCACATCAGATCCCGCTGCCGTCGACGAGTCGGGTGCTGCTGAAGCTTCCGGCCCTGCTCACGGTCTCGCTGGAAACGCCACTGGGAAATACATTCCTCCCAGTCAACGCAACCCGCGTGGACCTGGTGCTCCGGGAGCTCCGGGTGCACCGGGAGGTCGCGACGATCTGCCGACACTCCGTGTCACGAATCTGTCGGAGGACACACAAGAAAACGATCTCAGGGAGCTCTTTGGTGTCTTCGGTCGGGTCGCACGTGTCTACGTTGGTCGGGATCGCGAGACGGGTGCTGGAAAGGGCTTTGCGTTTGTCAGCTTCGAGGAAAGATCTGTTGCACAGAAGGCGATGGAAAAGGTGAACGGCAGAGGTTATGACAATCTGATCTTGAGCGTCCAGTGGAGTCGTCAGTCCCCATTCCTATTGCCGCACACACAGACGTCTAACTTATAACAGAACCCCGTCCGGAACAGCGATGATCTCCAGCAACATCCTCTTCGCTACGAATTGTACTCCTTCGCATGTGTATTTGACTGTCGTCCCTGTACCTCGAGACCATACTGTTCAGGCAAGAGCATGTGCCATGAAATAGTGCTCCGTTGAATCGCAGCCTCTCGTGTAAAATACCGCTTGGCAACCACCTCCATTTTGTGATGACCTATAGTGATTATTTGAGCATTCAGACCCTCTACGAAGCTTCTTTGATATGTGACTGCGGGTCTCTGTCGAACTTACATGGAGTTTTCTCGCCATGTCTCTTCCTCTCTTCTCATAAACACCATAACCGAGCATATACTCGCCTCCGGAACTCAGGATATCGCTACCTTCTGCCCATTGTGACGTGCGAAAAGTACGTGGGAGAGATGGTGTGAATTGAAGCACCCAGGATCTCTCTCGATGTTGTCCGCTTGCACTGAGCTTTTCGTGGGTGAATGCTGAACGCTGAATCCTCACTCGTGGACAATAGGTGTATACAAGTTGGAGTGACAGAGTTGTTGGCAGCAAGTGCCACAGGTTTATGCAACTCGATTCTACAAAGTTCAGTTGGCAAGCTCGTGTCGAGAATGGCCAATATATTGAATGCTATAAGCCTTCTCCCTACGCTGACTGTAGCAACTGATTAGTTTGGGGATACATTGCAAGTTTTGATCACTAACCTTGATCTCCAACTTCCCGGCCAATAGGTCTGCAAGTTCGGACACGGAAGAGTCTGTCGCAGCTGGTGTTGCCGACGCTGCTGGTGCCGTGCTCGTCTCCACGACCAGCTCGTCCTCGTCTTGTTCGTTGTCATCGCTATCAAGAACAATCTTCCCTCCCCGAGCCTCAAGCAAGTCTCCAAGCTTGGAAAACACAGGCTGATCCTCCACCTCGTCATCTGCGTATACGATCTTAAGCGCAGGGAGTTTCCCACTTTCGATGGCATCGCACAGGGCCTCGTAATGTGTTTCGGTGAAGTCGTTGGCCGCAACTTTGAGGCTGTGAAGTCTGGGAAACTCTTCCTCAGCGAAGAGCGCGAATAGGGCGTCGGCACCCTCTTCGCCGAGTAGACAGCCAGTGATGTAGAGCGACTCGATATCTCGCGCTTTCCCGATTGCTTCAACCAGTTTCTCCCACCCTCTTGGGCTATCACGCTCGTCCGAATTTGTAATGACGTTGTCGCAGTAGTGGAACATTCGTAGTCGTGTGCACTCTACCAGAGCCGATGCGACCGCAATCGTCCCGTCTTCGTAGAAATCGTTCCGGTTCATCTGGATGATTTCCAAATTGGTATGTGCCCGGATGACTTCTGCCCACACGATCGCCGACGCGTCGCGCATCAGGTTCTGACTTGTGACGAGAATTCGGAGGGGAGAGGTTTTTCCCGCATCTTTGATGTTCTTGGCCAACGTCACCAGCGCCCCAGCGAGTATCTGCCCACCCGTGCCGTCCATACCGAGGTCCGCAAGCTTCACTGTCTCAAGAGAGAGAGATTGAGAAAGGAGTGGAACAAGGAGCTCGACAGAGCGCTGTCCAAATGCGTTATGGCTCAGATCCAAGGTCGTGAGCTGGGAGCATTGGAGAAGGGCGTTACAGATGTGTGGCAAAGCAAGCGGAATCACGTCGATCCCTTGCGATATGAAGATACTAGACAGAAGCGCTGTCTTTTCCATATTTAGCACCATCCTATATGCCTTCACGATCGCGTACCTTCAATTTTGGCGTCTTTTGAATGAACTCTCCCAGCACCTTCGCGCCTCCGATTCCGAATGTATTTTTGCGAAGGATCAGCTGCTCGATATCGGCTCCATCTATGTCTTTAAATGTATCTTGCGCCGATTCTTCGCTCTCCAGCCTCAACTGGCGATTGCTGAAATCGACTGTAGTAGTGGGAGACATTTGGGATAGGCTAATGATTAGATCAATGACTGCTACGAGAACTTGAGCTGTCATCGGAAGACACTTCGTAAGTTCTGTCACGAGTCAGTCACACCCCCATGATCTCATCCTCTGCTAAATTGTGAGTAGGCGCCCAGGTGGTCGGCGAACGACACTTCTCCACCCTTGTGCGATAAACCTGACTCCTCGAACTCTGTTATCAGCTGTGGATTCCAATCAGAATCCTCTCAGATGCAAGCCTCGGTCTATATGGCTGTGACTACTATACCACCGCGGTTCCGCTCTGACTCGAGTGTTCCTACCGACCCCTACCGTCTTCTGAAGTCTATGGGCCCCTCTAGGAGCAACCCACTCCCTACGCAGGGAGGAATTGCTCCTCTGAATACGCAGAGCCCTCCCTCTCGGCGCCCACTTTCCACCATGGTCGCAAACCCCAGCATGAAGATGCAGCCGCCGTTTATGAATCCTGAATGCGATCATCTACCCAATATCAACATTCAGTCCCCCTCTCGTCATCCTGCTTCCAAACCGCCCGACCGTCTGCTGGAATCTAAGCCCATTCTGCTGCCGCCTAAACCCAATGTGCGCTTGTCCCGGGTTGCTCGCGGTTCGCAACGGAACGACTAAAGTCGTCACTCAGATGGATGTGGTCGCGCTCGACGATCAGGGTAAAGGTGAAAGCAGGAGTCGTCTGTTGGGTCTGACCACGAAGGTGGGCAGATATAGTCATGCATCTTTGTTGCTCGTAGCTCATATGACCGTGTCAGTTCCTTCCAACTCGAGCACCCCTTGGAGCACCAATATGTTTGAATTTCTTGCGGAAGTACTGTCCGTTCAGGAGCCGGTGCCTCCGAGTTCATGTCTTGTTTCTACGTGAGGGCACTGGAGAACCTGAGGAAGTGTGTGTCAATGGGCTATCTGGAAGATGCCGAGGTGCTGGTGAAAATGCTGGAAACCAGGGCTGTACCAGAAGACATCTGAAATTAGAGGTGAGTTCGTCTTGAACCTCTCCGCATTCAAGATGTCGATCAAAACAGGAAATCATATCTTCACGGGCGGGCTCGAACGAAGCCGGAGAACGGCTGGAACCAATGCACACTGTTGATATCCAGGTACTGGTAAATTCCACCATCGTCTTTCATTGTCGCTGAGACATGTACCCAGCAGCCTGCACCTCCCTGCCCGGAGGAAGACCTACCGAGCACCAGCAAGCCTGTAGTTCGGTTCCCGGCTCCGGCCCAATCGAATTCGAGTCATGAAAGTCAATCTACGCCAGCCGCGGTGTTCGACCACAACAACTCGTTTCACGACCAGGACACGGATTTATGGGGTCAGAAAGGACAAGAACCAGCGGGGAGTGATTCGGAGGCGGAGAGCCATAGCAATGACACCAAAGCAGTGACATCTTCCGTAAGCATGCGTCCTTTTATTTCGCGTTAGTGTTACTTATCGTCAAGCAACAGCGGGAGACATCCATGTCCTCATCTGTCTGCCGAAACTGGTCTCGCACCGGCGGCTGCGTATTTGGGCCTCAGTGCAATTTCGCGCATGTGACACCAACCCAATCACTGCCAATTCGCCGTCCTCTGCCTGCAGCCAAAGAAGTCTGCCGTAAATGGCTCCGGAACGTATGCAATCGAGGCTCAAACTGTCCATATATCCACGAAGATGTCAAGTACGACGATCCAGAACCTCCACCGGCGCTGCCTCCGGAACCGCCCATCACAGTGATCTTGCACGACCACACAAAAGTCAAGATCGGACCGGGATTTGAGGTGTCTGATGTCGCAAGTAGCGAGGAGACTGCATGGCTGATTCTCGGGAACGTGCCAAATCGGATCCTGTTGGAGGACAGAGAGATACAGAGACTGGTGCAAGGGTTCGGAGAAGTCCTGGATGTCGTTCCTCTATCTAGCAAAGACAAAAAGGAGGGGTCTGCCAAAGTGCGGTTCGCCAGTCACTCTGCAGCGCAACAGGCAACCCGGGCTCTGGACGGCAAGGTTTTGTCTGGCAAAACTCGGCTTAGTGCGCAGATTGCCGTGAACTCAAGGACTGGGATGGCTACGATGCAGGACCGGACCATCCGACTGGTTTGGGAGATTCCGCACAAGACAGCGTATTGTGGATATTCCGACTATATGCGGGTCGAGCGGGCTCTAGCATCGGCCCGAGCAAAGCCGTTCGGTGATAACTATGTCTATGCGGCGAACCACATCGGGCTGCCTTCGTTAGGCGCGTTTACGCTCAAAATCACCAACATCCCACCTGATGCGACGGAGAAGATGATGGATCGGTTCGGGAATCCGGATGAAGTCGTTTGGGCGCGCGCCAATTACTCTGCCCTCCAGCCAGCGGTCGAAGGGATCAAGCACTTGCTCCAGACAACAAGCGCCGGTTTCCTAGAGCTTGACGTCCAGACTGCTCCCTTTTCGCATGGGGCTGTCAAAGCTTGGGCCGTCTACGAGAGTCGCACCGCAGCTCGAATCGCAGCTGGATTGCTGCACAATCGGAAACCCAGGTGCATCGGCAGATCCCGGCTGTCGGTGAAGCACGTGCAAACTTTGATATACTCATTGGCCACTGTGCAGTACGACCGGGATGCCCGACTCATCGATGCGTTGAGGGATGAAGCGCATCGGGCCGGAATGGGCAGCTCGGCTGTCGTGACTCGACGGAATGTATCGACCGCGCTTGTCCGCCTGTCGGCTCAGTGCACACAGGATCTCGGCATGCTCAAAGCCGAGTTCGAACGGATTCTCAGGGGTGATATCCTCAGAGTGGACGGCGTGTCTGTCTGGAACGCCTACTTCTCAAGACCAGACGGGATGCAATTCACTCGAATGATCTCAGCCAGAACAGGTTCGCGGATCGTATCTGATCCGATCCGGCGCTGCATCAAGCTGTTTGGGACCATGTACCAGCGAGCATTGGCGCGGAAGCACCTCCTTCAGAAGCTGCATGAGGTCCAAGCCCAGCGGGTCGACTTGATCCGAGCCGAAAATCGCGTGATCAGCGCGTTTATTACGTCTCAACTGAGCGGGCTGGCCCGGCGGTTTGGCCCCGAGAATGTTGTAGTGGATATCCGAGACGGCAAGATCCTGTTCCGGGGTGGCGAGGAAATTTATCGTGCGGGGGTCGAGGCTGTTCACGCGGCTCAACAGTCTGTTTTGGGGCACGAGGTGGCCAATACCACGTCGTGCCCGGTTTGCTTCAACACAGTGGTGTCACCCATCACGCTCTCTCGCTGTGGACATGCCTACTGCAGCATCTGCTTCTCCCAGTACATTCTCGCGTCGATCGAGAACCGGAGATTTCCCCTCACGTGCCTGGGTGGAGACGCGAAATGCACTGAGCTGATACCGCTCTCGGCTGTGCGGTCTGTGCTGGATCAGAAAGACTTCAACTCGGTCGTCGAGGTGGCACTCTCCTCCTTTGTCCACAGCCACGCCAAGGAGCTCCACTACTGCCCTTCACCCGACTGCCAGCAGATCTACCGCACGGGGCCCAAGGGGACCGTCGTGCACTGTCCCTCGTGTCTGCTGCGGATCTGCTCGTTCTGCCACACAGAAGCGCACGACGGGATCGTGTGCCAGGACAGCTGGCAGGACACTGATAAGCTTTTCGCGAGCTGGATCAACGGCCACGACGTGAAGAAATGCGCTGGGTGCGGCATCCCCATCGAGCGTGAGGAGGGCTGCCACCATGTCACGTGCACGCAGTGTCACACACATATGTGTTGGGTCTGCAGCAAGACGTTTCCGGAGGGAGATGGGATTTATGCACACATGCGTGCGGAGCATGGTGGCATTGGCTTGTAGGTGTACTGTATGTGTATGTCCTGCCGTGTATATATACGTGTTGCCAAGTGCTTGAGATTAATTATATATTCCATGAACGTTACTATATTCGCCTAGTCGACAGATACAACACAATAAGATAAAATATCACTGCTGATACTCGTACACAACAAATCTCTCATACGGCAACTTGGGAGGATGCCCTTGACGAGGCAGAGAGTCCGGCAACTCGGGCCTGCTGGCCAAGAAAGGAACGTGGTCGCCCTTCTGGTCCCTGTAGCCATCCTCTGGATATTCTTGAAGCTCCGTCGGGTATGCGACATTGGCGGGTGCATAAACAATGTACCCATCCATCGTCAGGTGGTCGCCCCGCCGATTCCAGAATCCCACGCGTCTCCGCGCGCGCCACGTTGGTGGCGGCGTCCGCTGCACCGGGACCCCGAAGACAGGATGTCGGGGCGGGTCTTGCGGGGGTTCCGGGAGCGGATTCGAGCGGGGCGGGGTGACACTCCCGTGCCGAGGCGGGGACGTGCTGCTACTCGCCGCAGCGAGGCTACTTCTATTGGGGCTTGGGCTCGCGCCCATGCCCGAGGTCGAAATCTTATGCTTGTGTCTCTTCTTCGGGGTGCGGACACTGCCGCCCTCAGGAATCACATCTAACGTCGCAGATGGCCCAAGCGGTCTGATCGGTAACCTCTGCGTCGCGGGAATAATCAACGGGCTGAGCAATCCAGCGCCAGGTTCGTCGGACAATTGAGACGCCCCGCTCATGCTGTGACCATCACCAGACCGACCTAGACTGTTGCTGGCGAAATGGCTGCTGCCCCCGAAATTCGCAGGCAGAGTCGCCGTGCGCGAAAGCGAGTTGGTGCTGAGCCGGTCCATCTGCCTCGTCAGATGCGGGACAGACGGCGTTGGAACAGGCGTGGGAACAGACGGTGTGGGAACAGACCCTCCTGGGGGCACGGAGGGAATCGGCACAGAAGAATTAGGGACAGAGGGAATCGGCACAGAGGGAGTCGGAAAAGACGGGACAGGGACAGAAGGGACCGGAACAGAGTTATTGGGGACAGAGGGAATGGGGACAGTGGATTTTGGCACGGATTGAGACAATGCTGGCCCATAAAGGGGTGGGCCATTGCCTCGGGTGCGGTAGTGCTCTGGAGTACGCACAATGTTCGACGAAAACGTCGGCTGGAACTCCCGAGACGGCGGCGGCTCCGAGTTTCGCTGCAGTGTCCTCGGTCGATTCGGGGTTGTGATAGCAGAATCTGACGCATTGCGCGCCGGTGGTGATATCCGGGGCTGTGGTGTAGGTGCTTGACCCGGCATCTCTCGGCCGGGAGACACATACATCGGTGGGGGCATTTGGCCGGAGGGGGCGTTAGCGTTGAGACCTGCAGGCGCGATTGATGGCGGCGGCGGCGATCGAACAGGTGATCGAGCCCGAGCAGCATTGATGACATCTGTGGGCAGTGTGGTAGCATCCTCTGGCCCCAGCCCTCGGGGATTCCACACCCAAGGAGTGGCGGCCATCGCACCTTCGTCGTTCTTGGGGCCGAAAAGCTCGTCTCTGGGTCAAATGTGATCAAACAGCACTCCCCCTCCCTCGCAGTAGAGCGACATACCTCGGGACCATGTTTTCCAACCCCAACGGATTATCCGAAAGCTTCGACGCCATATACGCCGCACTAGGCGCGCGGGGGACACGCTTGTACGGATTGTAGCTTCCCGCGGCAGCAATTTGCGCCTGTTGCACCTGCCACTCCGCCGCGCGCTGCTCGGCCCACCCTGGCCCGGGGACCCAGTCCACCGCATAGTTCTGGGGCTGCTGTCGGCGGGACGAGGACGCGGCAGTCACGGCGGCGGCCGCAGACGAGGCTGCGTTCCATCGGCTCGCGTTGAAGGCGGGGTTGACCACCCACGTCCCGTTTCTCCAGGCCTGCGCGTTGACTTGCATGTTGGGCGGCTGGGGAGGGGGAGCACCAGCGAAGGGCCGCTGGGGGAAGTTCGCAGGGATGTAGCTGCGCTGCATCATGGGGTATGGGTACGCCATCGGCAGCAGCCAAGATGTCTAGAGAGAGATCGGTCGGGTCGGGTAGAGATTGTATATTTAACTCACGTACCAAGAACGCGAGATATGAGGCGCTGGGCTTTCTCTCTTGAGTGGATGTGGTTGTGTGGGCACTCAAAATAGCCAAACAATGGAGGGCGGAAGCAAATCTCAGCCGCAATCCGAGGTCTAAAGGGGATCGGAGGCGGGATGGAATTCGAGGGACCAGACGAGGTGAGTATTGAGAATGCGGAAGGTTGTTCCCTTCTTATTCTCGGGATCCTACGAGCCTGGGCCACTTGGCCGTTCAACGACAAGTCTGGCACCGCTTATAATGTCACACCGTCACTGCACCCTCCACCTTTATGAACTCTTTCATGAGACACCACTTGTCCTCGTTCTGGGATTTCCCACCTTGTTCTCTGTGATCCTAAATTTCTCATGGGCTCTGGATGGGCTCTCTTTTGCGAGATGATTCTGAAGTCTAAGCCCCGAGGGTCACATAATATCGCGACCGCGTGTGCTCGGATTCGCACTCACTGCGGAACCGGGCGGTTCCCGACTGCTATGTAAACAGCACGACATACACTGCCTTGCCTGATCATCCTCGTGTCTGCTGTCTCGTCATCTGCACCGCGCTCCCTGCGCCAATCAGGCTGGCCTCGGTAGGCGTGCCCTGATACAGGTCATACCAGTACGAATCTCCGGACCGGGACACCAGTCCACCATCGCGCTCGTATACTATATCCAAGTAGCTCATTCGCCCGGGACGGTCTACCCCCACGCAGACTTTGCTACCCTAGGCTAAATTCTGTTGGGACGCTTGCTCATACGTATTGGCACGGTCTGCTCTTGCTTCGGCCTACGTTTTGCGCGTAGTTCGCCGATGGTATGTTTTTGATACAGGTCCCGAAGTGTGGATACAAATGCCCATTCCGGACCGAGGAGGCATCACAGTGACACCATAGATGACACTTTCAAGTCCTCGACCACACCGAAGTTACAATTTACAACAGAGCTACTGTACAACACAAGTCCTTTGAGTGATTATCCGAGTTCCTTGCTGGGACAACAAAAGCTACCAACGCGGGCTCCTCTTTCTGAGCAGTCTATCCGGGATACGGCTTCGATACAAGTCCATAGGATGTAATGCGATGCTGTTCGATGATTGCTCGGACTGCTGATAGTAGTTCGGGTATCTGTTTGCAGTCAGCGACATGACATGGAGCTATGAGCCTCGCACCGTGCGAGATCGCTTGTTTCTATCGGCCAACGTTCACGTCTGAATAGCATTGATTCACAGGGTTTCAGATGCTCGGAATTTCACAGCAACTGACAGAGATTTGTTCGCCGGATTTCTAGCAAGAATAGTGCGCAAGGGAAAGAATAGGATGCTCTGGATCCTGATCAGATCCGCGGAATGTCAGATACGATTCCCACCCACGGATGCAAAGAACAGGCACTGAAACAGGGAGTAGAGCCATCGAGATAAGGCGAGGACAAGACGGCTGGTGTCTGCAGATATGAAGGATGCAGCTGCATGTAGTGTCAGGTGCAGTTCATAACTCAGATAACTGGTCGTACTCGGGGTAATCCACGACAGAATCCAGTCACGATAAGGAGTAGTCTGGGTCAATCGATTGAGAGTGCCATTCACATGCATAAGAGTTTCGAGTGTGGTGTTCGATAGTTGATGTAGTGTGGTCGACAGTCCTGAAGCCGAACGTTCAACATCCTTCTGAGCGGCGAGCACAGACTTGGCCTGCTCGATTGATGTGTTCATGAGATCGGCATTCTCGACGATGCTCCCCGAGAGAATCGCGAGCCTCTGCGGGGGGTCGTCAGAGCCAGAAGTGTCGCAGCTTGAGAAGGATCACTTGATGCATATCCACAAATTGGACGACCAGATTGGACCACTCGTGCTGAGCAAATGCCTGAGGGAAAGTCTAGGGAGATGATTTGTTTCACCGCGAAGTCACATACGACTGAAGCCGAGACTTGGACACTCTGATCTCGAAATAGAGCAAGCGCAGCTTGCATATGATCGGTTAACGAACTCTCAAGTGCAGGAAACACTTGGTGCAGAGATTGTACGTGCTAGTTCGCAACAGCTCAGACATGTTACCCGCACCCTCTGAGACTATGAACGCACCTCTCGCATTATCGTTTTGAGCTCGATGCGCATGTGCTGCACAAGTTCCGACGCATCTGTGTGTGCCGAGGTACGATACATCGCAAGCTCAGCAAACGCCTAGGATACAGCATAAAAAAATAGATCAAGCACCAAGATAGAGAATGCGCACAGACTGCAACTCTGCCTGTATGCGGGCCTGAGTCGTGCGTATATGCGCCTCTACCCCATCAGAGGTCGATTTCAGAGAGAATACAAGATCACCCAAGTCCTGTCGGAGGATTGCAGCAGAATCACCGGCGAAGCATCATTCACCGACCTCGGCTTGAGCTTCCCACTGCTGTCTGTGACTTGCTTCCGACCGCTCTTTGGCAAGCAAGATCTCCATCAACGCATCCGACTTGAGAGTGATGTTTCTATAGATACTTTTGGCAGTGTCTGTAGCGTCAATGGACGTGAGACGCTGATAAGATGCGATAATGAATCATACCTATATCGTTCCAGCGACGGTAAGCAAAGCACAGCTGGGCTACGGAGGTCTCGGTGCCGATAATTGAAGGAGGATAGATCATCCGCACGAATTCTCTGCAAATGCCCAGAATAGCTCGCCCAGTGCTGCGTGCTCCTCCCCAAAGCCCTGCATTCAGTAGTCAGTCGCGCTTTCCCGAATGAAAGCGGTGATAATGAGATCATACTCGACACATTTCCCATGCGAGATCTTGTGGGACACCCGCGCGGAGTCCACCGAGTACGTGGCGCACTCCAAGGGAATCGAAGAGTGTTCCGCTGTTTCCAGTTCGCAGATTGTCATCGAGATGGCCGCTGCCGGATGTGTTTCAGGACTGTCGCATGGCCGATCACCGGGGAGCACGCACCCCGGACCCTCTCGTCCATATTGTGCTCTAGGTCTCCGCACTGTGTGCGGATCTTCGATGCCACACGGCCGAAACAATCCGGTCGCTGGGCGTACCGCTCCAGAGCATCTGCACGCGTGTTGATATCATCGGTGCACGCGAGAGAGGGAGATGGATGGTACCGTGATCATGCAAGAGACCCGTGACTTCAGATGCGAGCGCGTGGTCTGCGACTGTGAGGTGTCTCAAACGCGGGGAGGACATCAAAGCCAAGCGAGCGCACTGCCGCTGTTCTCAGCAATGTTCGTTGGCACCCAACTTCGTGGCCAGAGTACCGCCACGCAGGAAGTGACGCAAAGGTGGATTAGTAAACACCGTCTGGTCGCCATGGATCTCAGACGGTGGAGGGAGTAGATGAGATGACAGTCGACGCGTTTGATCCGTGGCGGAGATCACGGCGATTGGAAGAGTGTGAGGAATCCGAACGCGATTTAATTGGGTCGAATTGACTACGATGATTAGAGTTCGATGGCAAGGTAAGTACGCGGTGGGTAATAAGCTATTTACAGGGGATACTATCTGTACAACAACAACTAGTGAGACAATATGGTAGTACTACAGTGGGGGATGATGGGATGCTATGCAGGATTAAGATGCTCAAATGTCCGTCCAAGTAAGTTAGTTAAATATAGTTCGTGAGGAGATCATGCGTGGCGGTCTCGTCGTGGGTTGGTGCCAGCCTGGATCTGTTGCTCCCAGATTGCGGGCCCTTCGTTCGGAATCCAGTCTCCGGTGCGCGCATCGCGCTCAAAGTCGCCGTCCTTGTAACCGTACCTCGTCTGCAGCAGCTTCAGCAGCGGCTTCCGCAGAGCCGGATCCATGCGGACAGTCTCGCCGGGGTTGTAGCTGCCCACGTGATGCCGAGCAAGACTCTCCTCGAACAGCGCCTCTTCGAACGTGCAGCCACAGTTGAGGTAGCCCGCTGGTGCCATGCGCGGAGGGTACACTCGACGTTCCCGACGGGAGTCGTGCCAAGCACAGAGAGCGTTCCCGGCTCGATTGACGGAGCAGAACTGACTGATCCGCGCATTCGTCCGCGCTCGCCATGAGGCCTGGAAAGCGGCAGAAGGCGCTGGAGAGCTGTTGGCTGGTGGAGAGCCGGAAGACCGCTGAGACGCTCGAGATTCAAGGGTGTAGATTTGGCTGCGTTGGCGCTCGACCACTCGCTCAAGGTCCCGGACTCGTTTCCAAAGGTTCCCATTCTCGATGTCCTTGGGGTGTGGAGATGAGTGGGAGGCGTCGATTGTCGTCGCAGGATAACCTCTGAAGGACTCGCGAACATCTGCCGTGTAAGATGGAGACCCTGGAGAGATGGATTCCGGGGAGCTGCCATAAGAGTATCCAGAGGTGTCCAAGAACGGGGTGCTCGTGCTGGGCGCATAGCCAGACTGCGCAGGGAGCAGGGAAGACTGTGGCTGATTCCATCCCATGGCGTTTGGAAGGAGCGCCATATTGCTCGCGGGTAGCGGTACTTCACCCATGGCTGCGCTTAAGCTCGACGTGCCGCTCGAGCCTGATGAACGGGATGACCGATGATCAGACGTGTCAGGACCAGGATACTGATGATACGAATCAGCTCAAGTGCGTCAATGACACGTGAAAATGCGGCTTACAGGCATTGAGGGGTACCCCGAATACGCGAATTGCTGGTTCTCGTCGGATGTACGACGGCGGGAGGAGGACGAGGAGGAAGAGGAAGAGTTCCAGAAAGCAGGAGCAGTGGCCATGTCTAAAATATCGTCTATGCGCAAGATGTCGTCTATGCGTGAGCTGTGGTAGCGCGGAGGCTGGATTGGGTAGGGTCGAATGCGTCTAGAACTATTAGTGGATGTCGTATCGGAGTGTCGTCGGTGATAAGCCAGAAGAGAAGGGGACAGTGCAGAAAAGAGATGAGGGAGAGGCACGACTGTGATATTATCGGTAGCATGAGGGTTATTATATTCCGTCCGTCCGAGCGGTTGATCTTGAGAATCGTTAGACATTGCAGTGCAGATCACTCTAGGTCGTTGAAGAGCCTTGAGATCATTGCGACAACGCGCCGGCAGGGCTTTAAAACACTGTTGCATAACCTGGGAGATGGATGAGAGCAGAGCGTTGCTAACTAGCAATGAGATGCGACGGGCTGTACACCGTACACGATGGTCGCTTCCTGCCACGCAACCGAGAGACGACCAACCTGATCGATTGATCCCACGGATAGGTATTTTTTTGCAGATCCCGCTGTCAGATGCCTGGGAAAATCTTTGTTGTGTGCATGAGCATCAGCCGCATCACCCCGTGCAGTCCACCTGACGACAACTGATGCGCGAATCAGCCCTGGCGGGACAGATCTTCAGGGCAGAATCTGGGGCAGGGACGTGTCCAGAGAACGATACTTGTCCAAGTCTTCAAGCTTCGGTTCTGAAGCCACCAAAGACTGCACTATTGTTGCGTCCATCCCTCGCCTGATCCTTCCTCTTTGAACATGGCAACCAGCGGTCACCAGCTCCGTTTCATCCATTTCGAAGTTGATTTCTGCGGCAAGATTTGGGAGAGCGTCAATTTCTGACCGGCATTGACGGATGCGAGCATTTCGATGGATGATCAGCGCATCGGAAGATGCGAGGTCTGCCTTGACGGATATTGCATGGAGGAAGGCGGAGGTGGACGTTGATTTCTCAGGCTCTTTGGAGTACACCAGAGCTTCTTTGAAGTCAGACTACGGTTCAGTCGTCTTACAGGCAGATTGGATGGAGCTATAGCCCAAGATGCCGTCCCGTTTACTGATCCATCCGTTTCCAAGGATGGCTGATGTCTTGTCTGATGTCTTTGGCTGTTCGGACATGCACTTCTTTGTTAAATCTTTGTTCACAACTGGAGAGAGCTCAAGAACTCAGATGGATGATCACGGATGGCGAGCGACTGGTGACCGCCCCGATGGACGGGAGACATGTCCGTTCTTTGTGAAAGACGTTACACAAGGCTATGCAGGCAGCGACTGCCCGAAAGTGATCTGGAGCGGGATGCGAACAGAGTGAGGAGGAACAGCGCCCTCGATGTTGTCCGGAGATTCAGGACTTCGGCTCTTGTATTTTGTCGTGCTTGACAACATCGCACCAGGCTTTGCCGGTGGGTAGCTGGGAGCTGAGAAAGCAGAGACAGTCATGGTGAGAACGACATTGCGTGTCGATCAAGACTTGCCTCAGGTCCTTCGGGACCGCTACATCACCAGTGGCCAGATCAATGTTGAGCACCCGAGTTACTTCTACTGCAGGTATGTTGGGGCATCTGTGATCCTCGTCGCATCAGAGATACGAGCTGAAGTCATCGAGCTTACATCCGGAACAAGCGTGGAACTGGCGTGCAATGAACTGACGGCCCGAATGCACCTCTTTGGGGGGTGCAGATGTACTGCATGATTTCACTGATACGACACTCCTTGGGTAGGTCGTGCGTGCTTCCATGGCTCATGACAGTCGGCTTGAACAAGGACTTGCCAAGAGCTAATGACACGGTGGACAAAGAAAATCAGAGACGACGATTCAAGTTCAAAGAAGGGCAAGTGTTCCAGAGTCACATGACTGTACTTCGACTGTGCTTCGGATTCGGAATCTCAAAGCCAAGCCGAGCAAATGAGCCGAATGGCAAAAGATTGAGATACAGTACATACAGAAGTGTGTAAGCCGGTATTCCAAGTCTTCAACCGATTCGATTCACCACTGCCATTTCCCAACCGAAACGTTCGCTACTGATGCACGTGCTTGATGAGGCGCGCTTTCTCGAATCAGACCATAAATTGCCTGTCAATCCATCGATCATAAAGTTCTTTCCCTCCTTCCACTTTCTTCTCGCTTTTTCAAAAATGGTCTTCAAGGTAGCTGGTAAGTATATCAGGCGACTGAATATGGAAGTCTCTTATGCTATCCTGCAGATGTCTCCCTCGCTGCGTTCGGTCGCAAAGAAATCGAAATCGCAGAGGTCACTTGGTTTTTTTCTCGACCCTGAAGGTCTGGTGTTTACTCTATATGCAGAACGAGATGCCTGGTCTCATTTACCTGAGGAAAAAGGTATGTTCACCGTCTCTCATCGTTTCGATCGGTTGTTGACACCCCTGGTCAGTATGGACCTTCGCAGCCTTTGAAGGGTGCTCGTATCGCCGGATGTCTTCACATGTACCAGTTTCAGACGATTTGTTTGGATATGTTCTCATCCTCGATCCAGGACCATCCAAACCGCCGTCCTTATTGAGACTTTGACCATCCTCGGCGCTGAGGTCACCTGGTCGTCTTGCGTACGTCGCTGATCGAGTTCCGACTTGATTCAAGTCTGACTAGTTTTCTAGAACATTTTCTCGACTCAGGACCACGCTGCCGCTGCGTGAGTTTGTTTTAGAATGTCTCGTGATCGATGTGATCTCACAAGTCCTCAGTATCGCTGCGACCGGCGTCCCCGTCTTCGCTTGGAAGGGCGAGACAGAGGAAGAGTACAACTGGTGCATCGAGCAGACCATCGCTGGCTTTGCTGGTGGACAACCCCTCAACATGATCCTTGACGATGGAGGTGATCTTACCACCATCGTTCACCAGAAATACCCCCAATACCTTGCTGGTGTGTTGAACGTTGCCCATCTTCTTCGACATCGCTAATTTCTCCCTAGGTATCAACGGTGTCTCTGAGGAAACCACCACCGGTGTTCACCACCTCTACAAGGCTTTCCGTGACGGCACCTTGAAGATCCCCGCCATCAATGTCAACGACTCGGTCACCAAGTCCAAGTTCGACAACTACTACGGATGCCGTGAATCTCTCGTCGATGGTATCAAGCGTGCCACCGACGTCATGCTCGCTGGAAAGGTTGCTGTCGTTGCTGGCTTCGGAGACGTTGGCAAGGGTGTACGTGGTCTCACAGAGTTGTTTTATTATCTAACATGGTGTCTCCAGTGTGCCGAGTCGCTGCGCTCTTACGGAGCCCGTGTGCTCATCACAGAAATCGACCCCATCAACGCTCTGCAGGCTGCCATGGCTGGCTACGAGGTCACCACAATGGAGGATGCTGCTCCCCGTTCCAATGTCTTCGTCACCACCACTGGTAACCGGGACATCATCACCGCTAAGCACTTCCTTGAGATGCCCGAGGATGCCATCGTTTGCAAGTATGTGTTTATCTGACCGTCTTAGGCACCGCCGCTGACAAAAGCATCAGTATCGGCCACTTTGACGTCGAGATCGATGTCGCCTGGCTGAAGGCTAACGCTGTGTCTGCTTCCAACGTCAAGCCCCAGGTCGACCGCTTCACCATGGCCTCTGGTCGTCACATCATCCTCCTTGCTGAGGGCCGTCTTGTCAACTTGGGGTACGTGTATGCGACACGGCATAGAACATCTTGCTCACCACAGGTTCCAGATGCGCCACTGGACACCCGTCCTTCGTTATGTCTTGCTCGTTCGCCAACCAGGTTCTGGCTCAGATCGCTCTCTGGACCACTCCGGAGAAGTTCCCTCTCGGTGTGCACATGCTTCCCAAGGAGCTCGATGAGGAAGTCGCCCGGGCTCACCTTGCCCAACTCAATGTCAAGCTCACGGTTCTCTCCGAGACCCAAGCCTCGTACCTTGACCTGCCGGTCAACGGTCCCTACAAGGCCAACCACTACCGGTACTAGAAGGCTGTTGTGCTGTGTTTGAGATGGCCTCAACGAGCCCTCGCCAACCAACGGGATCTTCAACGTCCTACATAGCTTATATATCGTGGATGTCGTGTTTTGTTCCGTGGAGACTTCAAAAGTCTAGAGGCAGGGAGTTCCTTCGTGGAGTAGGATGGAGTGATGCGTGCTGATGGAAAGGGGACTGGAGTTGTTTGCAGTGTACTTTGTATTCGTAGCATAAGTAGGCCTCAACGCGCCTTTGTTGTGTAACTTGAACAGACTTGAACGCGGTCGGTGAAGATCACTATTCAATTTCGAGCTGATCTGCGAGGTGATTTCTGGCCATTTTATCGAGATCAACAATCCGATGGCATCTTGACATGAGCGGTCGGGATGGCATTGCCTCCACCTCTTTCGCAACAGCCCGCTCATGATGGCACATGAAGTCTCTGCACTGGGGCCAATCGATCCAGCATCGGTGCCCCAGGAACACGATGAAGAAGAGAAACATGCGCCCTGGATCGTCCGCAAACTCATCGGCGTGAGTACATAGAGAGGGAGTCTCACCTGGGGAGGCTACGAATTGACGGGCGCATCTAGTCAATGACCGGGCGCCTCGTCATGACTGGCTACGAGTCCCTTCGTGCAGCAGGCACATCTATCGTCTGTCTCTCTCCGGTCAGTGGTTGCCGCCGCATCTCGGTCAAGTACAGGGCCCTCAATATCTTCTGATAGTGGGGAGACTCATCTCCCCTCATGTTGCCCTGCATCCGTTTCCGTGATCTCGCTGTTCACACTGTGGTTGCCGCGACGGTGCGTCCTTGAAACGGTATCTCGCTCAGCATTCTGAAGAATTCGATCCAGGGTGGCATGGCTGTCGTCGCTGCGCCGGTGCTCGGTTCTGTAGGGACGGAGGTCATCTCTGTGTTTGGCGACACTATCTTGGTCGAGATTGGTCTGCACGCTGGTTTTGAAATGACCGCAGCGGCGGCGGATGAGCTTGTTAGCGAGCCCATCAAGAAGATTATACCGATCCACTCGAAGCGATTGGAGACCACCGGCGTCAAGGAGCTGCTCATCACCCTCAAATACAAGATGACGATGACCGATGCAGCTCTGGGCTACTTCCGAAGCAGTGTGCACAAGTGGGTTTGATCTTTTTCATGCGATATGTACCTCCCAACTCTTGGACAGGGACAATTCGTTGTTTTCAACGGTGAAAGACTATCTGGCCATCGAGAAAGGATGGTTCTCGCCCTACCTTTTTGCCAGTGCCCGACGGCCTATTATCCCCCGGACGATGTCACCAGACGTCGTCTTTTGTCATGGGCCTTTCCTTGAGGGTTTGTGGGCTTTGCATGCGATGATACAGGTCTCATGCATCACCAGGCGACTACCAGATCGGCAAGACATTGCTAGCCGAATCCGCGCAAGTGCTTGCATTCTGCAAGCCTGCACCGGTGACTCCTGCAGAGACTCCTGAAGAGAAACCACAGGGCCTGATACCCAAGCTGCCGTCCTTGACAAACATGTTGCGCTCGCGGCCTGCTTCTCCTTCTGAACCGGAGCATGTGCTAACAGCGCTCCCTCCTCCTCCGAAACCCCGACGGATGGTGGTCGTGACTGTGGGACTGAAGCCACACCGAACGCTGTGGACCACCTCTGCTCGACCGGGCGAGAGTGTGATAAATTATATCCTTCTGAACGGATGCCCCGCCATCGTCGTGCCCGTCAAAGTGGGCGCCCCGTTGGTGGCATGGGATTCGATGACTTTACAAGAGCTGTGGAAGGTTGAGTTGCCTGCCAGCGACTCTGATATCAGCGGAGGCAAGTTTGGGGGGATCGTCGCCGTCTTGTTCGAATATCTTGATCTCTGTGTCGATTGGGACCGCGTCTCGATTGGTGAAGAGGGCGTTTCGGCCGAGGTGGATTCCCGTCAAGCTTTGAAGAATGCCCTCGGCCTCTTGCTCGCTGCCACTGTTCGCAGCAAGGACAGCAAACAAGTCAAAAAAGAGATTGACAAGGAACGGAGTGGCATAGCGATGTGGCGCATCCCTTGATTTGCATGTCTTTTCAGATGTTCAAATAGATAGCACACAGGCTTGCTGGGAGCTCATACTTATTACATCATCACGCATCCTGGTCAATATATGTCAACAAACGCGACACGGTGCACGTGGTGCGTTGGAAGAGCACAATAAGCGCCAACAAACTTAGCGCGTGTCACTGTGATGGGTGACAAGGTCACTAGCTCTGCTCTGTTCCCCGAGCCTTCCATAGTCGCAGAAGTTTGCTCCTTCTGTTTTTCATACACAGGGACGCAAGAAGAACCCAAGCCCTACCGAAACAGATTTCTTTCCTCCCCAATGTCAACGCAGCCAAGTACTACCACCCCCACACTTGGCTCCAGGAAGCGTAGTAGCAGCCCGTCTTCTCCGCAGCCTTCGAAGCGACAGAACACCGGCGCAGCTTCGAGCTCTCCTTCATTCCGTTATCCTTCCACACCCTCGTCCTCACGAACAACCAGTTTTCTGTCGTCAGACCCCGTGGACACTCCTTCGAACCCGTTCGGTAGAACGAATGCCTGGAACCGACTGCAAGTCCTACCCCCGCCGACATCTTTCGGAAAGCATCTGCCATTAAGGTTCCAACTCATCCGACGCGGAGTACCTCGGCAATCTATCGAGGGTGTATTCCGTATCGTCCAGGTGCCGCAGAGTTATACTTTAGTGCATCTCAAGAGCCTCCTCGACTTTCTATTCGGCGGCGCATATGGTCAGATACCGGCGGACATGGATGACGGCGAGGACCGACGATATCTTTTCGAATTGAAGAAGGATGTCAAGATGCTGAGCTCCGGGTTCAAGCCTGGGCAGATGAAGTCTGCAACAACTTGGGCATACTCCTCCACTATACTCGATCCCTTTCTCTATTCCTCAAATGATGACGACGCGTCGGTTGTAATTGTTGACGGGGAAGAAGTTGCGGATGACGCTACGGACGAAGACAGGGACACGGAGAAAGAGCCCGATACAAACAGATGGATGGCGGAAGAGGATGTTACGATCGCGCATGTTTGGCCTGCTGGAGGGGAAACGAGCCGCGGCATCGTCTATGTGAGTAACCTAAATAGTTCTGCTTACAACAAGGATGCTGACGCGTCCTCAGTCTCACTCGCAAACATTGCAAGTTCATATCACGGTGAACGCATCTCCAATCGCACCCCGCCGAGGGCGAGGAAATCTGCCGCATGTGTTCTCCGCCCGCGGGTTGGCTTATTTGGAGCCGCTGGGAGATGATGAAAGGGATCTCGAAGAAGAAGACGAAACGGCGTTACTGGACCCATCAAATTGGAACGACCCCGAGAATGCTTTCGAGACATGGTATCACAACCACACCTCAATTCCATACGCGGGATTCGAAAAGCAGGCTGATGCTCGCTTCCAAGAGTCGACTCCTTCATCTCTGCTGCTCTCTTCACCTTCACATCCATCATCCTCGTCTTCCACTGTGCCCTCCTCGCCCTCTATAATGTTCCCGCTGATTCCGAGTGACTTTCCGAAGTACACACCGGCACCGAGACCTGCTCAGCGGAAACGGCTAGGGCAGCTGCAGCACCACCTCGGTGCGCTCACAGAACAGGTCAAGAAGCATACACAGGCCGAAAGGGAAAAGGAGAGGACCAAGGCCGCAAGGAAATCTAGCATTCCTCGCAAACGCGAACGCGCTCGATCAGCCGAGCTCTAATCACTTTGAACACCGGTAATGGGTGAAGATGAATTTTAACTAGTCAGTAGTCAATAGTCAGTACTTAGCATTAGATAGCACACAGAAATCTTACAGAAATCTTCAAGACGTCGTGTGATGTATTGCTTGAGGCAACCAGTTCCGACTGACTGACTGACTGATTGGCGGCAGCAACGACAGACCGCCCGGCGCGTGGCCGCATGACATCGGAGTCATGTGGTGTCAAATGTCATAATCTTGAAGACTACTTAAGATTGGAAAGTGCAGACAGCCACTCTGTATAGTCCGACAACTCCCTTCATTAAGCATGCCCGCGATTCGTACAGCAGAGCCCGAAACATCAGGCTACACATTCTTCTGGTCGACCGACCACGTCAAGTAAGCATGGACAAGGCTGAACGACGGCCGTTCAGATCTGATGGTCTGTGGATTTGTTAGTGGTTGGGCCTCGCAGTGGTACGCCGCCCCGTTCGAGGCACAAGTCAATATCGATGGGAACGAAGAAACGATACACTTTCCATCCAACGAACACTGGATGATGCTGGCAAGTCACGCGGGACTCCAACTCAAGTGATCGTTGCTGATATGGCAATAACCACCAGCAAAAGGCTCTTCTTTTCTCCGATTTCAGCGTCGTCGAGAAGGTCCGAGCCATCAAAGGGACATCGAAGAGCGAGCTCTCAGCGGTGAAAAAGCTCGGTCGGCAAGTCAAGAACTTCGACGATGTGATCTGGGTCAAGCATAGGGAAAGAATCGTCACAGAAGGATCCGTGCACAAATTCCGACAGAATGGAGAGCTTCGAGCGAAGCTGTTTGCTACCGGAGACACCTGTCTCGTTGAGGCGAGTCCCCGAGATAGGATTTGGGGGATTGGATGCAGTGAGGCAAATGCCTTGTCGGGCAAGGGCGAGAAGAAGTGGGGCATGAATCTTCTGGGAAAGGCATTGGTGAACGCGAGGGCAATCCTGAGAGAAGAAGAGCAGGTGAAGGACGAGAGAGAGCGTGATCCACCACCGGAAACAGCCTGATGGTTCATACGCTATCGTACAACACTGCAGATGATGGCTAGATTAGAATCGATTCCGTTTACGCACAGGTTTCGCCGCCTCAGGCGCAGTCCTACAACGATGAGTCGCTAACCAAGCCGACAACAGATGGGCTTACTTGCGACCTTTCCCCCTTGTATTCTCTTGTCCCTCAAGACCGCGAAGAGTGTTCATCAACACCCCCATGTTCACTCCCGCTGCCGAACCAGACTCGTCAACCTCCATGGGATCATAAGGCATACCCCCACTGCCCGAGCCTCCAGCGCGCCGGTTTCCTCCTTTCTCTTTCGCAACCTCTTTCAAAACGCTCTGTAAAGCCTCGTCATGAGCTGCCAGATCCGCTTTTCGAGAAGCTGTTTGAGATGCAACGGCAGTGAGTTTCGCGTCGAGCGTCTGGAGCACAGCAGCCGTGGTGCTAGCCCAGTCGCGCAGTGCAGCAAGTACAGCATCGATGGCACCCGGTGCGAGATCGCGGCCCATGGTGTATTCTACTTCAAGTTGAGAAGCTTTCTGGTCGAGACGCCCGCGGAGGATATCGAGATAAATGGCATCAATGATCAAGTCTTCGAGCTCCCGTACATTGGGCATGTCGAGGGCACGGAGGAGATCGTTATACGGCAAGATCTGGAAACTAAAGAGTAAGGCTATATGAAGAATCAGGGTTGGGGGGCCACGCACGCGACGTTCGGCCGCCAATGTGACAATCGACAGATGCTTGAGCTTTGTAGTTTGGGCAGCATTCAGAGCTGGATAAGTGTCCTTGTTAACTGAGGAGATATTAAAAGGATCAATGAGAATCGAGGTCAAAGTAGCGAACGCATGTAGGTCTCATAGGTGCCATAGGCAAACAGTTCCAACAGGGCGAGTGACTTGGAGTGAGCTTCGGTCTTCCCAAGCTAAGCCGATCTCAGAACGTGCATAGGTCCGGAATCCATTGTATATCCCACCTCTTGAATGTTGGGAAGCTCCAATAGCTCGGAGAAGACCAAGACGCCTGGTGCACTGGTCGCATCTCCAACGAGTTTTGCGGCAGCCGCGCCCTTGGCGGACTTCGACATGAGGATGAAAGGCTCCAGCTTGCTTGCAAAATTAGATCCTAAATCCATGGCGTCTGACAATGTGTAAGAGAGTAACTGGATGGATTCGGCTGCAGTAACAAACAGGTCAAGGGCTTGTTGCACAGCCACCGATGCCTCTTTCCTCTCCGACCACGTCTTGCACTCGATGGAACCTTGCCTGCGTGCATTATGTCCCTAAAGTGTATAGAAATGTATCCTACTTACGATAGGAAAAAGAATGGTTGGTTTGGTAGCTTTCACCAGTGTGGGCGCCAAGTCACATGGAAAATGTCCAGCCGAGAACTCAACGCAGCGCCGTCCTCGAAAACAGTCCTCATAAAAGTCCTACCTGCGTCTATTGCCTAGAACTTCTTCAGTACAATCTGCCCGGACCCGGATACTCGCACGTTACGCTAGCATAGCTAGATTCCGTTTGGTGATGTTTGCCCGGCCTCCATGTCAACTTCCTCCAAACGCCCAGCATCTCGGTCACCCGATGGCGCTCGGCCGAGCAAAAGGAATATCCCATCTTCTCCTCCCGAGGAGGGGGAGGTGGCGGACGATAATCCAGCTTCTACCTCCTCTGTCGTTGTCGTCCAGCCCACACTTACCTTGAAAGAGAAAATCCCATTCCCCTTCAAGAAGAAAGATGCCCCGGCAGCGCTTGTTGCTGGGAACATATTTGAGAAATCTCTTCCACCTAAACCCGTCCTTCCCGAGAAACCCAAAGTAACTGATCCAAGCATGGACACCAAACAACGCAAAGTGGGACGCGGGGAGCATAGAGACGCGCCATCTTCATCCAGTAGATATCATTCACCCCCAAGCCGCCATCGACGATCCCCTTCTCCACGACGTTCAGCATCTCCAAGGCACCGACCACGCTCACCTGAACCGCGGCGGTACGACGACCGCAGGTGGTATGACTCGCATGATCGAGACAGAAGCTACCGGCCCCGCGATTGGGAGCCCCGAGGGAGACGGGACGAGTACCGCCCCTACGACGGGGCATCTCGAGGAGACTTTTATAGACCTACGTCTCCTCCTCCGTACCGACCGGTGTCGCCGCGACACGCACCTTTCTCTCCACGTTCTCCTGCGTCACGACTCCAGCATTCTGCTTCCTCCCACGGAATAGCGCCGCCGTCACCTCAAACGCGCCCGCATTCTCCATCATTGGGTATACAACCGCCGCAACCTACGGATGCTCCACCCCCGCCCCCGCCACCGGATCCTCGGTTGGGTCATAGTCTTCCTCCGCCGCCGGCGTCGTTGCCTCCTCGTCCCCCAGCACCTCTCCATATACGGTCTCCTCCGTCAATGCGGCCTCCCATGCAGTCCCTTGTACCGCCACCAGACATGCGGCCCGAGCCTCCGCGGCCGATCATTCGGAAGTCTCCTCCGTTGCTTCGCTCTAGTGAGGCTGAAAAGCAAGCCTATGGGCGAGTGTTCGAAGGGTGTGGAAAGCAATCAGATTACCAGGTCACAACCAAGTTGGGCGAAGGGACTTTCGGGTGAGTCGTTTTTATGGCTTGCATGGTGCATCAGTCAGACGATTCGTGCAGTGAAGTCCACAAGGCCATCCACTCGCAAAGTAATCGACTAGTCGCTCTGAAGCGCATCCTCATGCACAACGAGAAGGAGGGAATGCCAGTCACTGCTCTGCGGGAGATCAAGATTCTCAAAGCATTGAAACACCCTGCCATCGTCAACATACTGGACATGTTTGTTGTTCGGAGCACAGAGAAAGAGCCGCTCTCTGTCTACATGGTTTTCCCCTACATGGACCACGACTTGGCAGGTCTGCTCGAGAACGAACGCGTCAAACTCCAGCCGAGTCAGATCAAGTTGTACATGAAGCAGCTGCTAGAAGGGACGGAGTACATGCATCGGGTTGGTACACCTCTCCCAACCGCGACTGTTTTTTACCACTTGCTGCAGAACCACATCCTCCACCGGGATATGAAAGCAGCGAATCTGCTCATCAGTAACTCCGGGACGCTTTTGATTGCCGATTTTGGTCTGGCGCGCGCCTTTGATTCTGGGGACAACGTGAATCGAGTCGGCAAGGAGCGCAGGTACACTAACTGTGTCGTGACGCGATGGTACCGGCCACCCGAATTGTTGATGGGGGCACGGCAATACGGTGGGGAGGTTGATATGTGGGGAATTGGATGTGTTCTCGGCGAAATGTTTGTTCGACGGCCGATTCTCCCGGGAACCAGCGATCTCGACCAGCTGGAGAAGATCTGGACACTTTGTGGAACGCCCAATCAGCACAATTGGCCAAACTACGATCACCTCCCGGGCTGCGAAGGCGTTAAGCAACGGTTCGACCAGACTCGCATGCGCAAGTTGAAGAGTGTTTATGAATTGTAAGCGACGCTTTCAAGACATTTTTCAATCGCTCAAACCCGCTACTCAGTCTCGGCGTTGAAACTTGCGATTTGTTGGACAAACTTTTGACCTGCAGCCCTCGCGATCGGCTCACGGCAGCGCAAGCTTTGGATCACGACTATTTCTGGACTGACCCGATGCCCGCTGACCCGAAAAGGTATGTCTCTTGTGTGAAATGCTCTCTTTCCGCGCTGAACGTCGAGTCAGCCTTCCCACGTACGAAGCTTCGCACGAGTTCGACAAGCGTGGTCTCCGGCAGCACATGCAGCAGCAGCAGCACATGCACCAGCAGCAGCAGATGCACCAACAGCAGCAACTACACCACCATCAACAGCAACAGATGCACCAGCCCCACATGGGGTATAAACCACCCATTCCTCCAGGCCGCCATCAAAACGGTCGACATGGACAAGGGGCTGTTCGGGGACCACCGAGTGGATGGCGCGGCCCCGATCAACGGAGCCAGCCGCCTCGCCCCCCGAATCTGCCCGCTGGATTGCCCGCCCGACCTCCAGGGCCGCCACCGCCGTTGGTAAACAACAGCTTGCCCAGAAGACCACCAGCCGGGGAGCAGCCACCCGTCGAAAACCTGAATTATGGATAACTGCATAACATGGCATATCATTACAGCATCATCGATATATCTCACTTGTATTTTTACAACTACATACACTGTTATACAACTCACTGCCCGCCCAATGAAATATGACATCATCATTCATGACCAGGCTGCGTCGACATGATTAAGAGACGAATGGCCAGCAGATGCTATCATCGCCACCACAACGGATATGTCTGCAAAATCGTCAGGTCAAGTCGACTGCAGCAGGATCGTCGGCAAAAGTGCTCACCATCGTTTTTACCGCCCTGGAATGCCTTTCCAGCCTCGACAGCCCTGCGGGCAAACGGTGTCTCGTCGATAGGCGACGGAGACTGCAGCACATCGGTCCCCGCACAAGATGTTCCGCGTTCTTTGCAGGTCGCCAGCCGCCTGGCTCGTGAGCACAAGGCTTCGCCCAGCAATCCGGCGAGCGTCCGTCGGCGCAATCGGGCCGAGTCTTCATTGGGGTTCACTGGCCCCACGAGTTCGCGTACGCGTGCAACCTCGTCCAACACATCCTCGTCCCAAAGGTTATCGCCGAGCCCATCGCTCGCCAGGATCAGGATATCTCCCGCTTGGACCGGGAGTACGAAAGTGTGGGCTGCCGATCGCGGCGTGACGTCGCCTTCGGCACCAACTGACTGATCGTCCCTCGACCAGGAGTTCCACCAGCTGGGGTCGCTTGCCTTGTTCGGTATCGACACAGGTTTTGAAGCTCCGGCAGCACTGAGCTGCACCGGTGTATTCCATCGCCACCACATCTCTTCACTCCGCCAGGCGACCTTGTCCTCTCGGACAAGCAAACCCATACAGTCACCCAAATGCGCGATCTTCAGGACAGGCCGGAGCTCGCCTTCGTTGTCGGATGCCAGATCAAGCACTGGTTCCGGCTTGACCCTTTCTACGGAATCTAGATTCACCCAACCTTCCGGTTCCTTGCCCTTTCCAGGACTTGGAACATAATCTAACACAGCAACCAGGGCTGTGCTGCCTCCGACCCGAAGAGGAACCGTCTTGGTTTGAACAGGCGGAACTTTGAGTGAGGCTCCCATTCTCCTGAGATCCGGAGGAGATGAGGGAGACGCGGGCACTTCGACAACATGCGCCCGGATTGTGCGTTCATATGCCCGCTCCAGGATGCTCAATACGTCCAGTCCATCGGCCAGTTCCTCCAGTTCCTCCTCTAGCGAAACTTCCAAGTCTTCAAGATTCAGTTCATCTAGTGCCGATCCGTAGAGTGAAGGGGAAACAGAGTGCGAGTCGTAGACTGAGCTTGGCACATACGGATCATATGAATCGTGCGAGGGGAGCGTAGACGATGGCAAGTGATCCCAGAAAGCGGAAGAGTGCCGGGGTTGTGAATGCGAGCAGTTCGAAGGACCCGCGTGGAGGACTCTGGCGCCATGTGTTGCGTGGTCGATTTCGTCAGCACAGAAATGCATCAAGCGACGCGCAAATAGAGCGGAGGCGCTTGGGCCGGTCGGTGGTGCTGAGACAGGAGGTGAGAACGTGCTGTTGGATAGACGGTAATACGGTCATGTCGAGGACACTCACCAAGGCTCTTGACCCTTGACCATCCACCGACGCCATCGGCGACACCCATCGCGTTCTCTCGTACGAAATAGGCATCCTCTCCAACTTGAACAGCCAGCGGCGCGTCGGTGTTCATCTCTGTGACATCCAACCCCCGCACCCGGGGAAACGGACCTTTCTTCGCGATCCCATAGGCCCCGATGTCCAGCGTGTACTTGTGGCCCCGTCTCCGCTGTGTGCGGGCTGTCCCCGACGGTTGAGCATTAGGGTGCTTCGGGGTCACGTTCGGTGTGTACGAGAGGAAGAGGGCGCGCTGCGCGGTATGTGGGTGACTATTTGATGGAGCGTGTGGGGAAGCGAGAGCCAACGGCGCATGGGTAGGATGCGGGTTCGTTTGTGGACCTTCGAGCTCGGCTCTGGCTTCTCCAGGGACGCGGTGCGTGGTGAGTCGGGCATTCGCGGGCGGAGGCGGGGGAGCGGATGCGTCAAAAAATGACGCGATGGAGTTGGGGTTGGAGTAAAGCGTGCGTGAGGTCGCGGAGTTGGACCGTACGCGACCAACCCTCGGTAGAGCTGTATAGAAGGTGGGTCGCTTCATCGCAGGCCGGAGGCGAGGCGAGGCAGGCCTGGTGCCTGCAGCTGCAGAGGAGGAGGACAAAGTTATACTCCCGGTTTCTCCCGGTGAAAAACACACGCCTAACGCCGACCACACCTGACACACCCCAGGGACCTCCAATTATTATGTAAAATGGCTTCGAGGCCCCCTCCGGAGGCCATCAAACCACCCCCTACCCCCCCTGATCGGAGGCCATCCTGGAGGCGCCTTCCTAATTGGTACTCTGCCCAGCCATTCATCCACAGCCAGCATGGTAGGCTAGGCATTGACCCGAGTGTTTATAGGTGCTTTAGTAGTCAGTATAAAGCCTCAGACAATGTCTTAGCTCACAAAAGCTTGTATTTCTTGCTTGCAAATGGCAGACCACTGGGCGCACAAAATTTGGGATTTGAGCACATGAGCACTCCTCAGGTGCATAGAGCAGCAGTATATATATTAATTCGAGATTGAGCATGAGGTAGCTGTGCCCACACGCAAAAATGAGATGTTGCTGAAGGGATGGTTTATGGCCTCCACAACCTCCCAGGGGCAGAAAAAAAGGTGTTGGGTAGCCCACAGGCCATTGAATTCTGCTTCAATAGATCAATTTGACGCTTATGCTTTGTCAAAACAACAGCCCAGGATATAAATTGGATGCTGGAGCAGTGGCAGAACAAGCCTCCACCGCCTCCAGGACTGGGGACCAAAAGCGGTTATTGTAGATTCAGCCACATAAACCATATTTCTGATCTTGTTTGTCCTAGTTGGAATGTCTAGGTATTCAAGAGAGACAGGCGGCTACATAGATCAGATGCTAGCACCAATAGCAGAACTGGCCTCCATGGCCTCCACAGCCAGTGACCAAAAGCGGTTTTTTGGGTTCAGCCATATAAACCATGTCCATGATGTTGAAGGTCTTCATTATAATTATGAGGGTCCTTTAGTTAAATTGCTCACCACATGAATCAGATGCTGGAGCAAATGGCAGAACTGGCCTCCGCTGCCTCCACAGGTTATCACTTGAAGAGTCTGAATGAGATGACAATGTAACAGATATATATTCTCCTGGCTGACCGCATTCTGTCATTTTCACCTCTACATGCTAGTTTAATTGCTGCAGAATGTTAAAATTAGAGGATGGGAGACCCTGGAGGCACTGGAGGCACATGCAAGATCCAATCAATGTCATCAATATCATCAATGCCATCAATAGCATCAAGAGCATCACCGATCATTGGTATATTGATCAGCCAATCAGATGATGAATAAACATCGAACATCTAGTATATTCACTCCTGAGAGACACAGACTACATGTATGCTCATACTGAAAGTGGATTAGTGGTCCCAGGACATGCCCCAATGACATATTACATCCTTGTCTCAAGAACATATCATTGAAATTCGGAGTTGGCAAATGAACTGAAAGTACTCCACTGTACCACTCATCTTCAGTTGACTTTCAGTTCATTTGCCAACTCCGAATTTCAATGATATGTTCTTGAGACAAGGATGTAATATGTCATTGGGGCATGTCCTGGGACCACTAATCCACTTTCAGTATGAGCATACATGTAGTCTGTGTCTCTCAGGAGTGAATATACTAGATGTTCGATGTTTATTCATCATCTGATTGGCTGATCAATATACCAATGATCGGTGATGCTCTTGATGCTATTGATGGCATTGATGATATTGATGACATTGATTGGATCTTGCATGTGCCTCCAGTGCCTCCAGGGTCTCCCATCCTCTAATTTTAACATTCTGCAGCAATTAAACTAGCATGTAGAGGTGAAAATGACAGAATGCGGTCAGCCAGGAGAATATATATCTGTTACATTGTCATCTCATTCAGACTCTTCAAGTGATAACCTGTGGAGGCAGCGGAGGCCAGTTCTGCCATTTGCTCCAGCATCTGATTCATGTGGTGAGCAATTTAACTAAAGGACCCTCATAATTATAATGAAGACCTTCAACATCATGGACATGGTTTATATGGCTGAACCCAAAAAACCGCTTTTGGTCACTGGCTGTGGAGGCCATGGAGGCCAGTTCTGCTATTGGTGCTAGCATCTGATCTATGTAGCCGCCTGTCTCTCTTGAATACCTAGACATTCCAACTAGGACAAACAAGATCAGAAATATGGTTTATGTGGCTGAATCTACAATAACCGCTTTTGGTCCCCAGTCCTGGAGGCGGTGGAGGCTTGTTCTGCCACTGCTCCAGCATCCAATTTATATCCTGGGCTGTTGTTTTGACAAAGCATAAGCGTCAAATTGATCTATTGAAGCAGAATTCAATGGCCTGTGGGCTACCCAACACCTTTTTTTCTGCCCCTGGGAGGTTGTGGAGGCCATAAACCATCCCTTCAGCAACATCTCATTTTTGCGTGTGGGCACAGCTACCTCATGCTCAATCTCGAATTAATATATATACTGCTGCTCTATGCACCTGAGGAGTGCTCATGTGCTCAAATCCCAAATTTTGTGCGCCCAGTGGTCTGCCATTTGCAAGCAAGAAATACAAGCTTTTGTGAGCTAAGACATTGTCTGAGGCTTTATACTGACTACTAAAGCACCTATAAACACTCGGGTCAATGCCTAGCCTACCATGCTGGCTGTGGATGAATGGCTGGGCAGAGTACCAATTAGGAAGGCGCCTCCAGGATGGCCTCCGATCAGGGGGGGTAGGGGGTGGTTTGATGGCCTCCGGAGGGGGCCTCGAAGCCATTTTACATAATAATTGGAGGTCCCTGGGGTGACCTGACAAGCGTCACGCTGATGTCACTCGGCCTGATGCGGCCTGAGGCGGCGATTGGCGGCGTTCTTGGGAACTAACCCTCACTGTTCGGGCCGAGCGGAAACCTTACATATACATAGCGGCGGTTCAGAGATGAACAGTGAATTCCTGCAGCGCTGCATGACGTATCGGAAGATCATGGCGAAGAACCACCTTTTCCTTCACAATCACCACATACATGGCCGAACAACCTTTCAAGATCTCCATCCCTGATGATAAACTGATCCTGCTCAAGAAAAAGCTCGAACTGACGACGTTTCCGGACGAACTCGAGGACGCCCAATGGGCATATGGTGCTCCACTTGCTGATGTTAAACGGATCGTCGGGCGCTGGGCAGGTGGCTACGATTGGCGGGAGCACGAAGCCAAGATCAACGCCGAGTTACCCCAGTTCACGAGGGACATCGACGTGGACGGGCATGGCACGCTCAACATACACTACGTGCACCAAAGCAGCACAAGGGTCAAAAATGCCATCCCGCTTCTCTTTGTTCATGGATGTGCGTGCCTGCTGTGCGACGTCGAGGAGAGGCCGACAGGACGGACTGCTCACAGGGCCGGGCAGCTTCTTGGAGGCCCGCAAGTTCATTCCTCTCATTGCAGGGGACAGCTCCGATGGCCCTGCGTTCCACATCGTGGCCATCAGTCTTCCGGGCTTTGGATTCTCACAGGCACCAAAGACGAAGGGCTTCGATATAGCGCAACATGCCGAGGTGTGCCACAAGCTCATGCTTGCGTTGGGCTACGACGAATATGGTGCGTTGGCATGCGTTCAGAATTCTGTGTTGGAACTGAATCTTATGGCAGTGACCCAAGGAGGCGACTGGGGATATGCGGTATGTATTTTCTGCTTGGAACGCGAAGATGTATCGTAATGCCTGGCACTTAGATAACCCGAATGATGGGCAAGCTGTATGGTCCCAAGCACGTCAAAGCATGGCATACCAATATGGTCTGGTGCGCCGGCTGGTTCTTTTATGCGACTGGCTGTTGAAGAACAATTTCCAGGGGTGTAGAATCAGAGAATGGCGACAGATCCCTGCTTTCGGAGAAGGATCTGTTTGCTATCGATCGTGTCGATTGGTATTACTCACAGGGAAACGGCTACTCAGTGCAACAGCGGACTGCCCCGCAGACAGTGGGATATTCTCTTGCCGATTCTCCGGCTGGATTGCTGGCGTGGATCTACGAAAAACTGGTCACCTGGACCGACGCATATCCTTGGGAAGACGATGAAGGCAAGGTCACGTCCCATGTTCTATCGCGCCATTGATATTTCTTGTCAGTCCTGACCTGGATCTCCATCTACTGGTTCTCTCGCGCAGGCCCAACTGCTTCGCTTCGCATCTATTACGAAGCAGGAAAAGGGGTGCTTGAGGATGTGTTCACCACTGCGGACCCACCTAACATCCCGATCGGCCTCTCTCATTTCCCCAAAGACATTATCATCTTCCCACGAAGGTAGAGTATGCCTCGACGCACATGTTCCCTTGCTCACCTCGTGATACTCAGCTGGACCCGGGCCATTGGCGACATCATCTTCGAGCGAGACCATGAATCCGGTGGACATTTCCCTGCCTATGAGCGCCCGCAAGAGCTTGCTGAGGATCTTCGGCTCATGTTTGGGCAAGGTGGACCAGCGTTCGGTATCGTTTCCGCGGGAAATGGGTATGACTGAGGATATCATTTGATGATCTACAACTGCGGCGTCTCGCTGCTGACAAGGTAAAAGAATATGCGCCGATGGATCAATCGGTTGCTTGTATTTTGTGCTTGAATACGACTCACAGAAAATTGCAAATAAAAGTTTGGCTCCCTCAATGAGCTTAAGATAAATGCATGCACAAGATTATAAATCGCCGCCAGATCTTCTCATTTAACGCGGTCACGTGGATCAGCTGGACTAGACAGATCAGTTGATTGTTCTTCGTGATGAAATCGCAGTATGTTGGAAGCGTGACTCAGTCCTATGAAGAGCGTGAGTAGTTTCCATGAAACTGCGAACTTCTGGGCGAACATAACACGTCTCCGCAAGCCTATCGGCCACATTTATAAGCCAGTCTGGTTGGCATGTCTGACGCTCGAAGACATGCCCCACGAAGTACATTTCGCAAGATTGAGTCTCAATGCTTCCCGTCGACGCGACAATCAGCGTGAAAATCAGAGCAACAGACACAGCGATAGATGCACAGTCAGGTGAGGATTGCTCGATCACCCGGGCCTGCCGGGCCGAATAGATATCCTCCACGGAGAACATCGATACTCCAGTGACCTTCATCCCTTCAACATCCGCGTCCGCGATGCCCGCCACCCTGGTCAACCTATCCATCATCTTCGCTGCCGTACTTGCGGTACTGGTCGTCTGCATCTACTTTTGGAATCACCGCCTCGAGACGGCCGAGAGCAGCCGGCGCGCCCATGGGAACAAGACACAAGAGACCGTGCGTCCGAAGATCTGGGATATATTCGTGGATGCCGACGGTGGGAGTGTTGCCGGGACTCGGTGGGACGCGATGTTGGTCAGTCTGGGAGCGGTCACACATATTAGGGAAACTGCCCGCTCAACCACGTCTTGTGAAGCCCATTTCAGTTACGGGAGTCGGAAACCAGCCGAATGATCCCAACCCGGATCGAATCCTAGTAACCACCAGTTCCCAGGAGTTCAGTTTCTGGCACTGGTTTTACACACCTCAAACCGCGGCTGCTTCATTCACAAAGCAGTGTAGACCCATGGAGTCCACAGTTCCCCCGACGCGCAGAATCCGAGTCGCTGTCATTATCGCGCTCCCACAAAGCGCTATCGCCATGAAGGATGACGAGAAGGCCTATTGCATGGGCGTCCATCAGACGAAGCAGTCGTTAGATCTCGAGAGTCTGCGCCAAATTTGACACGGATAGAATAGAGTTGAGCGACAGCGCCGATGTACAGTAAGCGGTGAGAGGCGCCGGTGAGAGAACGACCAAAAGTATCCAGATCGTCTGAAAGCAAACCTCCGGCGGTATCATTCTGACCTGCTGCGCACCAAATTTAGCCCTCGGCAAGACATCGGCAGGTACAGCCACCTTATACCTGTCATCCGCAAGCGACTGGTCCCACGACAATGGGCGCTCTCCTTGTCTGTCTCATGCAGCCATGATCACCTCTGCGGTCGGCATCCCCATCGTCTTCGCCCTTGCCCTTGTCTCGATCTTATTCATCACATGCTTCTGGAACCGCCGAGAGAACATCTTTGTCACGGTCAGCCCCCAGCCGGGCCATGCGCTCCGGGAGCGGCCGCGCATCTGGGACCTGGACACGGCCGCGCCGATGCTTGTAGACGCGGTTAGAATGTGGGAAAACATATACGTGTGTCGTTGCCGTGCTCTCTCTCCGTGCCCTGAGTCGCTCTGAACGCGATGTCCGCAGCCGTTCGCCGTCACGCGACAGAAACGCCCGGCGCCGCCGGCACTCGACCCAGCCCCTTCATCCGGCTCAACAAGTGCATTTGCAGCCCTCGTCTCGAGATTCCGTCGGACGCCGCCGCCGGGCACCAAGACCGAACCGATTCCACTACAAGACGCTTTGGAGGACGTGCAAGTGGCGGTTACGATCGCTATGCCGTGGGAGCCGCACACACGGCCGCACGAGGCTCCCGAAGGCGCAGAATCCCCCGTCTACTGCATTGGGGTGTATAGAACCGCCCTCGGCAATCTGGATACTATCGTGCATACCTGTCAGTGCAGGACCTCCCTACAGATTCTGCGAAGGCTCACTGTGGCGTTTACCAGAGCTGTCTGTAATACTTGTACCACGCGTGATGCTTTTACGAATCGCGATGACTCCCTGAGGATCTGACCTGATTCCGAACGCGACGCTACTTTCCACTGACACACGTCCTGCTTCTGCCAAGTGAATCATCTGAAGGTGGAATGGCTACAGATGTCATGGATACACTGATTCATAGACAAATATTACAAAGTCCAAGTGGTCTCACCCGCTACAATACACTGGGCAGCATCCATGGATCATCAATGACTTGTCTATCATCCGCCGGGCGGGACCACTTGTCTGGACAAGCAAGGAAGTACCCGTCCAGTGCACTGACAAACCGCTCCTGGTATTCTGTGGGCGGGATGACAGTCACCTCCTTCCCAGAGTTCAGTCCTTGCTTCGCTTTGTACTCCAGTGTCTTGGCAAAGGTATAACTGCCTATCGAGCAGTCAGCTCTATCAGTGACTTGCACGTACTGTTCCGCGGAAAGAAACGCACCGATGGTATCGACCAGCCCGCAAGCAATCTGCTTCCTCTCCTTATCCACTCCAAGCAGTAGACTGTAGTCCATGATATTGCTTCTCGCCAGAAACTCCGCGTCGCTTCTAATGGCCTCCCGCAATACGGCTTTGGAATGCGGTTGGACCAGTGTCAGCGTGCGCTGTTGACCTTCGATCCATTCCCCGTCGAACAAGGTCTTGCTCCCCGTGGACTTGACTTTGCGCCCCTGGATGCCTTTGAGATCGAAGGTCTTGTCGACGGTCTGCTGATAGAACAGATTCTCCATGACCAGCAGATCAGCTTTGGACTGGACGTTCCCTGTTTCCAGATTTCGAATTTCGATTGTATAGAAACCAATGAGTTTCGCGAGCACCGTCGCCTTGCTTGCTGTGGCGTCCATATATTTGAAGTATGACGGCGCGAGCTCAATCAAGACTTGCCTATCTATCCATTTGGTTCTGTTTCTGATCATTGAACATGGGTCACTCACAAATCGGCGACATTCCAAGCATTGACCAATGTTTTGATGATAAAACGGTCGTCCGACGTCTTCCAAAAGTTGGACTTGCTCTTGCCGCCTTCAGCAGCCCAATTTGCGCTCCGCGAAAGACTCTTCACAAAGACATCCTCGATCCCACACCGTTTGCGGAGACTGTCAAACTGCTTCGCGTAATACACCGTACAGCTGAATTTGAGTCGTTTCCCGACAGTCCAATCGTATTTGATGTGGGGTCGCTCGTCAATCGCAAATGCATCGGCAGGGGCAAGCAGGCCGTGGTGGTTCTTGGAGAAGATCGAGGGACGCGGGATCTCGCTGTTCTTCAGCATGTATCGCATCGCACTAGAAAGCCCGTTGGTCAGCGTGTTTGTGAAGGTCGAAGGCGATGCTGTCGATAGATCAGCTTGAGGCTCCGTTCGTTCATCCTGGTCTCTATCCCTCTCCTTATCCTCTTTGCCGCCAATGGTATGGTCGCTGTCGACTGAAATGATGCTGGCAGCCTTCCCTCGGCGGATGTGCGTATCGCCGAAGGCCAGAAAGCTACCAGACATGGAGGACCCTGGCCGAGAACTCGAAGTCGAATGACCATCCGACACCGAAGCCGCATCAATTTCCTGCAGAATCTTTCCCGCTGTCTCGCTGTCGAGGGGAATAACCTCGCCGCCCGCTTCGTGGCGGGTGATTTGTGGGACATCTGGCTTAGACCATGCCGATGGTGGTGCAAGAGACGAGCCTGAGGCCTTTGAGACAGAAGAAGACCCCTTCGTAGCTGCACTTCCCAGGCTTCCAAACCGGGACCCCCCGGGAATAACGGTGTTGACGAGAGACGCGCCATCCAGTGTTGGAGACTTTTGCCGCAAGACCTCGCGGAGAGAGAGCAGGGACGTCGCATCTCGGGGATGCTCTTTGCGCGAAATGACGGCCGAATATTCTTCTGGCTCATACCAAACCGTGCCTTCAACGTCTGGATCCGGTTCTGCAAGATGATGATTGGCGAAAAGTTTGGCAGAGAAGAACGAGGATGATGATGATGATGAGGGTGCGATTATGGGGGGAGTTAGTGCTGCTGCTGCTGCGGCCGCTGCAGCTGAGGTTGAGTTGTTCTTGATATAGTACATAGATGCTAGTTCTTGTCTATAATCCGCCGTGCTGAGGGAATCTGGTCAGCCCCGGCTATCACAGAGAAAATACACGACATACCTCATCGCAAACGCAATGATGCTTCCCCAGTCATCTTCCCTAATGATTACATCGCACCCGGGTGCAACATGACACGTTCTGTTCCACCACTCGGGTTCAACCGACTGGATCTTCGGCTGAACCTTCCTCTTGCCTCTGCCAGGAATATGTTTCGTTTGCCACGCCATCAGCCTCTTCTCGGCACCTCTCGCAGCGCCCAAGAATGTACGCCGGACGTCATTCAAGGAAGAGACGGGCGTGGTACCCAGTTTGCTATACAGATCCTGCTCCGTGCGGTGGAATGTCTGCCGCATCGTACCGAGCACTTCGATGGGATCAGCGCCCGGTGCGATCAACGCCGAAGCAGGTAACGGCACTGGGTCGGATGCAGCCCTGCTGAAGGAAGGTACAGAGTCAGGGAAGTACTCCTGGGCTGCCCGAGAGATCTGCGGAGTGGTTGGGGCGCTAGGAGGGAGCCCGGTGATGGGATAAGGTTTATTCGTCCTCGGTGTCAGGGCGTCTAATTCATCCTCTGTTTCCGCCTCGCTAGCAGAGTCGTCGTATGCATCGTCCACAGAGGGTAATCGAGGCAAAGCCTTTCGGAATCCGACAAGTGTGCTGCCCATCAAACTAGTTTCCTGTCCTACAGTGAGCCTGGCGCTTGAACATTGCAGACAAAATCGCGCACCAGTTGGTCCATGTGATCAGCGATCCCCTCCCACCACGCTTTGATCTCCCTTCTCAGCGTTCTCTTCTCATCATCAGCATCGTTGACCATCACAGACGTAGTTGTCGACTGTGAGTCGTGCTTGCCAAGTTTGTCCCCGAATTTACGCGTGATCTGTAGCCTCGGAACACGGACTTCGAAGATATCATCGATCATAGAAAGCGAAAACGACACGGTGCGATTCTGAACTTGGAAATGCCGGACAATGTACAGGCGGGAGATCGGTAGAATCTCCTTGTCATCCTTTGAGGGAGTAGTGTGAATACACAGAAACGGTGTTGGCCTGCACAATGCTGGGGAGTAGATGAGCAGTTCAATGAACTTCCCAAATGAATACAATCTGTGGATTCACTTCAGCGACAACCAAAAATGAGGCGATCAACCTACTGTGCCCCATCGTTCATCTCGGTCTTCTCTGACCGACTGTAACATATCGAGCAGCTGAGCCACGACTCAATCTCGTCACGGTCACCCGTGCTCTCTTGAACTTTGACGTCAACGCGCATCCCACCGTGGACCAGACGCATCACATGATCACCCTGCTTCCAAGAGCAGCCGGGCTTCTGGCACGGATCTGCTGCACTGGCAGCCAAGCTGCGCACTGAATCGCCCAAGCTTTGGTCAACATCATGCCTCGAATAATGCCGGTATGTGGTCCACTTTGGCTGATCGCAAGTTGCAAAGACGGGCTGGGAGCATTCACCATCTTGGTCTTCCCTAGATGCTGGCACGTGTCTGGATACGAGCGCGCTGAGCTCCTGCATCCTCGCAAAGCCACGTGACCCACACAGAGCCTTGCCTCGGGTTTCTCGATCGCGTTCCCTGGGATCCCAACCCAGGATACTCGACAACCCGGCTTTCTCGTCGCCTTTCAGACGTCGCCCGGGTGCCAACTGCTCGCGTTCGGCCAGATCCGCGATCAACCGTGGCGGAGGAACACGGATTCCTGCAGAGGAGGAGAGACTGGGGGATGCGGTATTTAGCATGGCAAGCACGGATGTAAATGGTAAGGATATTGGCTCGACTGCAGGTGGCGTCGTAGGTGATGATGGACGGAAGAATGATGTTCGCGGATCGCCCATGAAAGAAAATCTTCGCAGACGACTACCGCCATCTTCGGACAAGCGAGGAATAGCTGAAGCAGGCGCACTATCTGGTGCCGAAAGATCGAGCGACATCCCGCTCCGGTGAGTAGAAGCGATGGAGTGACTTCGATGCAACGAGTTCTTCTTGGAAAAGAAAGACAGGATGCCCGGAAGAATGTTGTTCTGACGGCGGCTGCTGCGAGAAGATACGCTTTCGGGGGTCTGAGAATTCTGCTGAGGTGCCGGCGATGGTTCCGTGCTTATCGACACTCGCGGCTTCGGTGCAGGAAATGTAATCGCCACCCCGGAATTGGATAGAAGATGTTGCTCCAGCATTAAAGAAAGATGCATATAGACTGATAGTCTCAGGACTTTGCTCAATGCGTGGTGTTGCAACGGCGACGTGACGCCCGCAAATGTGAAAGTCCCTCCAACCAACTTCGTATTTGGTTGCACAGAGGCTGTGTGCTATGAGAATGTGTCGAATGAGCAGGAATGGTAACTGACTAGAATCCCACTCGGCCAGCCCATACAGTATCGTTGCCGAATCGTTCGTCGCCATGCCATGATCAATTTCCCTAGGCATGACAAATACTGCGGCAGTAAAGGTGCATCCCACGTTCGGGTGCGCAGATGGAATGATATCGAAACCAACGTCCTCTCTTGGAAGGCGAGGCGTGGTTTGCCCCTGCGGCGCAACACATAACAGTAGATGCTTTGGAACAGGATTCGGGTTTGGGATATCAGGTTGAGAAACGAGTTCACGGATCTGATGCAGCGCGGAAGATGCAGCGTCTGTAGGGAACGATACAGGAGCGGCAGGAGTGGTCGGAGTGCCTTGAGAAGAGGACGAGAGACTTGAGGATGCCGACGCGGTTCGCGCGGTAGCACTGCTGGAGACAACCTTTTCAGCAAGCACCTTAGAGTCGTCGGATTCCGCGTTGGAATGTGTTCTCGAAAGCGCTTGTGATTGCGGGGTCCGTCGCCTCCTCCTCCTGATACCGGCTAGCCACTTGCCCCGCGTTACGGCATCGCTGAGGCCGTCTAGGGCATCCTCAAGAGCAGCTGCCCATGCTTCTTTCTCGTTCGAGTCATCCCGTCCTTGATTTGTTCCACTGTCCTTCCCCTCCTTCAGTCCTACCTCCGGTTCCGATGAAAGGATGTACCGGATGAACAACCCGCGATGGGCGCGTGCATCAATAGAGAGAGTCGTTAGTGCCGAGCTGGAGTTTGAATGAGAGTGTGGATGCCCGATGGCTGGAAGGGCTGGAAGTGGTTTCCCCCCCATACACGATTAAGCTGGTACGGAAGGAGGGGTGAGGGATTATGATATCATACATCAAATACTTTCCCACGACAGCTTGATCGTATTCGCTACCAGGCATTAGCGCTCTTCTGAGACCTCATTGCTCGATAAGCGCTTGATGTGCCTCACCTAGTCTGGCTCCGGAACGCCAATCGAGCCACACATCTCTTCAGACTTGAACGAGGTCAAACTCCAAGGCTGTGTGGGAAGATCAATCAGAGACTGTTCCTTTCATTGTGTTGTGGGTGGAATGCACCTTTCCCAACCGCACTGAGAGTGCTCGCAAGAGGTCGAGTCGAGACTTGGGCGGTGAGCTCCGAGTAGTGATATCGTGCCTGAAGACCAGATGTTCGTAGACCCGAGATGTATATCGACGCCTCTCGATTCTCACCCACTCTCTGGTCCGAGAGAGGTCCGACAGAATGACCTTGCTCGACCTCCCCGACGAACTCCTTTCTGAAATAGTGTCCTTTCTTCGCTCGGTGGACCTTTCTAGTCTCATGTTGGTCTCGTCCCGCCTTCGACGTTTGTCCGTACTTCCCTTCCTACACGCAACAGGATTCCCGAATGAGGATCTGCAGAACGGCAAACTAAGCACCACCACACTTGGCTTCAGCCACCTCGCTATCGCTATCGGGGTTGGTCTCGCGCCTTTGCGTGGTCTCTCACTGGAACAGGGCAGCCCCCCAGGGTACAGCCATAGGGACGGACGAAAGCTCATACGCTTGTTGGGTTCATTCGAGAAATCTATGATCCAATTGGACGAAATTATCCTTCCCCCGACCATGCAGATGTTTGCATCCACACGCGAGATAGCGACGTTCATCGTCACCGCCATCCCACACAGCGCACTCGATATCGTCGTCTTTGTGATGAACGGTCGACTCAAGATTTCATCACGACGCTTGCAACCAACAGAATACATCCCTCTCCTCGCGCAACCCCGGATGATGGGCATCAGTCTGCTGGATCTGCCCGTCGTATTCCTGATCGCAGTTGTTCCCGTAGTCGCTGTCGCAAGCGTCGTGTACAATGCTGGAACCTTCCTGCTCGCGAGACACCGCGCGATGCACCATATACCCTGGTGCGATGAAAGCCGAATCACACATGACTTGGGGAAATCCCCCCACCGCACGATGCGTTATCGAGATCCGTTGCATGAAGGAGGCAAGGATTTCGGGATGCGTGTCCAAAAGCTTCGTGGTGGAGAATTGACGCTGGTGACACTCGGCAATCGCGAAAAGACGACATTGGAGTTGATTCCTCATCCAGAGCTGACGGGTGCACGATATTCCGCCATTTTGGACGCACTGGAGCTGCGCGAGTACCTCTACGTCTTACGGATCACGGCCAGATGCGGGATCGCGTTGGGGTCGATTTTGGGTGTGGTCATCCGGCATCCAAATGTGACTGTACTAGAGCTTGGTGAGGACGCTCTGGATGGTGTTACAAGCGAGGGTTCGACTAGGGTATGCCGCAAGAGGATGAAAAGAATCCAGGCGCCCAAACATCACGCCGAGTCTCTTAAACTCGTCTTCCCGCGAGTTTCGGTTTGGGATCTGTTCTGAAAGTCAGTGGAGGACTACTAGAGCGCAGTGTCATACTTGCCTTGCACAGTAATTACTTCACTGTATATAAGTTATTATCCATGTCGATCTCAGCGAGCGAGTCCAAGCGTGGCGAGTCGTCGCATCAGGGACCATATCTCACTCGTGCATCCAATGCCAGCGGCCCATCCAGTCAGAAAACCGACACTCGAATGTCTGCAAAGAGTATCGGGCACGGTTTCGATGCGCGAGGGGCAGAGTCCTTACTTTTTTATCGTTATGAGCGGAATTCGCACAAGAATCTGACAGAAATCTAGTCAGTCATTTGAACGGGCGACGATGCACGAAAAACATGCTCGTCATCAGAGTCATCATCGGGGTGGCCAGCCCTTCAGACTCCTCAGAGCGAAGGTTAGAAGCGACTCAGCTTTGACTATTGGTCTTCGAGTGGGAATTGTCGCGAGCGGGAGACCAGCCTGCGCGTTTATTGTTAGAACAATCTTTTTGCGCGCAAAAAACGAACAAACGAGCCCATCATTGGAGCGTCATTGAGATGGCCAGACTCTCAGTCTCCTCCGGGCAAAGAAAGCAAAGGAGACTTATCTTTTTCGTGAGTGTTTCGAGCGAATTGTATAAGTACGCCGGTCCATCGATCTAGACGAGACGGCTTGTTAGGAATGCGGTTCGCGACGGAAATCAGAGACCCATCATCGAGATATCCTTGAGATGGCCAGCCTCTCAACCTCTCTGGGTGGAGAGAAGAATTGACTTATCTGCATATTATGATCGAGGGGTCGATATCCAGAGAGTTTGGTCTGCGAGATAAGCGTGAAACTGGGATTAGGTCATGTCAAAAGATAGGTCTTAGCCTAAGGTGCAGTTTTCGACTGTGGGCTTGATCTAGAAGCCGTGACGAGAACTTTGAGGAGTCATGGAGGGCTCATCACTGGAAGCGTCATCGGGGTGGCCAAACTCTCAGCTTCCTCCGAGCTAGAGAAGATAGAGAGAACAAGGAGCTAAGGGGTGTTAGTGGAACAACGGGACGGGAACACGCGCTAGATGATGGATATTTAGCAAAAGAATAACCTACCCGCCCAAACTCAGCCGCCGAGCCCCTCATCTCATATCGACCCGCCCTCAAGCAGACTCACTCTGCTGCGGCCAGCTGCGCAAAAGACCAAACCGGCCGGATCCGTGCGTCGAGTATTTTGAGACGAGCTCTGAGTTTGCGAATGAAGGACGAGTCGAGCTTGAGGATTGGGAAGGAGCACTGCTCGATGCGGTTGAGAACGAGGGAGGCGCCAACAGAGCCAGCTTTGCGACGGGAGCGGGAACATCGTCTTTGAGCCAAGGAAGAGGTGAGGAACAAGCCGACATAGCGACGCTGCCGACAGGCGCGAACACGACCTCTGCTTGCGAATTGAACGTAGACAGAACAGACACCCAGTCGGACTCGGGCGAGGAGCTCCCGTGGTCCGATCGATGCCAGCTCGGCTGAGCGCTAGGGGGCTCCGAGCCGTACGGGGTGCTCCAGACCGTCTTGAAGACCATGGGGCGCAGTGACAGCTCGCCACGAGACATCGGAGGAGGCAACTGGACCGGGGTGACCGGAGGGGGTCTGGAAGCAGCTGCAGGCACAACAACGGCAGGCTTGACAATCGGCGGCGAGCGCTTTGAGACAATCAACTTCTTCATCTTGGAGATGAAAGGGGCAGCGAAAGCAAGAGGATCCGATGGCTCTCTCTTGTAGAAATGCTTGATCTTTTTGATTCCGCGGCGAAGTTCAGTGACAGAAGGCCGGTACCTGGGATCCTGGTGCAGTCCGCGAAGTAACAGACGATACAGAGGTTCTGAGATGCGGAAGGTGGCCATCAGGTAGAGCGGATCCTCCAGGAACATGGCGAACTGGAAATCGCCAGTGTCTGCTTGCTTCCACGGACAGCGGCCGCCGATCATGTTCAACAAAAGAATGCAGCAAGCCCACACATCGCCAGCAGCAGCCGAATATGACTTGATCAGTGGACCGAGCTCAAGGACCTCTGCATTCGACCAGCCAGTCAGCATCTCATTGGCTTTTCAATGGAGTCGAGGAACGAACCAGGTGGCATGTAGGGAAGAGACCCCGCCATGCTCAAATGTGCACGCTCGCAGTCCACCGCGACTCCAAAATCACAGATCTTCACCGTCAGACCATCTTCACTGCACAAAATGTTCTCCGGTTTGAGGTCCCGATGACCAAGACCGTTGTCGTGTATGTGCTCGACAGCATCCAGAATCTGAAGAAATGTAGACTTGAGAGCGGCATCGCTGACGTATGTGAGCCCTCGTTCGACATGCTGCATCATCGTCCCCTGCATCAAGTCGAGCACAGCAAAGATGAGGTCACTGTCGAAGAAGTCTCGATGGAGAGTGACAATCGATGGGTGTTCGGAGCATTCGTAATGAGCATCGAGCTCTCGCGAGATCCGCCTAGAAGGCGGCCCAAGGCACTTGACCGCAAAGTATCGAGGCTTGCTGACCGGCGAAGTCAAGTCGAGAGCGCGATAGACCACACCGAAAGAGCCGGATCCGATACGACTAAGCAGTTTCAAGCGGCCACAATCCACAATCCGGCCAGTCAGATCGGGAATGTGAGTGTGTTTAGGCATGTGAAGCAAAGGATTTGGTTATGAAACAGGTGAAGATGGGTGTCAAGAAGAAACAAAAGTATTGAACGATGGTCCACCCTTGTGAAGATTTATAGATTGCGGATATCTCAGACACGGGGCTCCCAGCTGCTGCCGTGGGTCTCACCTTGACATCCGGCCGCAAGGGACTTACTAAGAGTGTCGTACAAAAGATTCTGGAGGTCGTCTGTGGGGTCAACTCCGTCTCTTCTCTCTCCCCGAAGTTGGGCCTGAGATTGAAAACCGATGGGTTTCTTGAGAACTGGATCGGCCTAGAGAGCTGCGAAATGATGAGCGCATGGCGCAAATGTATCATTTCTGGTGTCTCAGACAAGCCTGCGCATGTTGTGGATTGCGTCCCGTCTGAGAATCAGTGTGGTTGGAGGATCTGCCAGCGTTGGAAGTGGCTGGCCTCCTCACCACTCTCAATCCCAGACATGTGATGATGAATTATCCAGCACTCACTTCTCATTTGTCCGACTAGCTCGACTGTACGGACTGCTTCGCGTGCCGATCAATTGTTCCCATTGCATGTCACAGGGTAACGTAGCATCACGTCCGGCCCATGCCGACGTCGCCGTCATCAAAAATCCACCCTCCGTCTACACAACCATGACCTAGTGCGAGCCCTTGTCTGCATCCTCATGCATCATTAACAACGCCGACAGCGTTATCTTCGGTCGCGCTATCCCTAAGGAGTACCTGTCGATGGCCACTCTCAGCACCCTCGCTGCCGTCGGGGTATGGAAGACTTCCGGCAGCAAGGCTGCACCCAAGTCCGTCGAAGAGGCCAAGGCTTCCATCCCTATCTCTGCCGGTTCTGGGTGCGCAAATTCGCTCCTCTCTGAATGCTTCAATGCTGACACGTCCCGCCCGAAACAGTGAGGAGGAAGAGTTGTGCGTCGCATTTTCCTGCTCGTACGGAACCACGACGATGACTGACGGTCTAGGATGGGCAGTATCCGCAAATTCATCGCAGAGGCGGAGAAGGAGGGTGCTGGTGCGGCGTCGAAGCATTAGAATGGATACCACAAAATGTCTGGAGGATAGAAAGATTGCACGACGTCGCCCGACAACTTCCGAAATCATCCGCACCCATGAAGTTCTTAGAGAATTCACTTGCTTTCACCCTCCGCGACTTTTTGGCCATGGAAATGTTGTGGGGAGATAGTCAACTGGTAAAATGGATGCTGCGTATTGTACAATGACGGATATATGTTTGAGTGAGTAAAGTAAATGTCCGGACATGAATGAATGAATGATGCAAGATGATGGATGATGTGTTAAAGAAACTTCTCTTTGTATATCCACGCGAGGCCGACGTCGCTCTGGCCTTGCTTCACCTGGAAAGTGATGAGAAGAGAGGTCGAAGATGCAGCAGGAGGACCAACCGCAGCACGATACCATTTTGCTGCTTCCTTCCGATCTTTCTTGGCGCCTTTGCCGTTCGCGAGACAGAATCCCAGATCCATCTGAGCGTCGGCATCGCCCATTCTGGCAGCCACACTGTAGTAACTGAATCCCATCTTTTGGTCCTTGGGGACGCCCCAGCCATGGAAGAAACACTGGCCGACCTCGTAAACGGCCAAGACAAGCTCAGACTGGACTGCGCTCTCGTTGATGGGTCCACCAGAGCGGGCGGCCTCGAGATCGTCCACGGCGTTTTCTGCAGCCCGCCGTAACCACTTGAAAGCAGCTTTCTCGTTCTTCTTGCAGCCCCAGCCATGGCGCTGGGCGAGACCCCACATCAGCATCCCCACGCCACAGCCGCCATCAACCGTTGCTGCGCGCTCAAACGCGATGGCACTTTCGGGAAGCCGGTCGGCTTCGTGGTGCTGGATCCCGAGTTGGAGAAAGTCTTGGGCTGTTTGGGAGCCAGCAGGTGAGCGTGAAGACGGCGCCGGAGACGAAGGGACCGATGAGAAAGCAACGCGCTTAGGCCCACTTTGCATGGGTGAAGGAGGTGGGAACCGTTTGTCCGCCGTTGGAGAAGGACTCGCGCTGTCCAGTTGGTAATAAGAGTACTGTGAGTACAGACTCACAGGCGAGCCTGGTCGTAATGAAGGAGGTCGTCCTGTAAGGTGGCTGGGATCTGAGTCAGGAGTCACAGGTGATAATTGAGTGCTGTTTATATGTTGTGACATCGCAGCAGACTCTCGGCTGTACACTGATGAAGTAGCGCTCTTGGGGCGGGCGTTGCGATCATAGGAGATGGGCTGCCGCGAAGCGTGGGCAGTGTCAGAGGACACCGCTTTCGCTGCGTTTCGTCGGCTGGCGTTGCGCTCCAACACACGCCGTTTCTGCTCAGTTTCCCAAGCCTCGGGAACTCCCACCTCGGCCGCAGAGTGAGCAGGAAGCGTGAAGTTGGGCGTGCTCGGCTGTGCGAACGCTGCTTTGCCAGCTTCGTACGGAGAATAACCAGGGACACTCTGTTCGGTTGGATGCTCTGACACATATACAGCTGGTATCCCTCCCCATGTCTGTTGTGGCTCAGGTGTAGCACCTCCGGGAACGGTATGGGCATCACTGCCAGATTGCCAAGAGCCCTTCAGGGTCGGAGTACTGGAGAAAGTATGGGATGGACTGTGGTTCTCGAACCCTCCATAGCCATAGCCCAGTTCCGGGCCGTCTCCGTCTCTCGCAAAGTCCATGTATGAATTCCTGTCATTGTCGCCGTAGGAGGACTCGGCCCAAGTCGCGCTAGATTGTCGATTGAAGTGCCATGCAGTAAGGGAGAGACAGGCAGATGCGCTGCTTGATAAGGTTCTTGGAGGGTATCAATCTGGAGGCGCTCGCGGCTGTTGCCTGGGTCGGCTGAAGGCGTTGCAGTTGCTGCTTGGGCTGCCGGCTCGAAGTCTTACGAACAAGAGTTGTGAGGGGTGAGTTGTGGTCAAGGGTGTATTGCTGGTCAACAGCAGACATAGGAATAACAGGAGCACTGGCGTGAGCTGGTGATGGAAAGAAGGAAAGCGATGAATCACGAACATTTCCCTGCCGAGTCCACAGTTGATGCAAGCCATAACTTGGACGGAGCCCCTTACTCCAATTTTGCTCTTTCTTTACTCCTTCTCCTTCAATGGCGTCCAACTACAAGCGGCATTCCATGCCCGTCGTGCCGCGTCCACTCCAACTTGCTAATGGCGCCACACCTTCGCCCTCGCCTCTTTCCGCATCTGCTTCGTATTCCATCCCACCAAGCCCGCTGGCTGGGAGTCCACGGCCAGGAGTCCAGGGACGGCCGCCCCACAAGCGGCGTCCATCTTCAATCATATACAACCCGCCCACTCCAACCTCACGGCATGCGCGGCCACTTGCGCGGAGTAGTTCGGTTGGAGGGGAGCGCGACCGAAGAACACCCACAGTTGAACGGGCGCCCACCACGTTAGCTGAAAAGTGAGCCTCATTCTCACGATATCAGTTTATGTGTGCGTTCGTAGTCCATTTGGAACGCATAATCCCCGTTTCGGACGTGTGCATTCTAGCTTTTGATTCTCAACCTCATTGATAGGCACGCCGATCTTTTGCATTTCATCGCCCAGAAGGAGTCCAAATGCTTAGAAATGCGTTCGCAGCTATCCGTGCACGAAGCGGAACTGCTCCAATGTTCGCCGTTCTTCCTGTCCCGCTGAAGCCTGGTCTCAATTTTCACAGTGAAGCGCAAGTGGGAACGGATCGTTTCGCGAGGGTTCATCTCCCCTCATAACCCTAGTACCCCGTCTCTTCCTTCTTCCAATGCTACGGTCGCTACGGCCCCTTCTTCGAATCTGGCTCCGACCTTGTCAACCCCATCGTCGGCAAATACGTCGTTGACATCTGGCAGCGATCTTCCTACCTCGGCTAACGGTGCCGCTGTTTTTGACGGCGTTCGCGCTGGTGTGCAAGGAGTTCGCGCAGGAATGGAGGGTGTCGGGCGCTTGATTGCGGCTTCTTTACCGGCAGTTCCCTTCAGCCCACCTGCCCCCTCTTATTTCGGCCCCAATGCCGCCAGTCCACTCCGTCCGGAACCACCCGCCCTTCAGCGAAGCACCAGTGGGAAAATGCACTCGGCGCGTTCAAGCACCAGCACAAACGCGAGCAGTTCTACAACGTCCCGATTCAACAGTTCGACGAGACTGTCGCAATCGAGTGCATCAAGTATCGAGGAGGAAACGACGCCCTCTCTCGGAGAGACGTCTTCAGAGCAGTGCGACGAAGACGCATGGGGCTCGTTTGCGGATGGTGACGGAGAGGCTGGCTGGACAGGTGGAGCTGACCACGACGATGATCCTTGGGGAGATCTGGATGTTGCAGAGGACGACGGCGGCCAGATACTTATGGTCCAGGATACCGGTGCAACTCCCGTCGTTAGCCCTAACCCGATGTTCGGGCCAGAGGAGCCTCAGGTCGACCAGCGAATGGCGGCTCGCCGGGACGGACGGGGCCAAGCAGCGATCGAGTATCAAGACAGAGAGAACACACATCTGATTCCAGCGCTGAGGCTGAAGCTGAATTTTTCGCTGCTGCAGCCCTAGCAGGTTCAACAACAATCACCTCCGGGCATTATCGTACTAGCACATCCAACCAGAAACCGCAAAAACCGCAAACCCTCGCTTCACTGGTCGATGGGCTTGCCAGCACCAATACAGTGGCGCCGATGAGCGCCTGGGTGGGCAATGTCGGGAAAAAGTGGGAGGAGCTGACTGGGACCCCAGGGTGAGTGAGGTGTGACTTGTTCTGATATCGGTGGCTCACTGCGGTGGGACAGTTTCGCAAAGAACAGCAAACGGGCGTCGCTCCTCTTCTCTGACATCGCATTAGCTTTGCAAGTTACATCGCCACCATCTTCGCCACAAGCGTTTCCGCCACCATCAAAGTCCCCCTCGCCGGCCCCTTCGGTCCGCTCGCTGCTGGACGCTGACAACGATTTCGATGCCCCGGCGCTGACTCCCACACTGATCCCTTCCGCGACGCTCCAGCCGACACCAAAGACTCCCCTGTCAACC